TGTCCTCTTCTGAGAAGACCTTGCTAAATTCGCTATATTCCTTTGGGAGCTTTACCTCTTCTTTCTGGGAAGCTAGGGCAGCTTCAAGTTCAGTTGACAGGGTAGTTTTGTTAACTTGACTAGAAGAGGGTTCTTCGATAGTACCATCTTCCCTGATCTTGACGGCATACCCTTTGTAGAACGGGAACTGTCTATGAATGTAAAGATCAGTTTCCTTGTTTGATACAAACCCGTCGTCCCAGCAAGAGATTTTATTGGTTTCCCAATTTACCCTTGGCTTGTAGTCCCGAAGGAACGGCATCCCGAGTAGGATATGTTCCTTCCCTACCAGCGGTCCGACATAACACTTTACCCGAACAATTCGATTCTTGACAAGGAGTCGAAGAGTGACCTTCCTGGTGACCCACTCCACGTCTTTGCCGGTAAAGGAAGTTGTCTTGAACCTGCTTTTGACTCGATAAGTTGGGATCTTGAGTTTTTGTACGATTCGCTCTGAAATGAGCGATACTTCTGCACCCGAATTGATGCATGCCATTACTCCTGCCTTGTGATCCAATAGGTATACCATCCCGAGCGGTGAGCCAATTCTCATGGTCGATTCATCATCTATGGTGGTAGTACATATAGCAGATAACACTGAAGCGGGACCTACGTGAGGAGTTTCCGTGGTCCCCTTTAAAAATCCTTCTCATTTAGACCATAGGCCTTAAGCTCGTCTCCAGTTGCCTGGCGATCTCCCACATAAGCAACCTTCCTTCCATCGTCAGAAAGAACGATTCGAATGCCGGGATGGCCACTAGTCTTCTGAGAATGGCAATCACGTTTATAGTGGCCTTTCTTTCCACATTCGAAACACGTGATGTCGTCATTTGATCGGCGTACGTTTCGCCTTCTTTTGTCGACGTCCATCGCATCGGAATCTCGGGAACTCCCTCGGAAATGAATGAATTTGCGTTCATACCGGGATTCTTTGCCTTCGAGTATGTGCCTTGTTGCGATCGCAGTCCTGGCTTCTCCCGCGCACTGTATCCACTCGATGACGGTAGTGGGGGCGCGTCCTGAATTCAGGATCCAATCACGATACTCCTTATTAAGACCTTTCCCAAAGAAGATTCCTGCTTCTCGTGACTCTTCTTTCAACTGGGCTTTGTTCACAAGTCCGGTAAACTCGGCGATGTAAGCTTCAAGTTCCCGTTTGCCCTGAGTTATATCGGACAGACGAAGGATGGCAAGGGCGGTTTGGTCTCCAGACTCGAAAGTAGCTTTGAGGCGCTCGATGAACCTTTGAAAGGTATCGGAATACCAAATAGTTCCATCGAGGAGCTTGTTCTCGTTCTGGTAGTTTTCAGCGAACGTTACCGCGGCGCCTTTCGTCATATACGTAAGAGAAAATGAAATCTTGAGCGACTCCGTGTTATAGACGTGCTTGTTAAGGTTCAAATAACCTTCGACTTGAGTTACCCAGGTTTGAAGCCCGTTGTGGCTTCCGTCGTATTCTCCAGGATGCCCGACATTAAACTCCCTACCTCCATTGGGTGGGCAGACACCATACGAGTCTTCGCCGACATCGGCTGAGGCCTTACCCTTACTTGACCCACCAACGGGATCATCTGGGGGAATTACCTTTCCGAAATTTCTGGCGTACCAAGCTCGCAGGGCCGAGTCCGTAGGCGTACCTGTTGGGAAGGGATCACTCGACTGTCCTTGACCAGCTATCTTGCGCCAGTCCTCGGCCAAAGAGTGCATCTGTTTTTCCAACCTCTCTCTCAGCTCCTCTTCGGAGTATACCTTCGGCGGCATCTCAGGGGCTGACTCTCCGTGACCAATTGTCATGGACATTTCCGTAACACGCGCTTCTTGTTCTTCCTTGAGGACTGATCCGAAAGAAGTATCGGACTTCTGATCGTCTTCTTCTTCTGAACTAAGCGCGATTTCCGATTCCCTAAACCGGGACAAATAAGACAATCTAGGATTACTTGCTGTGGCGGACGGCCCAAGTCTTCCTAAAGGGATTGGCAGTAAAGGCGGGTTCCTTCCTAACCCAGTCGGTTTGACACGAGGCGGGACAGGAGGTCTCGACTTTGACGAATCTGACACTTTGACGGATAGTGACAACGAAAGCTGAGGGAGGATTTATTTCTCGAAAGAAACCTGTCAGCGTAGCGTAAAAGGGATTGTGCGCGAGCGATTTTACACGTAGGGAACCGCGAGTGCGAACTCTAGGGAGGCGATCTATTAAAGCCTAGTGGCTGCCTGTAGAGCGGTGTATTTGGTTAAGAGTAGAAGGGTGCTTCTCAATTGTGAGAGGCAATGAGTGATTAGTAACTTGGTTTGTTGAAGTTCAGAAACCAGGGACGAGTAGACTTCCGCGGAGAGGTCGACGAGTCCCGAAAGCTGCGTGGAGTTTTTCGATTTTGTTATGCCCGAGCGCGGTGACTTCTTCAAATGGAATAGGCACGAAGCGCACGAGGTGGGAGTCTTCAGGCCGAACTTGTCGTAACCCCTATGGCTGAGTTATGGCGATAATCCGACAGAGGTTCCTTCTGCTGGCGAGTCCCTAAGGTTGTTCGTGCGGAGAGAGAACAAGGATGAAGGCCAAGTGATTAGCTCAGTTGCAAGCTATCAAAAAACTGAGGATACAAGGTAAAGTACGTGGGGTTATATACCCCTAAGTGCGAGTACCCTACCAGTCGCGACGTGTATCCGCAGCAGTAAACAAACTAATCACTGAAATAAATACGAGTCAGGCGGAGTCAACGATGGGGATAGGTATGGGAATGAAGGCTATACCGGCTGCGCAATCAACGCGCAGCGAGGAGCCAGACTCCGGAACTATAGTACAACATTCAGGCAATATAAACGAGTCAGAAGTGTCAGTGGGGACGGCAACGAGACATCTGCACAATCATGAGAGCGGTGAATGTCACGGACGGATCACGAATGATGAGTCTCGACAGGTATTGGAAATACCTGGACAGCGGGTGATCCGAACTCTCCCTTCAACATCTTCACTCCTAGAACGATCACCGGCACTAGCGACGCGACGAGGCACGTGACGCATGTGACCATGAGGACTGAAAAAGGAAAAGGGCCAAAAAGAGAGCGTAACATCAATCGCTGGTCATCTGTGGGATGGTGGTGTTGATCAGGGGGGACCACTTTGAATTACAATGTAGCTGCATATACTTTCCATACTGACATGTACCTCTTTCATTTGTTGTTGTAATTCATGTTGTTTCAGATGACTTATCAAGAGTAATTGCTGGAATCAAGTCTTCACATTAAAAAAATGTACATGGAAGGGCAGTAGTTCCTAGGTATATTCCCCACCACTTACTCATCCTCAGCGCCATCCACATCCATGTCAGACTTGTCTTCAAGGAGCTCCATGTGTCCCACTGCCTCTTTCTCCCTCAGGATGGCCTGGTAATCAATCCACATTGCCTTGGTGATTTGATCATGCAATGCATGTGCCTCCAGATGTTCTCCATTGCCTTCCAGTACACTGGGCCCCTCCAACCCATCACCACCTTGCACACCTGTGTCAAATGGAGTGCTGAAGTCTTCTGGAAGTTCACCTTTGAATGGATTGTGGATGTGGATGAAATTATGAAGGGTGCAAAGTGCTGCTGGCAGCTGTGCTTGTGTCTGGAGATCAAATGGTGGAACTAGTGAAAGGATACAAAAATGACACTTTATGACACCAAAAATATGTTCAATAACATTGCAGGCTGACACATGCCACAAGTTGAACAATTCTTGCTTGTTCACAGGCCTGCAGTTTTCATCAGTAGGATGGTCAGGGGATCGTAAGTGTGATTACTTACCTTACACTAGCACAGCCCCATTCAGCTAAATGGTAGCATACACCACAGTATGGAACAAGCAATATTTGGTTTGCAGGAAATCCAGCATCTGCAAGCAAAAACTTTCCTTCAGGAATCCTCAAGTCATGTGTGGTCACATATTCATAGACACAGGCATCTGCTGCACTGCCCTCCCAGCCCATAAGAGAGTATATAAACCATAAGTCGAAATCACATGCAAAGAGACAGTTTTGGGAAACATATCCCTTGCAGTTCCAGTAGTTTGAATGTACATAGGTGGGGGGAGATGCATGGATATGGCTTCCATCGATGGCACTGATAGCATTGCAGAAGTATGGCCAGAATTTTGGGTTGTTTTGGATCTTCGAAGGAACAGTATCACCAGCTGGAAATCAAATGTAGTCCATATAAAAAGGTTGTGTTGCAAGTGTGGTGAGTATCATATGGAAATAACTGGAAACTCCATGCAGTAGTTACATTGGAGGAGTGTTAAATACATACCATGAAATTGTATCATTCAATTGTTGAAAGCACTCCCCTACATGCCTGAATGGCAGGCCAGTGATGCATGTATACGGGAATGTTGCAAATTGTTCCTCAAGAGAAATGAACTTTGAATTCTTGAGTCCAAGCTGCTGCAAAGTGACAATAAGCTGCTGGAAAACCTCCATGTGCATCCCAAGTTCACAACAAATGCATTCTGGGTGACCTGCAAGCAGTTCCAGCACCCAGTCTTCACCAGACAGGCAGGAGGTGTGGTATGGCTGAGGTTCTCACCCAAGATCTGATTTGAGGAGATGTGTGACTGCACAGAGAATGATGCTGAGGACCAATGCAATATACTTTACCAGATGATGGCATTGTTCTAGGCTGAGAGGGTGCATGTAGGGTTACATACTGTAGTACATGCTGATTGATTATCACTATCGGCAGCCCGGCACAGATTATGGCTCCGACTAAATTTCGGCATGCGCCGTTAGACTCGAGCGAGCCAACATGAGTCGGTAATGCTCGGCAATGCTCTACACCAGTTTCCGAACTGGCTCTAAGGCGGATCGCTTGAATAGCGAAGCCGAAAGATAACAAACACTAGGTGACGTATTGTTTGGTGGGGGACGGGAGGCGTGGTTGTGATATCAATAGTGTACAATCCACCAAAAAGATATCTATGTACATATATCTACTTCCCACCTTACGTATGCATAATGGGATTGCTACAAAGACTATATAACAGCGTCAATCAGAGAGCAGAAGCAACCGACGAAGCCGCAACACCACTTCGCGGTTTAGTCATTATATCACTGGTTTGTGTGCTTGGTGCGCTCAATAGGGTGGTCTCTTGAATTCGTCATGAATGGCTTGAGCCTCGGGGTCCAGGTTACCGCCCTTGATAACGCACCCGGCTGCATCGAACTCCACGTTCACGGGATTACTCCTGACGACGTCCATCTTGTAAAATAATTATCAGCTTCAAGACTCAGACGTAGAAGGAAGGGAAGAAAACCTGAATATGCAGGCCGTCACCATGTTTAAGAGTAAACTCTCTGGAAGAGTCAATGGTGGTGTTGCCGCGGAACGCCAGAAATGAAGTATCGCCAACAGTCCTGTTGCATATGACATATGAGGTTAGCAAGAACGTAAGAATGAAATAGTGATTGCCTAACGTAGGCTGCCCAAACGTAGTAATTGTCTCAAAATTGGCCAGCCTCCTTACAACGCGGCACGCCACGATCTAATAGAATTTGCATTGCAGAGAACGTATTGCGGCGGAGATTGGCTTACCGTACAAACTATTGCCGCAGGGACATTGGCAATGATTGACATCACGGCATTCAGGTTCAATAACATGAAGGTCTACGAACGGTCGTGACGTCAAGTGAGAACCACCGACATGCCAGTTTGGCGGCCGACTCACCGTGGCAACCAAGTTGGATAGAAAGCTGCTGATTGTCAGATTTGGTCCAATCACGATTTCTCTTTATGCACACTTACGCAATAACAAAGTAAATAAGTCCGTCACCAAAAATGAGTTTGATTAGCTTCGAGCGACCGCCTGCAGGATATGCAAGCTTCCAGCCGGCCAGGCAGAGGACAAGGAAGTCGAATGCCATAGTATATATAAAACTAATGGCTAGAATGTGATTATTGGTCGATGTAATCACGCAAGCACCATTCAGCCAAGTTGCTTCAAGAAGGATACCTAAGAAAATCGTGGTTAAAGATGTTTATATCGGAGTGAAAGTAGCATACCGTGAAGCAGAAAGGACCATTGGCCCAGCATGACTGCCACTAGTAGACATACAATAACTCTGTTCTGTGACCAAACCGCCATGCTAGCATGGCGCGTGTCAAGGTATGTACGACTTCAATAGCAAGGACTCACGTTCGAAGGGAAAGATTAATACTCGCTAGTCCAATAGCAGCATTCCCAAAGACTTGGTTGAAGGTATAAAGCGCTTGACAGTTGACTGGCGCGGTGACGTCGAGGGCGATAAGGCTGCTAGGTGTCAACACGCACCGCACCGTTCAACGAAAACAACCTACATCCCGACGAGGGCAAAAAGTAAACAATAACGCCCAGCAAAATAGAACGCCTAACATTGGTGTATGAGAGTTGTGGTGTCGATATTAATCAGTGACTCCCACCAGAGGCCATCGAAAACATTTCCGGCCAGATATGAACTGCCAGTCGAACTCCAAGGAAGTAACAACTTCCCATCTAATATAATCATCAACACGAGATGAATACGGCAGTTAATGATGCTCGTTCTCACAAATATAAGCCAAAAAGGGTATGTGCAAACCGGCTGAAAACAACTATAGAACAGTTGGTGCCGGTAGGAAGGAGGATGCGGATGTCACCGACCACTGTCAGTCAGGATTTCGGCAGACGACTGCCAGTCAACCATGCTTGAACGGGGGGCAGGTGCCGGATGAGGATGGGATCGAAACCTCCAAGCAATAAAGGACCGCCCTTTATGTGAAACGACCACGGAGACCTCGCATGGGGTCCCTGGCTTCGGCGAGGGAGTTTGGCAGGGATGCAAACATTCGGAGACGGAGACCTCCCTCTCAATCGGGGGGAGTGTTAACTTCGGCGAGAAGACCTGCCGAATGCAGTAATGAATTCTCTACCACAGACACCCCTCATCGACTAAAAGGTCATGCCCAAAGCGTGAAAAAGCGAAGCCAGAGGCGTCTACAGATAGCGGAGATTATCAATATCTCCCGGAGACGAAAGTGCGAAAACATTTGAGTGCCCATTTTCAACTTCCAGGACAGTGGATCAAGAAAAAATATATATATCGCCGGCCTTCACGGTAGAAGAATCGCCGCAGGACCGTGTAACCGCACCGTGTGCAAGTGTACGGCACATGCGTGATTACTTTCGACTTGATCCTGGTGCCTGTGTGATTTGGAATGCCCCAGAATTTTTTTCCGCGGAGGGCGAACGCCATCGTGCATATCCTTCGTACGGACCAGGCAACGGGGATAACCAATCACGCACAGTTGGGCATCTGACTGGATGCATCCCATTTCATGCAGATGCAAAGCATATGGATGTTGGCTTGGGATACCTCATCAGGAAATTAACACTTTACTATTTTTGACCTTTTTGCGACTTTTTTTGACTTTTTTGTGACTATTGTGACTATTTGTGACTTTTTGGGAAGGAACCTACTATCTGTACTTTTTTTTTGACCATATACAGCATTTTGAAGAATGAAAAGAGAACAGAATCTATTGAGACAACTAAGTAATGATATATCTAAGCCAAGAAGACTAGAAAATGTCTGAAAATTCAGAGATATTGAGCCATTGGTGTGATGCACACTGTCTAAGAGAAAAATCACATTATCTCTTTGGAACCTCCATCAATGTGCAGCCATGCCTGCAGGACATGGGTAATGATAGTAGATTCCTTCCCAAAAAGTCACATTAGTCACAAAAAGTCAAAAATAGTAAAGTGTTATTTTCCTGACGCTGAAGTGCACTAGCCCTGGGTTATATGAGTGACCAAGGCATAGTCAGAGCTTTCATGTGGGTGAGGAAGTTGGTGGGAAGTTATGTGACAAGTATTGGCAGAGGAACAGGACAGGGAAGAAAGGGTGAGAGCTAGGCAAGCACTTGCCTTTATTATCGGATAGAGCTTGAGGAATAGATGGCAGTCTTGAAGAGTAGTTCTGACTTAAGAGTGGGGCTTGTAATCAGATAAGAGGAATGTGAATTCACTAAGGGGACTCAGCAGAAACCCCTGGGTTTATATACATGCAGGACTGCACACAGACCATGAGTGCATATGGTAAGTAGAACAAGTACCTACTATGTATAGTAAAGAATAGAATGGAACATCATAGAACAAAGTGGGGCTAAGTGGAGTAACTTAGCAAGCATGATGTCATATGAGTATAACTCATCTAATAAGCAAGTCTAGAACCAGTATTTCCAACAACAAGATTTCAATTTCAGGTCTAATACACCTCAGTAAGTAGTACTGTGGGCAGATCTGGGAGGATACATCTGCCACGGACCTCGAACTGCGATACTCGAAACCCTGCCCTTGACTACCACACACGATAGGAGTAAGAATTTCCGGCAGACGTATACAGCTTATAAAGCATATCAAGTACATAATACGGCATAAGCAGGAGACTCCCAGGCTACACTAACTTACAACAAACAACACCACCCCGCCTCCTGGGTATGTAACGAATCATTCATGCTAAGAGCACCGGTATCACACCGTTTCTTTCGATTTCGCATTCTTGGCGCGGTAAGACTTGAATTGTTCGTTCGTCAGCATGACGATCTTCAATCGCATGAGCTTAAAAGAGGCGCCCGCAGGGAACCCTCGTTTGCGAGCTTCATCATCATCATCGATTTGCTCCAATTTCTACGTGATAAGAGCATGTCAATAAAAAGTCACACGCGAAAACGCCTACATACAACTACAAGGGATTTCTTGACCCCAAAAACACTGTCACTTTGAATAAATTTGCAACCTTCCGGATAGAACGCAGTGACAAGTTTGTGATATCCAGGTGCCTCGACCATCATATGCAAGTGATTTGGACGCATATTGTGACGATTCATGGTAAGCAGAAGCTCGCCCACCGGTCCCTTGACACAAAATTAGCCGGTATACGTTAAAAGCTAAGTGAACCAAACCTACATCTCCGGGAATAGGATAAGCAACTGGTACTATAGCACGGAAACCAAAGCTTCCGTCGTCGGCAGATCGAAGACGTCCGCGACAATCGGGGTGAGAGCGGTTGCTATACTGTGTGTCGTAAAAGCCTATGTAAGAGTTCTGAGCGAGCCGTGTGTGAATATCATATCAAGGCACCTACCATCTGAGTCCGACTCCCACGTATCGATAATGGCCCCTGGTATTGGCCCTCCTTCCGTAGTTAAGACCTGGCCTTCGACATACATGTACTCTCCTTTGCCCTCAGATGCGATACCTTCACCGTTCGCGACTACGAACTCCGTTAGCCATGCAGTGATGCCAAACGTTCACTCGTGCAACTCACTGTGCACAGTATCGTCCGTATAGAAAGGGCCAAGCACTGTGTTTTCAGTGGCGTTTCCTTCCACGGGATTGTTAAGAGAATCAACCAACGCCGAAACCCCAAGTACATCTGAGAGGAGGATCATCTCTTGACGAAGAGGAGTGCACATCTGCCCCACACGAGTCAGAAATTGGATAGCTGCCATCCACTCATCTGTAGTGAGACTGTAATTCGATGAGGATGCGGTTAAAATAGGCCTATGCTAGAGATGACACCACTGACTCGGTTTCATTGACAAGTCCATGAAGGTACTTGATGAGAGTTTGGAAGATGAACCTCAGCCGTCTAAGAGGGGTGCGAAGTCGAGTGACAGATGCGTGCTTCAAATCAACTTACGGATTTGGTGTTGCCTCAGCAAGCTTGAGGACGTTGTCCGTTATGACGTCTGCTCGGTCAGGTATCTTGACAATAGGTAAATACGATATTGTCAATGGCCAATCTCTTTGGGATACTTACCGGCAGGTCGAAGCGGGGAGGAGCACCATTCGACACAGCTTTGGATGGTAAGGCTGGGGCGCTATCACTGCTTGCTTGCTCGGACATCTTGGAGGTACGAAGGAGGCTTGCTTGCTATCAGCTCAGCGCTTCGCCACAAGCAACTCTGCGGATCTTGCGACTACCACATACGGAGCAACGATGTACCGTCACTCAATTGAACCCGAGGGAACAACTGCCAGGGTAAAGGATTTATGTTATTCCTTCCAGTGATAGGTAACGCCAACGCTACTCATTTAACAATTCTGCCGTCCCACCCTCAATCCCCGCGTACAGCTCAGAACTCAATAACCGCCTACCAAGAAGTTCAAAACTGTCCCCAGCAATGCATCAATGAAGCGCTGGTGGCTTGACAACATTAATAGGGACCGACCTGCATATCACGCTGTATCTTGGTGACAAGTATAAGTGAATGCACATCGACCGGTAACGCCAGTCCTTCGCAGGGTTGCTACCCTGCCATGTCATCGATCCAATAACAACTGTTTAGAACATGTTGCAAATGCGATAATCAAGATAGGATCATCCTCCGTTCTCTGCGCTAAAAAGCTCGTCGGACTGCAACTTTTAACCTTACCGCTAGGACAGGGGATTGGTCCCTGGGCAAGTTCTCTTTATCCTTTGGAAGATGTATATCACGGTTCATAGAGTCAAAATAACGAAAACATATTTCCTGTTCTGTATATGGACTTTGCAAGAGGAATGTAGTATGGAACACACCAGTTTGAACCACCACTGCAGTCTCCGTCACAATAAATATGCACAACAGCTAATGCCACGTTGCAAGGAGTAAAACCACGCAACCGTCGTGTGCGAGAGAAGGTTCGCTTGTGTACCTTTTCGATCACTCTCATGTGTTAATGCCGTCTGGTCAAGGCCCTCCGCTGCCTCCAAGCGAATGAGTCTCCACGACGAGGACTAGGCAGAGAGGTACAAGGGTATAACTCACCATAAGTTCAGCCTCCCAAATACTTCAACAAGTGTCCTGAGGTGATACAGAGATCTCAATGTCCTGTTGGAAAAGGTAGACTAGGGACTCGTCAAATGGGTACGGGGCTCTTTTGCAAAATGTTATTACATAAGTGTCGAGTGCTTTTTCGGTCACGCGAGACGCGACGCGTCTGCTTACATGTGTTTACGCGCATAGCTTACGGGTAATAGCTTCACGCTCTGTGGTTTGGTTCCAAGTTATTGTAGAGCTTTACAGGATGGGCATATGCGGACTTTTAGGCCTGCTAAAGCCCATACAGACCACAAAGCATCTGTCTGACTTCGCGGGGCAGACACTTGCCCTCGATGCGTATGTCTGGTTGCACCGAGGGATTCATACTTGTGCCACTGAGCTTGCTACAGGGAAGAGTACTAAAAAGTGAGTGCTGTGAGTCCATTTCTCGCACGGTGTTAGTTCTGATTGGTACCCCAAGGTACGTTGACTACGCGATGCAACGCATTCGACTCCTCCGCCATCATAAGATACAACCTTATGTCGTGTTCGACGGCGGGCCATTGCCCGCCAAACGAAGTACAGAGAGGGACCGCAAACAGAGAAGGGAGGAGAATTTAGCGAAGGCCAAAGCTCTGGCTGCAGAGGGAAAGCACTCCCAAGCTCGAGAATTCTATGGCAAATGTGTGGATGTAACACCCCAAATGGCGTTCCAACTTATCAAGGTGACGGTGATTTCACTACCATAAGGTATTGGATTAAATATTGACGTATCAACGGGCGGCTTAGGCACTCCGAGCAGAAGGGGTACAATACATTGTTGCGCCTTACGAAGCAGATGCCCAGATGGCTTACCTGGAGCGCATAGGGCTCGTCGACGGTATTATCACAGAAGATTCTGATCTGCTAGTATTCGGATGCCGCAACGTTTTGTTCAAGTTCGATTTCGCGTCTAGCACAGTTGCTTACGTTTCCCGGGCAGACTTTGGTTCAATAACCGCTGCAGAGGGAGGAATCTCTCTTGTGGGCTGGACGGATACCCAATTTCGAGCTATGGCAATCCTCAGTGGCTGCGACTACCTTCCCAGTATTCCTGGTATTGGATTGAAAACTGCGTGGTCGCTACTTCGGAAACATCGTTCTATTGGACAAGTCGCACGTGCATTGAGATTGGAGGGCAAAAAAACCGTTCCAAAAGATTATCTGGAGGCTTTCAGACTGGCCGAAAAGGTATTCTTGCATCAACGAGTTTACTGTCCACTGCAGGAAAAGCTCGTCAATCTCACGGACATACCCGTGGAGGAACGTTACGATGCTGAGGTAGAGGCATTTATCGGCAGGTGTTTGACGAGTCGTCTAATATTCATACTCTGTTACTAACTGGACGGGCAGAGATTTAGAGCCTTCCTTAGCGAAGCTCATCGCGGTTGGGGAAATTGATCCTGTAACACACCTGACGATGGACGATATTTATCCTGGATTCGCACCTCGTTGTTTGAAGCCCCTCCAATTCATTGATGGCAGCCGAGGGCGACTGAACGTAAAAGCGGAGGAGGCCACCCACAGTAGCGGAACTTTATTCTCATTTTTCTGTAAGTCGCCGTTACTTTGGCAATCGGTGGTCAGGGATTGATCTGTCCCGCAACGTTGCAGCTTCAAAGCCTGCGTCAACGCTGCGCCGTACTAATTCTGTGCCAACCATGAAAGCCACGGCTACCGCCGGAAAAAAAAGCGGCAAGAGATCCTTGGCTGATGTTTTAGACGAAGAACTTGTCGCAAAGCGAATGAGAAGGGAAATTTGCAACGAGGATCGAGGTTCAAGCCAATGTCTACAATCCGCAGCGGGCCTTGGGTCAAAGGGGAGGCGACCATCCACAAGCATCAGTCGCCATTCGTCTCAAGCAGTTGGCCAGAATAGTCCCCCAACACATGCTAAGGAAAACATCAGCCCCTGTACCCCTATGGAAGGCGAACTTGATGAGAATCCAGACCTCGTCAATCAAGAAGATGGATACATTTCCCCAACGCAGTCCTACTTCCGATCAGCTACGCCTGACTTGTCTTCTCCCATGCGGCATCCGCGTGAGGGATCTCGGCACGACCATACAATTGTGGATGACTTCGGAGCAGACATCATTTCAAGTCCTGTGGCAAGGCGACGTTTGAGATCCGATGATGTTCTCACTGAGTCCCATGTTATGGCACCGGCGAGTGTCCTCGTCCGACGTACGCCATCGCCATCGCCATCAGACGGAATGGCAGGCCCTGATCTTCACGGCGTCCTGAGCTTCGTATCAACAAGCAAGGCTGGAAGTTACAGGCCGTCAATCGAACCTTCAAACTTAGGATCAACGCCCCCGGAAGATAACTCATGTCCATCTGTAGACGAGGTGTCGGAGGACGAGAACATTGACACGGGAGGGCGTTTGCGTGGATCTCGAGTAGAGATCGTCACAAACGGGTGGTGGAACAAGTGGGCATGGAAATCAGAACCAGGGACTGGGACCGTGAGTGGGTTACCTGCAAACCTTATTAATTTTGATGTTCTGCCACCCCAGAAAGAGAAACCAATGGGGTTCAGGCGGTGTGAAACTACTGTCACTCCCACTGGCCGTCAACCTGGTTGCCACATGCCCCCGACAACCAGTTCGCCCTCGAACCTTTGTGACGGCGGCAGGAGCACGCGGGACGCGTTCAAGCTGTTCCAACAGAAATTCTCTGAACGAGCGTCCACGTTTAATCCAATGTAGTTAGATAATAGTTGACTTAATTTTACTGTGTCTCAGGGAACCTGGACTGAGCACCGGTGAAGTACTATGTAATACGTAGACGAGCCAATCGTATCGCCATTTGGCCCTCGTTATGCGGCACCAACGTTCGGTTGGAATGGCCACTTCATATCCGGCTGTGTTAATAACAGGGCCACCTGGCCTAAGCCTTGCACACACCTATGTTATGATCGTGAGACGTGACTGCGTTCCACAGGACAGGGACTTAGACCATTGTCGGGAAACGCGAACACCTGGCAATACTCATAGTCTGATTAATCAACCGTTGCACCTTTCTTATTAACTGATAAGATCCTCAGACGTAGGAGCACATTATAAAACTCTATCCTGAGTACTCAGAAATTACAGGGGCCATGAACCAGCCTAGGGGCTCTTTCCGCGACAAGTTCAGTGATGTGAGTGTCGTTAGGCAACTCGGAACGACATAGTGTAACCATTCAAGCGTGCGTACGTGCGTCGGCTACTGTAGGCCACCGTACGTCCAACATTACGCAAGTGTCGCGGAGTTGTAATTGGCGTTCGGTGAGTCTTTTCGAGGCCCATCACATCATGCTCTCAATCGACCGACTGGCGACGTGAAGGAAGGTCTAGGAAGATCCGTGCAGACAGTTTGGTATTAATAGCTGCCAATGGGCAGTTGTCTGGTCGCAAAGGGCAATGTTGCTGGGGGGTTGCAGTTTTTGTATCGCCTCGCTGATGCTGGTGGGCTCGTTGTGAGTGTGGCGACCGGATGGGACTGGCCAGCAGCAGGTTTTTGTGGACAAACTGCTCTGCCAACCGTGCTTGGCTTTAATTTCGCCCCAGAATGGCAGACTAGGGGCTGGTGTGGTAATTATTCAAACAGGGGGATGAACTTAAACGGTTGGGTGGTGTGGTCTCTTTCCTCGTTATGCGTGGAAAGGCGCCCCGCCATCTAGACCGTACAAGCTCACCCCTCGCACAGACACATGTCTCTCTTACCTCTGACATGCACCTGATGAGCGTCTTTGCTGGCTCTTTTAATCTTCAGTCTTGGATGGGTGCCCTCCCATAGCGTTTATATCCTTCACCGCTCCTCTTGCCAGGGATTCGCCCATCTCTTCCTTATTGTCACTGCTTTGCACCCTTTTCCACGGTGAAGAATAAGGCAGTTTGCGGCAGCCTGTGGTAGGTACCAAACTTCCATCTAACCGGCACGGCCGTTGTGATGATCCTCCATTCAGTACCAACCCGACGCGATCCTCCATGGCCGGAGAGACCTCCAAAAAAATATGCCATGCTGTCACTTATCCCGTCTCCCGCCTCCACTTTACACTTGAGAATGACCTGCCCGGCACCCTACCGGTATTGGCTCGACCAGCTTACGGTCATTTGCACGTTCGTCCTTACCCGGACGATGCAAATTTACAATTCACGCAGACCTCTGGGACAAGTGATTTAACCGATATGGACGCTTCTGGTCCCCAGCACAATGTCATCATCGGTTCATCTGTTTCATCCGGTTCAGTTGGCTATCCTGAATCTCAAACGGCAGCGCCGTGTTTCTCTGCTGTACATATCCCGGAAAATCTTATCATGCCATCGTACATCATGCCGCTGGATCCACTTCCAAGACCAGCAAGCGAAACACTCAGACCCTCATCCGGCATTTTAGTGGTGAGTGCTGGGTTTTTCTCCATCAGCGTGCCTGACCGAGAGGACAGCCACCCGATGACATACAGTGGTTTCGCACATCACAAAATGCGATGGAGTCACCGAGCAGCCCGTGGCCAGAGACTTTCGGAGACGGCTGCGTCGGTGACTCCATCGCAGGAGAAAACATGTTGATATCTCCGCTGATGAATCGACAGATTCTTTCGCCACTCTACTCCCCTTCCTCACTACCCCACTCTACGAATGGCCCTCCGTCTATAGGGCCAACTGTGCTGACATTCCAACTGTCTGACAACCTGATGCATCGGGTCGATGATCCTGAAAACGATCAACTCCTTCAAAGTTTTCAGGATTCTGGGGTGTGCGACGACACTGAAACTGACAGTGCCGGTTCATCTACCCCCAAATCACCTTCTTATTCTCTCGCTGCTGTCGTATCAGAAGCCGCTGACGCTATCCAACAAGGCAACTTCGATGAAATATCAGTTGGAACAAGTCATTTCCCTCCATCCGAGATTCCCCACACCGTATCGAACACGATACGTTCCTCCGTCAACCAACCGTCACGCCTCGCCGGTGCGCCCCAAAAAGTCAAACCACTCAAAAAACAGAAAATGCACAAATGTGAGGAGTGTGGAAAGCTGTTTCCGCGGCCTAGCGGATTATCAACTCATATGAATTCACATTCGGGCGCCAAACGTAAGGATTTGTTAGTGATTGATATTGACTTGATGCTGATTCTATAGCTCAGCGCATAAGTGCCCGATACCGGAATGCAACAAATGGTTTGCCGTTCGCTCAAATGCGAAGCGGCATCTAGTCAAAACCCATGGTGTCACCCTGGCTAGTAACGAAACTCCTTCCACTCCAACTTACAGTGTTGGGTTCGAACAGCCCGTTGTAAACGATGTTCATGATTCAGGGAAACAGCCGTCTCGATACCGATGGATCCCACAAAATGCCACACTGGATGAGAACAACTTGTTCTCCTCCCCTGTGGCGTACCATCCTTCGTTATTTGCGGGGCGGCGACATTCTTACGACGATTTGGGAACAGGTTCATCCCTACAGAACGAAACAGATAGTAATCCATATCAACAGTTTCTCTAGAAACACCATATTTTTCCAACATGTTTTGTTGTAGCTCCCCATCCAGCGCGTTGTGTATTTGCTAGGTCAAGTATTTTACATAAACAGCCGCTTTGTGAAATAGTACAGCATAAAGATGTTCGTTTCATCCACGATCCGTCCCTTGGCTGTACAGCACTCGGTTGACTACCCCGATAGGGATATCGTATGGTTCCGGAACAGCATTTGAATCCTTATCTCTGAGATAAGGGTTGGGGGCGTCCGGTGCAGGAAAATGAGCTTTCGCATCTGGGAGCCAAATGCATTAGGAATTGACATCGAAAACGTCCACCGCCTCACCGATGAACGCTGCTGAATTGGAAAAAGCAGGCGTGTTGGCAAGTGCAAGTGAAAAATAAGTGAAATACGTGAGGAGAACGATCATCATCGAGTAGGCAGGCAGCAAGATTGCCCACTCGCTGTTAACATATCAAAATAAGCTTTTTCAATGTGGTAGACACGTACCGGTTAGGGTACCAAATTATGCCGAGACAACGAATGTACTCGTCCGGCGTGACAGCCCAAAGCACGTATACAATGAACAGTAGGGAAGTTGATGTCCATGCTACAAACCCATAAAATTCTGGGGCACGGCTGCGGGGACCACGCAGTGGTTGACGAGGAGATATTGCCACGGGGTCCACTGCGAATGATGATGGCTAGCCACAGCTACCAGGTTTTCCTTGATCTACTTCCAAAGGTCGTGGCGTTGGAAGTAGGGAATTACCAAAATTTGATGACATAACACATATTTCGTACAAAAGGCCAGTACTAATCATAAGAGGATCCATCGGTCCAACGCAACAGCAACTCCAGTATATCAACCAGCATGATCCGTGCCAACAAACGGGCACTTCGGAAAGCCATGAGGGCCACGCTCGGAGAACTACCAGCAGAAGACATACAGTTTCAGTGTAAGTTTCGATACCAAACCTTCTTGCTGCTAATCAACCCGCTTGTGGGTAACCAGCGCAGGTTATCGCAGCCAAGGTTATGGCTCTCCCTGCCTTTCAAAACAGCCGAACGTTTAGCTGTTATCTCAGCATGCCCACTGCAGAGGTTCAGACAACGTCGCTAATACTGGATATCCTAGCAAACAAGCGTAGGTGGCATATCCGTTTTTTTTATAGCATTGCAGGTGTTTTAGGTATATTTCAAAGAGAATAAGCTGTTTGTACCAACCGTAGTTCCCGAGAACGACCATATGGACTTCGTACGGCTTCACGACGAACAAGACCTTCACGGCTTGCCTAGCGGTTTGTGGGGCATCCCGCAACCTACGGCGCAATGGAACAATGAAAAACGTCAAAGTGGTAGGTGCTATAGCTATCGGCCGGATCATCGATACTGTCTAAATACCTCAAGTCCTAGATACCTCTGCCTGAAGACCTAGATGTCATTCTTCTCCCAGGCAAGTGTTTATTTCCACGTGCAGTGCGTCCTGAGTTCATGTATTAAAATGACTTCCGGGCCACATTAGGCGTTGCCTTCGATCGGTCCTTATCGCGTCTAGGCCACGGTAAAGGTTATTATGACAAATTCCTATCCTCCTATACCGCTGCGGCGAAAAGGCCACGCCCACTTCTAGGCAAAAATCTATCCCTAGCCTTGCCCCTTGTCGTGTGCTGACTGATCGTCCATAGTTGCGCTGGCTTTACAACAACAATTGCTTGATGCAGGATCAGTACCCATCACGGACACCGATTGGAAAGTAGACATGATTATTACACCAAATGACATCGTTACCAAAGAAAATTTGCCTAAAGATTCAGCCAAAGCATAGCTTTCCACAGGACAGCTATGCATTGTGTTGCGAGACATACTCGATCACTCCATGTTATCCTTTGTATATCCACGCTGCGAGTCAGCCATCGAGAAAGCCGGTGTTCGTTAGCCTTACCAAAATATAGTGTTCCTCGGTTGATGTTTTTTGATGTTGCTGACCAGCGAGTAAGGACACAAGCCTCACGACTCTGAACCTTTGATATCAATACACAAAACATGAGTTGGGAACGTGAATGCAATGTACCCAGATCTCCTGCACTGTGGCACAATGATTATGCGGAACGATCGGCCTAATGGTAAGTATTTCACTCCTAGCCACGTTTGAATCCTAGCGTTCACAGGGAGAAGCGCAAGTACCTAGCCGTGAAACCATGACTTGCTTTTGCTCCTGAGTCAAAGTGTGCTGGGGAGCCATCAGGGTGGAGCATCTTGGTCGCCATCTGAGATGTGGTTATAACCTAGTTGAACAGTATGTAAGGGCGTAGTGTCAAACTGCGCACGATCACGCACTGTAAGGTTCCTAGTTACGCATGCTTCTAGAAGACTGTGCCTAATACTTCCCAGGATCACATTCTTTTTCGATGGTGACAGGTCCGGATGGGATTGAAAAACAAATGACAGGGAGTTTAAGACTAAAAGCCCCGTCTGAAAATGACAGTGGGTTCATGAAGTGGAGTACAACACAAACGCATACCTTGGAGGTGATTTTCGAATTCACCTCACGGAGAAATACGAGAAGATCTGGAAGCGTGTGTATACGTATATAACGCAGCAACGTCCCAGCCGACGGCGTACCTGTATATAGTTGGTTAGGAATGTTTGACAAAACGAGTTAGATCATTGACTTTCAAGCAGCCTAGAAAGGGCATGCGGGCTGGACATGTTCTGCATGTCTTCCATGCTTGTCAGATATCTCAGCCATTATGAAATGTGCGAGTAGAATCACCAACAAACACGACTTCTTCATCTGCCTTGAGGAATGCCTGCACAAAGTCACAAGCGAGGGACTCCTTGAAACTACCCGGGGGGCCAGATATTTCCAATACGTGACCACGCAATAACCCACCCCCAAGAACTTTGTTGACAGCAGGATACTTGCACGTAAACACGTTCGCCTGAGCTAGTGATGCTACGGACTGGGTCATCCGTGGAACCTTCGGTGCTTGCGTTGTGCTAACCAAAATTTCAGCATCCCTAACAGAGATGCCGAGTTCTCAAGAACGCAACAGCGATCAAGACGCCGCGTGGGAGATACACGAGCACCACGTACCTGCAGATAGCGCCTCAGTAGATACACCTGCAACGTCGTCCACTGTCTCATATCCAGCGCTTCCGAGCGCAGCTTGTACAGAGGGCGGAAGGGTGGTGCACTGAAATAAACTTCTTGACATCCTCTAGATGGGCGACACGAAGTCAAGAAACCCGGGCTGGCACCATGGCATGTGGGCCCACGTGGCCAAAAAAGTCAATTCACGTGATGACGCGTTCATAAAAGCAGTCAGAGCGACACGGGCATTGCCGCACATTCTTGTTTCTCGAGTCCTCCTTTGTGTTTGTTCACGCCCGGTTTTTTTCTTCCATTACTCGGTGAGTAGACAACATTTACCACCATTCCCACTCACCGGTCACCTTGACAGTAATTTCTTGTCTGTCTGTCTTGCACCATCAGGCGCGGTGGTCTACAACCAGACTCTCTTAGAAGGATAACTTATTGTCAGTGCATCTCGAGCTGTATATGTACGTTTAAAAACACTGATCTGTGCTGCAATTATGTAGATAACTTCGATCTCGGTTCGGCGGTAATGATCGCACACCCCTGACAGCGGTGACCTGATCGACTTTTATAGTATCACAGTGGGTCATGCACCGGCAACATCCCCCACGCCCTCGGTCTGTAATAGGTAATTGTGATGACACAAGACAAGGCTCACTTTTCAAGCACCCTAATGAATTTGCAGAGCTTGCCAACAGGCAATCGTCGAAGGCCTTAGGTCGGAATGCAGGTGGGATTTCTATGGAAGTAGCTAAACGAATCTGCCTTTTCCACGAGTTCAATGTTTGGCTTCTACAGTGGAAGTTCGCATCTTTCCAAGTCGTGTGTGCAATTGCACGACGCTAAAACGGACGGTGACACACGCCGAAATCTCTATGTTCTTGGTTTACCATTGGATCTTACAAAGTGGGATTTGTACTGGTTAGCCCCGTCATTGGCTAACTTACCAGTAGGTCTGAGTTTGTTGATATATTTGCCTCCTTTGGCACTGTGACGCATGCGGTTATTCTGGCAACTGTCGACAGCTCATCCCGTCGACGGGGCTTCATTGTCATGTCCACACACGGGGAAGCTCGCGCGGCTATGAATGCACTATCGCGAACTCAGATAAGGTAATTTATCGTTAAGTACGGAGTGACTTACTGATCCAATGCAGAGGGCATGTTCTTGATGTCTCTTGGGCCGTTGTCCAGCGTTCTCGAGGTATGTAAATTTCTGTGGCAACGAGTTTTTAGTCTACCCTTTGGCGACAGGTTTCCTAGATGGTGGTGATCGCAGCTTAATGCTCTCAACCACCTTGCCCTCTCCGACTATGGGACTGGACACCAATCAACCGAACGAACTGCTCGGGATTTGCTCGGCCTTCACTGACCACCCCACCTCAAGATTGCTGGTATCCAACTTGCCTACCTTCCTCTTCACCCAGGTTTCCGATTTGCAGCCTCTCTTTTATCCTTTCGGTTCCATAAAGAAACTGGGCATCCTCCCTTGCTTGCACGATGCCGTGGAGATGTCAACCGCGGCAGTTGTGGAATATTTTGATGTCTCCAGTGCTCGAGAAGCTAAGGAAGCCTTGCAATCCCAGCGATACGCAGGTCACACTATCGAGGTTCGCTACGTCTTCGATAACCCCCCGGTCGCCGACAACCAAGTGAATCCTAGTACTTCTCGACCAACCTTGGTCCCAAGTCAGGCAGTTCAAAGGCATCTTAATCCCTTTGCGACACCTTTTCCAGATCCGAAGCACTCTTCGGTCACTCATTTCGAACGTCCCCAACTGGACTTCCCGTCACGCACGACACTTGGTACTCCTGCCGTTACACCACCCCTTGTTCCTAACCACTTCCCGCGCCATGCTAGCGATACAATATACAGGTTGAACCCAACGACTGGTTTAAAGTACGTGGCTATTCGTTTCAGTTTTGATTCTGATGTCCATTTGTTTAGCTGGAATCAGGAACGTACTACCTTACCGTTATCGTTGAATCGCGTCAACGACACGCATCCTTTCGTCACCTAATCTCAGGCATGGTCCTGTTCCCATTAACTAGACGGAGGTCTGTTGGGTTCTCCGCTGGCCGGTTCGACTGGCGAGTGCTGTTGATTGCGATGCACTGAACCCACCGCGATTGCATGTTTCGCATCATTTTTTAATGTTGCCATCATAAAGCTTTCTGTAACTTATAGTCTCTCGGTTTATGAGTCCAGTAAACCGTTTTTACCACTATCAGCGCCTTGCCAAGATGTCACCTTCGCCCCCTGGAGTCGTTCACTCCTATACAGTAAAGTACGGTATAACCCTATTCTGTGTGTGTCCTTTTCGATCGATGGTAGCTGTCATCGTTTCGCCTTTCGGGGACCTGCAACGTCTACCAATCTCGTACCGTAAAAGATGTAACGCTGAAACCTTCACTAATGATGTGCGAGTCAGGCATAAGCCAACATCATTCCAGGTGCGTGACGGTGCGCCGGCCCGGCCATCAGTAAGCGCTCTTGGGCGTTGGCGCTCCCCGTCTTACCCAGGATGTCTTCCTCTCAGCAAGAGTTGCCAACGAAGCGACACTTCGGTGCCATGGCGCGCCAAGTTCGCTTGTTTTCTCTTGACTCTCACGGAAACACAGAAAATCCGGTGGGGAGTTGCGAGTTTTCTTCCAGTCATGGCCGTAGCAGATCATCTTCTGCCGGTGTTGCTCTTGAACTGAGCATTCGCAACCATCCGACCCCACGAACTGAAAGACAAGTTGGGTGGACACACAAGTCAATTGTGGAATCGCCTCAAGCAACCAGCCCTGAAGGACCTCAGCCGTCCGCCAAGTTCCTCTGCATCTTCGCCATCCGTCACTAAAAGAGCGTTCTCACCACGGTTCGCACATGTATTCAAATCCTCCGGTTCGTTATCTAGCGAACCGTCTACGGATGATGTAGGCCCACCACCTCTTCGTGCCCCCTCCAAACTGCGATGGGAGCAATTACGCCAGCATGTAGTCGCTTCTACTACTCCTATCCCTCCGTCGCCAGTGCCATCCCATAGGACAAACACAAGCGGCCCAACCCCCACTACGCCTAAAGCTTCCCGTTTCGCCCGCCTTGGGCTTCGGCAGGTGGCGGATCATGTGCGTGAGGCTACCGTGGACGATTCTCGTATGCTCGCCGACGATATACTCAGATTATACTGGTTTTCTCGACCATTGGACGCTCGTTCCGGGAGGCAGGAACGGGAAGGATCAACTGGGACTGCGACATCTTTGACCTTGCCACTCATACCAAACGCTATCCCGAATGCCGATCTGTTACTTGCAGATTCCAGTCAGGATCTCTCGAGACCTGCTTTTGCCATCTTGTCGAGACAAGTTTTGGAACTTCATGATGCCGTACTCCGCTATGCTTCGCGGAATGTATCATATCTGCCGCACGAACACTTGGTCCTTGCGATACTCTTAAAGCCTTTCCTTACAGGTTATGCCAGGGGCCTGGCTGAGGAGGAGCGTTGGACTGCAGTAGAGGCCTTCGAAACCGCAGTTAAGATTTGGCAGCCTGCGTCCGCTGAGGTCAGTTTAATTTGGCGTAACGTCGTCGGATGCTCATTTACATAAGATGGGTATTGAACGCTGCATATGGTGTTGTAGTGCTGCTCGCCAGGAAACACCGATGAGGCCCAGGATCATTGGCATCCTCAACTCTTTGCTTCGTCCACGCACCGGTCCTATCGAGTTCCGTAGCCCTGGCACATTCGTTTCGTTGATTCAATCACTGCTCACGACACTCGTTTGTATACTGGAGCAAGTGTCGGATGGCCCTGATGCTGATATCGTCAAGGACTTGATCGCTCAACTACGGACCGGTAATTGTGGTAGTCTCGCTTCATACCTAGCTGACGTGGAGGTGGATGGGATTCCTGTTATGCTGGACGGTGTCAAAGAAGCAGACCTCCGGGATGCCTTAGTTTCCGAAGCCCTTATCCAATGCTGCAAGTTTTCTCCCCCGTGGGTTCGGACTCAGGTCATAGCCTTCCTTGACGTATGGTCTCTCTATTTCTGGAGGTTTACTTTTCACCAGTTTGTCACAGGAATACTGGAGACCTGCGTGGCAACCAGAGCCATTTTCTCCTTTACTCGCCGTCACTCACACCCGAAAACTAAACGTATTTAGTGATGTTTTGCTCTTAATCGCTTCCATCGATCAAGTGGGGCAGAAATCTGGCACGGAAGTCATTGTCAATATTGTTGAAACTAGGGTCAACAAAGAGTTAGTGTTGATCACTGGAAGGTATTCAATGGACGTCATGAAACGTCTCAGTTTCTCCCTACTCGAAGTTCTCTGTCTAAGTAGCTCACGGGAAGAAGACAAGGGGAAGATCCTGGCCTTGCTGACGGAATATCTCATGAGCGAACGATGGAGGCCAGCTGTGGAAAGCTCTATTCAAAAAGCGGTGAGTGCAGGTATTTATGCCGATGTGGCATGGCGCAGCTCAAGAGCGAATCAAAGATCAATTGTCGAGAATGGCCGTTAGCTTGTGGTGTCGTGGAGGCCTTCTTCATACTGCCTGAGATTGTTCGCGCTTCCGTTTTCTCAGTCGTAATACCCGCTTTACAGGAAGTGCGAATTCATTTTCGTTTTCATTATCATGACCTTTAATCATTGCCCAGAGACTTGTCATTGACCCTCCGTCCGACTCAATTTCGTTGTTCCCTGGTATCCTTGAAAGGGTTTCCCGACTATATCCACAACTATTCTTCAAACCGTTCTTTTCTTGCGCGGCCTCGTCCAAGGAGTTGTCTGTTGTTCATCACCTTCAACAGGTTGTTGGCGTATCTGCTTTATTACCTGATATCTGGCTCCATGATCCAGACATGATTGTCGTAGCTCTCATGAACGAGGTTGGCGACAAACAAGAAACTCACAAGACGTGGGGAAGAGCAAGATTGGGTCGGACTGCATTGCTGGTAGAGCTGATAATGGTAATTAGGGCATTGATCCCTGTAGATGCGGCTGTGCCTGTGCGTTTTAAACATGTTGGATTATAATCAACTCATGCTCCGGTGATAGCCCAGCAATCGGGTCGCTTCGGCCAACCGATTTTTCAGTACACTAGAAACGCGACTTGGTGTCATGCTAGATGTAAGAGTAAGAATTTTCCCGCACTTTCCCGAAGTTCAGTGATCATTTTACATTCAGGAGAGAACTGTCTTGATACCTCAATCCCAGCGACTCCTTCTATCTGTATTGTTGAGACATATCAGGCTTCTTACCCGTTCTCTCAAACGGTAGGTGTTTCTCACTTGTGCTACAGGGAGGTCGTAACGTCTTTCTAGATCGTCGTGGTTGTCAGCATCGATATCATGGCTCCTGCACTCACAGCCAGGGTCTAGCATCGATGATGGTGGCGACGATGTCTTAACCGTTGACGACAACGTCGTGGCTGAGCTGCTCGAAACGACAAGTCAACTTGAGGCCCTGTACCGGTCCGCACAGGAAGCCATCCAGGCTTCGCATCAGGTTTGCTGATGTTTGACACTTCCTTAATTGTGCTTGACACTTGTGTTTGGTAGCGCAGAAGCACCATGTTATTTCCCAATTTCTTCAGCAGTGGTTCAAATACAAACAACGGGTGCCAATCAAAACTTAGTGCTTACTTCACTGAGCGTGCAGAGTTCTTATCATCTTTGCCGCGGTCTCTGTCACAAGAAATTTCCAGATTGCTAGTTATGGTCTCACCATCGCTGACAGCAGAGGACCATGGTTCTCTTGGCCCTTTCTTATGGAAGCACTGTTTACATGATGCCGGATCACCTACTGCGCTTTCGGTACGTGAGAGTTTCACCGTATATTTCATTGCCACTAAGTCGATGCTAAATAGGCTGCCTTCTTGATTATGCAATGTGCGGAGAGGGCAACTACGACCCTGATACCTATAATTACGAGTGACTTGCAGAGGTCTGTATATTAGTTTTCTTTGATTCAGAAACGTTCCTGATTCATCCTGGCATCAGCCGCGACGACCAAGTCAAAGTTACCGCTATTCGTCGGTTCTACGTCTTGATCGCAATGCGCTTTCAAATTCTCTCTGAATTCTTCATCCAGGACAGAAACCACAGGCGCCTATTCAGGTCTGCGCGTGATCCCCTTCCATTTGTAGCGACGAGCATAGGCTCAAGTTTGTTCGCGGAGAAAGAGGAGGAAGAAGGGGACGAGGGTGAGATGTCCCTCGAACTCAGGAAGCGCCTAGCCGAGGTCGGTTGGCTCAGTGATAAGGAGTCCGCTGACAAGAAGCGCCAATGGACGTGCACACCTGTGTCATTATTACCTCTCTACGCGGTCGACCGTGTAGTCAACGTGGAACAACAGATACTTGTGTCTTCGTTCCTCGGCGGAACCCGAAAAATACGTTCCAATAGTGATGTTTCTGATTCTGGGTTATCGACGAGGACGACGGACTCCGCTGCGCGGTCTGGAAAACGCCGTGCAGTCTTTGTTCCACAACTTGCTGCTCTTTTCCCTTTAGTTATTTCCATGGCATCAGAACCTCAGTTAGAAGTTGCCTCCACAGCTCGAGACTGCATCCTACACGTCCTTCGAGACGACCCGGCATTACTACTCCGACCTGCATTTGACCTCGTCGTAGGGAACAAGATGGATGAGGCCGCAACAGCTATCCGAGGATTGCTACACCTTCGGCATGTTCTCCCTCCCGCAGCAACCCACTACATCTTCAACCACTTGATGGGTTTTCTAAAGTGGTTAGCTCGGGAAACCAATACTGGGGATCCCTTGCTCGATTTCGCTATGTCTTCTACCCTGTTAACTGGCTTTCTTTCCCAAGTCAGCGAAATGTCTCTGCGCGAGATAAGGCGCGCCAAGGTTGAGCCTTTCCTTTTACCCACTGGATCGCTGTGGTTCCATGAAACGGCCCCAGTCAGTGCATTATTCCCCCGCAGTATCGCAGCAGCTGCGGAGGATAGCGTGAAGCGCATGTCGGTATTAGCAGCGATGACCGTAATCAGGCTATCTCAAAACCGGCTTTTCCTTGCACTGTTGCAGAAGCATCCCAAAGATGTGCAGGGGATCCGCAAAAGCATGAAAGGAGTAGAATTGCCCTGTCTGGTTGACGGCGGACGAGCAACTCTCTTGACGCTCAACAGGCTTGTACCCTCCAAAGCAAAACTATCGGTAGCCCTATCCCAACCTAGCTGCTGGATTGGTGTGCTGTCTTCACTCCTTTCACGAAGCTACCTGCTTCTGACGACCCAGATTTTCAAATCCATGTCTCCACATATTAGTGAGAGGAATGAGCTTGCAACTTTCATCGACGGTATCAACCGAATACTGCTCGCACACTCAAGTGACATCGGCATCGTCGCCCAGGGATTGATTGGTAGTAAGATTGCTTCAGTATGGAAGCTACTTCTCTGACCACTGTGCAGCACTTATGGTAGCCGGTACCCGATTTCGGCGCTTATTCATCTCAGGAGGTGGCTACCCTTTATTTATGCTCGCTATTTTCAAACTATATGCCGAGCAAGAGGGAAACGAAGGCATCAGAACATCCATAGAATACGCCGCGAACCGTTTTTACGCCCTCCACCAGGAAACCTTCCTCTTCCAGATGCTAGATGTCGTGGCCCACGCTGTCATGACCAAGGAATGTGATGACTTCTGGACGACGGCGCACGTTCATCAACTTCTATCCTCTCTGCGATACGACACAGCCACCTCTTTGGATTATTCAGGCATCCGCGACTCTACTAAGTTGCAAGAGAAGGAAGCGTTAATGGTTGTCACTGCCGAAGAGAATCCCCAAGTGTTCATTAATTCGACAAGGCGCCCAAGTGCAAACGAAAAAAAGTTGTTAACAGACCTACCTGAAGAATACGCGAGTGTCCCTCTCCCTCCCGAGAATGTAATACGACTTCTGTTGACGGTCATAGCTCATGACCCATCAGCACATCGGGCACAGCGTTTCCTCCGTCTTCTCCGGCTGTCTGTCCAGACAATGTATAACGTGTCGAAACCAGCGCGAAATATCCTACGTGATGGCATCGACGCTATCGGAAATATCGTTACGCGAGTTCATCCCAAATCTCGTAATCCAGAGTCCACACCTTCGTCGAACAATCACTCATATGACAACGTCTTCTCTGAGATTCCGTTTATCAACCTACTTCAGGCGGAATCAAAGTCGTCCTAGCGACATCGCCTCTATGCAATTAGACTTCCTGCGCCTCGTCCTCGAATATATACAATGTGGTGGTCACGTTCTTCCCAACACCTCCCAGAAATTCTTCGAGATTACGAGGCTTCTCTTGCGCGAAGCCTGTGGACAAGAGGTTGAAGACATCTTGTCCCAATACTCGAAGAGTTTTCTGAACAGGACCAGTCAGCACAGTAGCAAAGAGGTGACTGTATTTTTAGAGATCATCGCACCGATAATACGCACCTACGGATCCACGGTCGACTTCGCCGGTGTCTACGAGGCAATCATACCCATACTCTCCGACGACCGGTTTGCGAATGATAGCTCGCCTATCACAAATACTCGGTACGCAAGTTTGCAGGGCCAGCCTGGAAGTTCTCATCGAGCGATGTACCGAAGGGTTGTTGCCCCATTGCACGACTCCGCCGGCTATACATCTGATGACCCGTGCGGTGTATATGCGCGGTGTAGACATCGTTGCTGAGATCGTAACCCATCCACCCACCTACCAATTAACGACCTGCGTGCTGATTCCGTTCATCCTGTCTTTGGACCCTGGTGGCGACAATACCAGCAGCTCCAGGTCGCACAACCGTGAAGTCTATCATAGAATCTGGTTGCGTCTGCTTTCATACTCCCTGAAAGCATGTCAGAGCGCGTTTCAAACTTTTACTGCCTCTCCATCTCCGGAACGTCGTAAATCTCAGGACAAGCGTCGCTCGGGTTCTACGGAGGAAACAGTCATGAGTGTTGTTGCCGCCCTGCAGGCATTGAAAGTCATCTGTGTGAAAGGGGCAGAAGAGATCTCATTGTCACCTGGGATTTGGACCCATATAGCAACTGTGCTAAAGTCTCTCCTTGCGGATGGCGATGCTTCCTTCGCATTTGGTGGGGAGTTGAGTGCCCCTCCTTCCCCAGTCCAGTCACCACATCACAGTATCGCTTCGTTCGACCCCTTTACTAGTCCGGACGCGCTTCGTCCGTCTGTGGCCTTTGATTTCCGCCGTGTGACTAACTCACCCTCTCGCCCGCGTCTTGTTGACTACCTTCTCTGGTCTCTGCTGGAGTTTGTCTGCCTGTGCCGCGGCCCGCTCGTTTTACAATTCCGTGTTGTAATCCAGGAAAAAGCTCGTCGTCTTGATGATGACATACGATCTCATCAAAGCGGGTTCTTCGCCAACATACGAGAACGACGGGTGTCTTCCATCTTTTCAAAGCCGCGTAAACGTGCCTCTAAAGCAGAAGCTGGTTCTGGGTCTCCAATGAGTCCATCGCCATACGGATTTACTCTTGTTAGTCCCACAGGACGGCCCCCTGCACACCCTTGATGTGGATATTAGCGTGGATCGCAAGGCAGGGTTCGAACGCTCGCCTTCTTCACCAGGCGGGCCGTCTCACCTACCGCAGATTGTCCATCTCGGACCGACTCAATTGCACGAACCCCAACAATCCGCTTCGACGACGGGCATAATATGCATGCATCTTAGAAATGGCACCATCAAGTCGCCCAAGCTCATTCATGCGACGTACCGGCGTATCCGGCTCGTCCAAGCCTCAATGGGCTATGATTTATTACTTCCTATCCCACCCGGGATGGAGGCTGACGAGGGATTCGACACAATCAAGGCATGGACGAAGAAGCGGGCAGTTGAAGAGCTCGTCCGCGAGATGGAGGAACTAACGGAAGAGTTTTTACACGCCTCAGGGGAGTCTGGAGCAGACGAGTCGATGATTATCGTCGATCCTGACGAATCCGCCTTGGTATAATCAGTGCCACGGGCGTTGCGGCGTACATTACATGGATTAATCTTAATCGAATATGATGGAAAATCGAACTGCGAGGACGCTTGCCCTTAAAGGAGTGCTTAAAGGAATGACTTAAATATTGACACGAACTACTCCGTTGTCTCAAGATTCGTCAAAGAAGCTGTGTGACGAGGGCTGATGCGAAGAGAGTAGAGACGAATGTAACCGGCATGGCATTCGAGCCCAACAATCTACCGGCGTTGTTGATAAGCGTAGTCGCGTTGGAATATGCGATGGACTGGGGTATCGAGGGTAACGTTTGGACCATACACATACGATGTAACGCTCGAGTTCATCGGAGTAGTGTCATTGCATTGGACTGACTACCGATTGGAACAACGCGTAAAAGTGTCCTAGAAGGATATGGGTGTGAACGATACGGGCTGCAGAAGAGCTACATTGCATACCAGCTGAGACGTAGTCCGGGTCATTCCAGTTGATCATACCTTTAAAAATAGTCCAGCTCAGTCATTCACATACCACATCAGAAAATCGATATACCTCCGGCCCACTGGATCGTGCCTTGTGGTTCGGTCGAGATGCCAGCCGGCCACAGGCTGCGGAGGATCAGTATTTTGACCTCTGTACCGTGACAACAGCCTACCTGAGTTGGATGCGGCTGGGTGTATTAGGGTATTCAGTGACTCCGGTTGCATTGTTGACGCAGTCAGATGCTTTGACTGTACGCGTGACGTTTCCATCAACAAGGAAAGTCAAGGTATCAAGGTTGCCAGTCAATCTATTAGGGGTATCTGTGTTATTAATGCGAGCCAGACGAAACGCGTAAGTAAATGCCGACCGTGAAGTCATGCCAATTGGAATACGTGTCACTCAAGCCCGTCTCCGTAACACCATTGGTCGTTTGTGCTATGGAGGACGTGGTTAGCCCGGATATGGAAATAATACACCACCTTACGGATAACGCCCTGCCAGAAGTAATTCGTTTGACCTTCGGTGGTTGCATTTCCGGGAAATTCCCAGTCAATCTCATCTTTTAAGCTACTCATGGTAATGAAGGCAGTAACCACTCCTGCCCAGCGACCGGTCTTCACTGAACCGTTGTCAGTACTTGCAACAATCGAAACAGGGAAAGACTTACACCTGGCGGTGATACGACCATAGTGAACGTAACGGGTGGAGGACAGCAAGGTGCCACCGTTGTTTTCCGTGAGAGTGAGAGCAATGGCAGGTTCTCCATCCGAAGTGGCGTTGAAGATGGAACCCTGTTGCACCACCCAATCTACAATTAAGTACTGAGTCTGTTGCGTCAGTACAAGGGGGAAACGGCGAATCACAAACCATATTCAGATGCATTACCGTTGAAATAGGTATAATTACTGAGGATACGGGAGGTATCGGAAAGGGTATACTGTGTGATAGCGACTCGTGAGCGAGCTGAGTAACAGAGAAAGGCAGCCTCACGTTGGCTGAGTGGCAGATGGGGTTAGGCTTGCAAGAGTTAAGGCTATGTGAGCTGATAGGATCGCAACCGCCTAGACAATACTAGTAGACTAGCAGGTCAGACAATATATGTGTCCATATGCTGGACACCCACGTAGCCATTGCCGCAGAATCCGTATTCACCTGGATAGAGGTATCACGAATGAGTCTACATCAGTAGCGTATGCATCGTACTGCAACAAGGGTAATCGGACGAGCAAGGTGTAGTCGCGTTGCTAAGCCATGGGAAACAGTGCGGGGTGTGTATGAGTAGTCATACCACGGCGTAGGTAAAGTGGCTCTCACCAAGTCGCGCCTCGTGTGCCAAGCACGGGAGGCAAGATAGCTGCCAGCGAAATAACGACAGCCAGAAGGAAGAACATATATGACAGGCCTGTTGGGGGGTATGAAAGAGAGTGTGGGGAGACCAAAAGAATGACTGTCGGGACTGGACTGGGTTATAAAATGGAGCTCGACTGAACGCTCCAAGTAAATATCATGACATTTGGGCCTTAACATTTACTTATGTAATTATCTATTTTTATATGTAGCAGGAATTCTTAGCGGAAATTACGTAACATATAACTACGCGCCCGCAACGCGACGCGTGAGGTGACTCTTCAAGCTTCAAGCGCAACCATGGCCCCAAAGGCGCCAGTCAAACAAAAGTCTGGTGAGAATATGAAGCAAAAGAGTCTTATGAACTTCTTCTCCAAGCCTGCCGATGGCGCGAAGCCCACTAAGGCACCAGTTCGACGAACCCCCTTCTCAGAGTCGCCTGTCGATGTCGAAGTACTTACCTCTCCTGCCGCACCAAGTCACGGGTCTTCAGATGCCGGGGACAAGGGAACACCCCCTACTAGTGATCCCGTCGATGTTAGCATGCTTTCTGATGAGGAGGTGGCGTTGTCGGCGAGGAAATCTGTGGTAGGCCAGTATTATATGCTCACTCTTCTCAACTATATGCGTGCATTTGACAGCCTCGTACGAAACGGAAAAACATTATCCTCGAGTCCGACGATGAGGTTGGCACTCCTACCCATATACAATCATCTCCTTGTCGCGGTCAGTGTGCGCACTGCGAAATAGTCTCTTTTGGTTCTTAATAACCCGTCGTAGGTCGATCGAAGAAACCCCGTGTAGCAAGTCCCTCAGACGACGAATGCAATGTTGCATCAACTTTTTTGTCCCGTTTATCGAGGTTCAAACAAGCACCTCGTAACGCCCGTCGGTTTTCCACAATCATCATCTTAAAAACATTATCTCATGATTTTTGACTAGCAGCCAAAAAGGCATACCATTCTGACGAGTTTATCGTCCCATCCGACTCTGATGAGGACCCACGAGATCGCTCGTCTTCTCGTGCCTCGTCCCGTAGTACTTCAACCCCTCATTCAGCACATGATGATGACGATGGCGAGGACTACGAGGGTGACGAGAGGACCAAAAAGTCGCAGCCTAAACGATCTCTAAAACAGCCTGGTATAGCAGGTGTCTCCAGTGGAGGGCACTCCCTCTTCCTTACTGCTGCCGAGCAGCGCGCTCAGCAGCAGAAGACAGAGAAGAAAGCTACCGAAGAACCATTTGCCTTCTTGCAGGATCCCAGGGATGTAAGTATGACCTGTTTTTCTTAAATCGAGATTTGAGAATGTGCCAATCTTTACCAGAAAGATGGTCTCCGTCCTGGTGAGCCGGGTTATGATCCAAGGACTTTGTATATTCCAAAGCAAGTTTGGGCCTCCTTCACACCCTTTGAGAAACAAGTTCGTTGCCCACTTAACTGATTTTGCGCGCTAACTTATTCCTTGTTGACAGTTCTGGGAGGTACGTCTAAGCAAATTTCAAACATCTGCAAAAGAAACTCGAGCTAACTGTTCAACAAGATTAAGCAAAACCATTTTGACACCGTAAATGTGTTTTTAAATTTTGATCTATGCTTTACTCACCGATTGTCAGATCTTGTTTTTCCAAAAAGGGTACGGAAGCTGAATCTCGATTTTAGCAGTTTGCTGACTGAATCTCTATCCATGCAGGAAATTCTTGGAGGTACATTTGCATATATGTTTACCTTCGGAAACTGATATTGTTCTTAGTTGTACGAAGAAGATGCCCGTATTGGTCACAGGGAATTTGATCTGAAGCTCACGCAGAGAGTGAAGATGTCTATGGTATGATGAGTCTTCGGTTTCGAAAATCTTCATAATGTTTTCTAGGTTGGCGTGCCAGAGACCTCTTTTAACTTCTGGGCTGCGTAAGTCGGAATGTATATTGCATTTGTATACATCTGACGACCCCGACTTCATGTAGCAAATTCCTCGGCAAGGGTATGCGATTTTCGTTCCGGCAGCAAGTAAGATTCACCCATAGGTTTGTGCAGGATACAAAGTCGGTCGCGTCGACCAGTCTGAGACTGCACTGGGTGCCGAGATGCGCCTAGCCAGAAGCAAAGGCAGTCAGGTCGAAGACAAGGGCAAAGAGAAGATTGTACGGAGGTAATATCCACGTTAGAGCATAAAGGTGGCTGCTGACTGTACCAGGGAGTTGAACAAGGTTTACACCAACGGGACATTGGTGGACGAAGAGCTCCTTACGGACGAGCACGCAGGTCATTGTATCTCCATTCGAGAGGATTCGTCCGGTCTACAAGGGTGCAATTTCGGTATTTGCGTTTTGGACAGCGCAACATCCCAGTTTGATTTAAGTGCATTCGATGACGACGTATGCTTGACTAAACTGGACACGTTGTTCAGGCAACTGAGACCAAAGGAGGTCATTTTTACCAAGGTGAGATGCGATACTCGGAAGTCTGACGACTGGTGATAGTAAATCCTGGCAGGGCAACTTATCTGTTACTACTACACGGTTACTCAAAGCCATTCTTCCTTCTGCGTGCCTGTGGACAAGCTTACGTGACGTGGAAGGATATACTTTTGAACAAACCATCAAGGAACTTAACGAGATATTCTCAGAAGGCGCGGAGGACGATGGAATGTGCGCCGAGACGGAATTGAGTTCTTCTGTGCCCCAGAGTATCCGAGACATGACTGGATGTAAGACCGCTATAGAAGCCCTTGGGGCAATGTCATGGTAAGGTGTTCTGTACCCCAGATGCTTCTTACAGTCGAGCATGTTAGGTATCTTCGCCAGCTAAACATTGACAAAGACCTCTTAACGATGAAGAACTTCAACGTGTACGATCCTATGAAGGCTGGGCGCAATCTCGTCCTCGATGGCCAGACGCTCGCTCACCTTGAGGTGTGTGGAACCTGGTTCGTTGAAATTAGGAAGACTAAAATCTGAGCTAGGTATTGCAAAATAACGAGGGTACAGATGAGGGTACTCTCCACAAGCTCCTCAGTAGATGTATCACACCGTTTGGTTTGTGTCTTCGCTGTCCCCATGTCGCACTGCTTGATGACTCCCGAAGGTAAACGGCTGTTCAGAATATGGCTTTGTGTTCCACTCAGAGATGTGGCTGATATCAACAACCGGTATTTTGTTTCTTTCCACTTGGGATATTAGTTGACTCGTTGGTTGTAGCCTTGATGCAGTGAAAGATTTGATTGATCATCCAACGTTCGAGGCACGCTTTACGGACTTGGTCAAGGGCCTTCCTGACTTGGAGCGTATTGTTTCTCGTATTCATGCAACGAATTGTAGAGTCAAGGACTTCATCAAAGTACTTTCAGTAAGTCGATGTTATGACATCTTACCAGTTTGGGAACTCCATTGCTATCGGATAGGCTTTTAGGAAACTGAACGATGGGCTTGCAAGTTTCGCCGAGAATTCGGAGTTATTTGAGTCGAAAACCATCTTAGATTTGTTGAGGTCAGCGCCAGATCTTTCACCTCACCTGAACAATGTCCAGTCGCGCTTTACTGTCGACAAGGGTGAGGACCGTTCATATCGAACTTTTCTTGGTGACTCACGGAAATTAGTCACGGATGAACTCCTTCCCGTGGATGGCAAAGATAAAGTTTACGATGGTGTCATGCAGGAGATATCAGAACTGGAGCAATCGCTTGATTCCCGGCTGAAAAAGTTTGAGAAGAGCCTTGGGTACGCTGAAGCGTACCACCACTTTTCGCCACTTATTCATTTCTGAGCAGGTGTAACTTGTCCTGGTGGCATAGCGCGAGTGGAAACAAGGTACCTATTTCTTCCATGGATGATACATTTGACTCTGACACGGTATAGGAAATATACCTTATTCAAACAAAGGTTAACCAGGAGAATATCCCCGATGAGTGGGTAAAGAACAGTGCTACTAAAGTAAGATGCGTGATGTCTTCCATGCCCTTCCTGCTAACCAACATTCCCAGACCGCCAAACGATGGGTAGTCCCGTCCTTACAGCCAATGATTCGGCGTCTTAAAGAGGCACGCGAAAACCGCAACGGCGCTGTGAAAGATTTCAAAGGACGTCTGTATGCCGAGTTTGATGCAGATCGTGGAGTATGGCTTCGCGCCGTACGAGTGTTAGCGGAATTTGATTGCTTGTTTTCGCTTGCAAAGTCATCGGTTGCTATTGGCGAACCGTCTTGCCGACCCGAATTCGTCGAGGGCGAGGCTGCTTTCGTCGAGTTTGAGGAGCTTCGACATCCAACACTGTCTGCCCTCAGGGACAACTTCATTCCAAATGATGTCAAATTAGGAGGAGGCGTTGGTCGGATTGCTCTACTTACTGGTGCGTTGTTCTCCATGTGGTTGAGTTGGGACTTACATTGTTATATAGGGCCCTAACATGGGGTGGGTTTCATCCGCAATCATCTTAACCTTGGCTAACTTCTTGTGACGCTATCAGTGGCAAATCGACGGTGAGCCGGGATGTGATTTAAGTAGCTGTTTCTCAACCTGGTCTGGCAGGCAATGAGGATGACAGCTGCTGGCGTTGTAAGCATCGTGTTGTTCGTTTGATCCTCCGAGCTGACGTGAGCCTCAGATCATGGCACAGCTTGGTATGCTCGTTCCCGCAAGATCTGCACGGTAGGTGACCTTGAGTATCCAAGGTGTCCCCGCTGACCTGAACAGCATCTGTCCAATTGATAAAATCCTCACTCGAATGGGAGCGTACGACAATATGTTTTCTAACTCCAGTACGTTTAAGGTTGAGTTGGACGAATGGTAAGCTTCCGAGCTTCCCAGAGGTGAACAGTGGGTTAATGACCGTGTCCAGCTGCAAGATTCTCCGTGACGCTACTCCCAGATCATTGGTCATCTTAGATGGTAAAGTCAATGAAGGTCGCGCTTATCACACTAACAATTGTAACAGAACTTGGCCGGGGTACCTCTACATATGTGCGTTAGTTTTTTACTATGTAAGGCTCATCCTAACTGACCCGATATCGATATAGGATGGGATGGCGATTGCTGCTGTGAGTCCTAACAACGTGTTCAGCCGTATGGCGACCATAACTACTTGCAGGCGGTATTACATGAATTAGCAACCCGAACCCTTCCTCTTGCTTTCTTTGCCACTCACTATGGCTCTCTTACGGATGACTTCGCCTACCACCCTGATATCAGGAACATGCATATGTCGACGCTTCTTGATGATGAGAAACAAGAGGTACTGCATTCGATTTGTTGTTGTGGATTTCCCTGATAACCACGTTTCTTAAGCTTGTCTTCCTCTACAAATTGGTCGAAGGCGTCGCATCGTCATCGTTCGGAACACACGTAGCCAGTCTCGCTGGTGTTCCCTCTGAGGTTGTATCTCGCGCAGAGGTTATTTCGAGTGATTTCGCCAAACAATTCAAAGCGCGCATTGATGGCCAAAAGAAATTGCTCGCATCCAAACTTCCTTTGGTTGCCCACGCCGACTTCAAGTATCTGCTGGCTTTGGCAGCCGGTGACCTGCATTTACCTCAGGACCCTTACAGGCAACGACAGCTCCTCGGACGACTGAAGGCAGCTATCCGGTCGTACCTTCCTCTAGACATCAGTGCACGTTGACAAGGTGCTCCCTATACCACAATTCCAATGCTATCATACCTTTGCATTCGTTGTAGATTGCGCATACCGTTACTTTATATCTCCATGCTCGTCGCTTATGTAATTTGCAGTCTCTGTTACCTCAACTTATGGCTGACGTAAGCTAACCATGAGGCGAAACTTTTTCGTGACGATGTGAACACTTAACTTATATCCACCCTCTTCTCCCGTTGTTACCTAGTTCCCAGTCTTCATAATGTCCACATGCAGAGTCGGTACAGGCAAAAGCGCCTGCTCAAATACACAACATAGTGCGTTTTCCTCCGGAGCAACCAGGCTGGTATGAAGACTCGTGTTGGCGCTCTCAATGGCAAGCGGGTGGACTACTTCAAAGGTGTGTCTACGCACCCACTCTTCCATTTTGCACCACGGGTTCTTACGAGTTCACTGTAGGCAAATCAGCCGTGAAAGCTCTGCTGTCACCTGCTTACGCCAAAGCCAAAAATGTGCCAGAGATCACTACTGATGCGCAAGCGGAGGCATTCCTGCAAACTATCTCGCAGTACATGTTTTTCATTCGTGTAGACCGCGCTGAACAAGTCGGCTCGTCTGGGATCACCGAAACAGGTTACAGTCAGTCCCATACAAAGCTTTTCGCACGACGCGTATTTTGCCTGGTTCTACGATGGCTCACAGTGGACCACTTATGCCGGAGGATTATTGATGGTGGCCATTATGCTTGCTGGCGTAATGTTCCCTCTGTGGCCGCCTATCATGCGCCTTGGCGTTTGGTACCTCAGTATGGGGGCGCTAGGTCTCATTGGCGCATTCTTTGGCTTAGCCATCATCCGACTTATATTCTACATCATCACGATCATCGCCGTGCCACCTGGAATATGGATATTCCCCAAACTGTTTGCAGATGTTGGCGTTGTGAGTGGCTCTTTGTGTTGTACCTTTCGGAATGCCGACGAGTGGCTGCCAGATTGAATCATTTATTCCATTGTGGGAATGGGACCTACCGAAGAAGAAGGGCGAGAGGAGAAGGAAAGGCAAGAAAGGGGCAGGTGGAGAAGAGTATCGAGAAAGCAGAACCGCAAAACGGTGCCAGTGATGTGCAAGCAACGGCAGATGATTCTGCTGGGAGTTCACGTCCGGAGAGTAGATCGGCACGTGTAGAGGAAGTCCCCGACGAGGACTCATGACGGGGTGATTACATGTTGGGGATCCGGGACACTGGAGCCAGTAGGATATGCACAATTGTGTGCACCTTATATATTTTACCAGGTACCCCACGTACTATTACCACATTTTGGTGCGATGGGAGCATTCCATTCCGTTTCGAACTTCCGGGAGTTGTGCGGATTAGTCATCGCGTGTGTCGGAGGTTTGCGCAATTGCAGTCCCCAGCCTAACGCACTTCCCGCCCACCATGATTCTGCTCAGTACTGAGTTCTTCTGTAAGTTTTGCATGCTGACCTTCACATGTCTAGCTTTATTGATTGTATAGTAGGTTTCCTCACTATCTCGAAATGCGCTTTCCGTTAGTTGGAGAACACCAGCATTCCGACGTTTTCTGTCAGACGAGGCCCGCGCGAAAATCCATGCAGCAGTGAATGAGCATCCCGTCGTATTATTCATGAAAGGCACTGCGGAAATGCCTCAGTGCGGTTTCTCGCGTGCGGTCATTCAAGTCTTGGATATGCACAGAGTACCATCAAAGAAATTGCGAACATACAACGTCCTCGAAGACCCAGAACTCAGGGGCGGCATAAAGGAATTTTCGTGAGTCTCTATACTGAACGCTGTGATTTTCTTAGTAAACTCGGTATTTCAGTGACTGGCCGACAATTCCGCAACTGTACGTTAATGGGCAGTTTGTGGGTGGATGTGACATACTTTTGTCGAGTAGGTTTAATTCCTTTGCAAGTTGCTGGCACTCGAATAACCTTTGCAATAGTGCATCAGTCCGGGGAATTGGAGGCTCTACTTGAAAAGCACGATATTATCCCGAAGATTGAATCCTCGTCCCAGTCGTGATTGAGATTCCGCATCTGCGACACCCCTGCCCGATTCGTAAACGCAACTCTGCTGTTCAGGGAGGTTAACTCGCCGTGTCTATGGTATATTTCGGACATTTACCGGTAGACGGGAAGAGTCTCCTGCTAGAGTCCAATGACACACTTTAACACTAGCATATCCTTAGTAGTACAGTATTTGACGCGCACACATCATCACCACTCTGCGAGCATCAACACGCCAGATTCTTTGTCTTGGATACGCCTGACCTAGTTCATCGCCGGAAGCATGTTTTCTGGAAGTGTCCAACCCAACATCGTTTCCCTCTTCTCGTCTACAGGAAGCCAGCCTCTTTCGCTCTTCGGTGTACAAGTGGACACTGCTTTGCCATCGGATTCCTTCGTCCACCTTTTGGACGACAGCACTTCACTTCGTGCACCATCTGGAGCCTCTCTGATCGCACCACCAAAGGCTTACCATGATGAGGACACGGAGGCATGTATAGGCAAGCAGCTCCGACAGACCGTTTTGCACATCCAATCACCAACATTGCGCACAACCTTCATTCAGTGTCCCTCGCCTTTCTCGTTCCGGACAGACGACAAGGGCCTTGGGTTGAAACACGCGTGGCTGCAAATTCAAGTCCGCAACCTTGGCCGTGAGTGGTCGTTCGAAGTGGGCATAGTAGACAAGGCAGGCAAACATGGAGTCGTAAGGTGCTCCACCTTTCAGGTAGTCAACCTCTTCTTTTGCTTTCAGTTACCAGACTTCCGGTGCCTGTCCACAGCTTCCCTGTTTTATTCCTGGGATAAGTGGGCTGATACTTTGTTTTCTACCTTAGAAAAACCCGACTCTCAACTACAATCATGATCTCGCTCCGGTTCTCCATCTTCCTCTCAAATTTCCGTCCTCCTCGTCAAACGCTTTGACTGCATGGTCGACTGTGACTGTACATCTCCCGAGTTTCATTCCTCAATTCGCCTCCGTTTCCCGTGATCAACGGTCGCGAACAGATGCCTCTGATGAGGATGGTAGCACGGAGAATGCCAGTAGTATTCCCTCGCCACAGTCCTTGCCTGGTGGGGCATACGCCCATCTAACGTACGTCAAGATCTACGCTACGTGTCGATTGCGCAGAATCTGGCTTAGTGGCTCTGCACCCGGTGCGGGAGGTCCGACTCCTTGGGAGTTTGAACTTTATGGCGACTAGGTGGCATTCGAGGTCCAGATCTCTGTTCCCCGCCACATCTATGGCCCGCTTGCTTGTCATGCATGTGATTTTTTATTGCGCTTTATCTCAACATACGGTATCAACCATCAGTGTATCTCATCGGGCCTTAACGTGAGCGTCGTGCCGGCGAGTTCCTGTCTAGGTAAGGTGCAGCCTTGCCCTCTAGTAGTTTGTCATTCGAGCGAGTGGTGTCCTAACGGATGTGAAACTGATGTTTCGGTGACACTGACGTCGTGCAGTCCGCGGCATTCCACTGAACACAAACCGGCTCTTCATAGCGACTCGCTCGACTAAATTCGACCGTTGTAGTCGTATCATATGAACCCGATATTTCTCCTTCCATCACCTCCCATCACGAACTGTTATTTTTGCAATTTCTTCGCCTCCACTGCGTCTGCAACTGCTACATTCTCTGCCGTGAATGGTCATTGTCCTCCCCGCGCGACACATACCCAGGACCGTCTCCTTCGATTACGTGATGGCGATAACAGATCCATTGTCAGCTCTCAGGACGCTCACGATGCCAGCTAGTTGGTTTAGTTAACCCGCCGCGTACAGGTGAGATTGCTGTTTCGTCCCACGGGACTGTCATTTTTACTCTCTACCCTACTATTAGCTTTTGACGCAGCTGGTCATGGCAGGAATATTCAATAAGTAGATGCCTGGGAATTTGTATCGGGATATGAGGATGGTGCTGCTCGACAGTCTAACGTTATCAGATTAGTGTGTACCTCAGTCTCGCTCCGCGCATCAGCATGAAATGAACTGGGCTTCGGGTCCCTAGCCTCATCTATAGCGGACGGTGCTGTTCGAATGACTTTGTTATCGCATCGGCGATCATCGATAGTGTCTGACCTGATACTGACTAACAGTGTAGGAACTTGCGGGGCGAGGTGAGCCGAGTCTCCAACCTTGTCAGTCGTCACAGTGAACACAAGGGTAGCTGGGGAACGGAGCCTAGGGTAGGAATTCAGTACCTGCCACGCGGATGCTCCGTTGTCTCCCAGTTGTGCAAATTCACTCTAATCCGGCTATCTCCACATCGCCGACCTAATAGGCATCTACACAGGAGAAGGGACCGATGATGCGATATCCAATCTTCCAGGGTACGGTCCGTATGGATGACAGCGGGAAGTTCCCGTTGTTGAATCAGCTGTGGGGTCGTGCGCTCGGCAGTTAGCGTGCACCTAAAATACCTGAAATTCGTTGATCCTGTGCTTTTCTATCGATCCGAAACGACAATTATTGGACAGGCCTCCCATCGACACTTGGGAACCATACTGGAATCTTCCGTAACAAGAGATATCTTATCTACGTCTCCCATCTCGTGTTGGACAAATTCCAGTTGGCGTAAGTAATTGCCCAGACGTGGCACCCTTCTCAGGCTGTGGGTTGCGTAGGTATCGACCCGCCATCGAGGTACTTAAATTTACTGTAAAGTATGTTTCAGCGTGGTCTGTGTCGTATGCCTAAGTATGGGGGAGAGCGAAGGGAGGAAAGGCCGCACCAGTCCTTGGGGGTGAGTTGTCGCAAGACCTCCAACTACTAGCGGGTGCATGAATATGTTGCAACCGTCTAGTCTGCAGGCCCGCAGCCAACGAGAATAAGCAGTCAAAGTGGAGCCCTGTAGTTTATCAAGATCACAAGGGGTCTGTCAACCACACTTAGTGTTGCCGATAACGATTGAACTGCTTCCCATTCCTTCACTGAAAATGCCACTACGGACCCCTACGCAACCTACACATTCACACAGATCAGTGTGGGTCAGGCGCGGAGATCGAAAATTATCGATCGCCAACTTCAATCTTATCGTCTTGAGTCATTGGCCACTCTGATTATCGTGATACTGAAGAAAACCACGTACTAAGTACTGCCGTGTTCGGGCCAACACCGGCACATACAAGTAGGACCGCATGGCCGATGCAATCGAAAACGTCGAAGACATTCTGCTTGACTCGCTCGAGATCCTCGGCACAGAACGAGTAGAAGACCCGGGGTGTATTCAGTACGGCGACCTCGTACTAACCGTCGCGCCGAAGGTGAGTTTGTAGTCGGGTTTCTGCCGGTGACTTCCGTTAGGATTCCGTCGAGTTTTTGGCACCTTCTCGAATCGTACTAACTTCGCGTTGTTTGTGTTCCTGGATACACAGGAAGGAAAGGTACGTAGATGCTTCCGCTTCTAGTGCGCGCGAGAATAATTGAGGACTTCCCGAGTACAATGCTGACGGAATTTTGTTAAGGCGAATACGTTGCTCGCAGACCATCTGTTCTCACCGGCCCTCCTCCTCGCCGAGCGCATCGAACGAAATTTGGTCGAAGTTGCAGGCCGATCTAGTGAGTTTTGATTGACGTACGGTTCACCTCAACATGTAGAAAAACTAGCAATCTTTCAACTTTCCAGTCATCGAACTTGGCGCGGGATGCGCACTTCCCTCACTCCTCGCTGCTACCCTGCCTGAACCCCCTAAGCTGGTAGTGGTGACGGACTACCCGGATGATATCATTCTTGGAAACCTCAGAAGGACTGTGGAACGTAACGTACAACATTTCCGCCCCCCGTGTGCCGTGCATTGCGAAGGATACGAATGGGGAAAGGACGCCTCTTCACTGCTGTCAGTGTCCCATACCTCTATGTCAGGTGTCCACCACCCCCTCTCAACGCACGTACTCACCCTTGGTGCCTTCGTTCTTTTTTCCTTCTTGTTTACAGTCATCTGTCTGAGGGCCCTGACGGGTCACTTGGGTACGGTGTGGTGATAATGTCCGACTTGCTGCACTTTCACTCCTCCCACGATGCACTCATCCACTCGCTCTCGTGTCTCCTTGCGAAGACGTCTGGCGCTCGGGTGTACGTCGCCGCAGGTAACTATACCGCACTACCGGTATGCCAGAATTTCCTGGACACTGGATCCCGTATTGGTTTGTTGTGGGAGGACGGCGGCGGCGCTAGTGACCAAGGGAACCACAGCGATTATAAGGGGGATATCGAAGCCACGAGCCCGTGGCTGGGCACAAGAGCCATCGCCGGCATTGACGCTACACAGCTTGGCGTCCGCAAAGGCCTGTGCCGGTGGTGGGTCGGTAGATGGAATATCCCAGACATTAAAGGTGTTGTTGATGGGATCACCGTGGTCTGATATGCTGCCGGGCAATGTTGGTCGGCGTTAATTAATACACCTCTGGCATTGCAAGGCTTCAGGGTTTTGCGGTGAATTCTTCGGAGCAGATCCCTCTGTTATCTTACCCTCATCGCCCTAGTTCATGCCAGTCTTCGTTCTTGCAGTTAGGCAAGGTCATGTCACAAGTTTTTACTCATGATACGTGTCGGTGAATAACCTTCATCGGGAATACATTCTTTGACGCAGACACCTGCGCGCCCAGGGTTTCTAATCAGGTGCCGACCGAGCGGAAAAGACCCAATTTCTTTCACTTCCGGAACAAATTCGTCATTATTAATTCTGACACATCTAGCATCAGAACTTTGGGTTGTGGTCTTGCGAGCGGTAGTGATGCGTTCCCAATCCGTGGCTACGAGTAATGTACTGGCAATTCTCACAGGCCTCATGTCATACTAGGGAACAGATCGCGTTTTCAACGGGAACGATGTCAAATAAAAACCAGGCTGCAGCGATGCGAATGACACCCGTTATACGAGATGGACACGAGGCAGAGAATGTAGAAATTTGAGCGGCGGACAGTCACTCCTAGCAGGAATGGTTTCCTTGTGTTCTCTGACGCAAATATTCCACTCCACTTCATGCCATTCCCCTACGGTGGGTGAATAACAGTACCTGAAGGACTATGTACAAGGTAACAGTCTGGAGGTTGGAGCGTCACGTAAAGGGGTCGTCATGACGGTCTTGCACTCACGTGGTTCTAGTTGGCGATTAAAAAACGAAGGCACAATCGTGTTACATACCTTCTGTGATCGTTCGCGTACAGAGGAGGTGGAGCCCATCGGGCGTTTGCATAATGAATCAAAACTCCCTGAGGCTTCGCGGAGTGAACGCGTTTATGAATCATATTGGTGGGGATCGATGAGAATGACGTTAGAACACCATGAGAATACGTACATAAGTGCGAACAATCGACAACTGCGCCCGTCCTCTACAGGGTCGCATCGCAGTCTATCGGGATATCGGGATTCAGGCCTGGTAAGATTGGTAGTTTGCCGCGGATATTATTGAGTCCGTTGTTGTACGTTTAGGTTCATGCTGAGCGTAGTGCACGAGGTCTGACAGTACCGCACGAACATTGCACGCAGAACACTAATACAGCACTGGAACGGTTTCTTTGTGGACCGAGAAGCAAGCGAATTCTCCGCGCGTATTGGATACATGCCAAGAAGACAGAACATGTCGAGGGGCTTCCAGAGGCTTCCTTGGCAACGCAGCACGCCCTGATGAATATGTGGCGCCGAAATTACTGTTGACTGCTGACGGACCCAAGTCACCAAGTTATAAGTTTAAGGGTACGTGTATGAATCCTTATGGGCAAGTCTGTTTTTCCATGACCATGACCCCCCGGAGTACATGGAATTTTTGGGAAACCTGGGATTCCTCTACGGAGCATCCCGATGGCGGTGGCATTTGCGTTATTTGGCAAGGTAAAACAAACGAAGACTCTCACGGGAACTCTAGCATGAGTTCAACGCCACGCGATTTACACCCGGATAGTACTTGCATACGGGAGATACATGTAACTACACACAGCCCTTCGAATGACTGAGTCGCGGTCATCTCGCGGCGTTTGTCGCTTTGGCTCGCTGAGGACGTGCTGGAAGACAACGCCGGACACACGATGTCCATTCGGAACTCAGGTTGAAGTCAAGAAAGGAAGCGAGCCAGCGTCTCGGCAGGCCTTCATGATCGTCCTTGCACCCAACGTTGCGTATGCGAAGAAAAAAAAGTTTCAAACCTTCCCTCAACCCTGTATACGCATATTCACGGAGCGTGTCCATCCGAAGACTGGCAGCTCAAAAGTTAAGGACACGCCGTCTACGGTCTATATAGATTTTAAATTATTGCGGTCATTATCAAAATGTGCACACCCAGCCACTGCGCATGCATACCCACGAAGAAATAAGTCACCGAAGAATCTGGGTTCTACCCATCGACCTTTCGTGTCCCGATCCCCATGGCAAAACTGACACAGACTGTCTGCAATGACTGACGCATGATTAGAGTAGCTCGACGCTCAGGCACGATCACAGACCGTATCATACCATACAGGCGCCGTACGTTGTACAGTGTGTAATATTTAGACGCGGGGAGTGACTCAGTTGTACTGTGGGCAGCTCTTCACTGCTGCTAGTTGCAGAGGAAAGAATGTAATAAACTCAGGAGGTGGAAGGGGTGCAAATGCGATCTGGAACGGCGGCAGTGTTGCTGGCTAGCTGGAGGCACATCACACCTGAAACGAAGGGGAGCTTTACACCATCGTGCCTAGTGGACCCTACCGAGTTCGATTGTAGTTGAGACCCATGGGGATGCTTGTACGTAGACGTACGAGATATACAGCCTGGATGTGAGTGAGACCCTAGGCGAGACACCGTCGTCCCTGCATCGCGGGTGTTAGCAAGTATGTATCATGCGAGCGATTCGAAGCGAAAATTCACCTCGTGGAAGCACTACAATATCAGCCGAGAATAATCTCTAGCTCCATTCTGGCATGTGCAGTTGAATTGTATTCCACATGGCATATTTTGATTTCTAACTATTGCTAACTTGAAGGCGAGGGGAAGTGTGGTACATAATGTTCGTCTTCTCATACAGACGGGTCTAGACCGGCACGGGGAACCCGGGAGAAGGTGCCACCAAGGTTGCATCAAGAAGGACAACAGGTGGGCTTGCTTGCATACGTGTCATTGGGAGGCAAAGATAGGGAACCAAGGAGGACGTTTTGGGAAGTCCAGAGGAACTATGGACCGAGATAAGGTCTGATCTAAGAACACGCGCCCGTCATTCGTTGGGTGGCGAAGAAAGGGGATGATCGCAGATGATGACTGTGTCTTCTATTCTATCCCCCTTTTCCGAGCGACCGGTTAGGTTAGACGGGTGATGACGGCGTAGCATGGCGGGGAAGGTCACCACCACTGGAACCAGCTAGAACGCAGAGAAGCGGCCGAACACTGGCTTCCCCACTTTATCAGGCCGTGACCTGGTCGTGGCTTCGCAAGGTCGGGGGACGAGCGACGAAAAAAGTAGTCTGTGGGCAGGAGCAAGCTGAGACAGAACTGCGGAGCAGAGATCGGAAAGGATGTTGAACATCTAACTATGGAGGGAAACGAGCAAGGGGCATCATTCTCTTACAGCCTGCAGCGGCACAAACCTGATACGTCGGGTGCCGCACTGGAGCCCTGACGACATACTATCGCATATTAGTGGTGTGGTCGTGACGTCTCCCGAGACCGGGGTACATACCACCGTATGCTGTGATGGAATGGTGGCGCCATTGCGCAGTATGCAATGGTACGATTGAGTCAGCCAGTGAATAAGCTCCAACGAGTTGAGATGAAGCGATCAGAGATCGTAAACGCAGTGGTGAGCTGGTCTACTGAGTTTCGGACTCAGACTACTTTTTTGAGTTTGGGCCAATCTGGCTGTGGGATGGCGTGATAGAAATGTAACTGTGTTTCTAAGTGTGTGCAGCTGGGCCCCCATGGATCGCGCGGTAGGAGACAACCTCCTACTCGCCCTGGAGCCCATGTTCTGTATGCTGGCCCTGCGAGTACTGCCTACTGTGTGAGTGGGACACCCATCAGACCACAGGTCCAGGCGTCGAAGATGAGCCAGTGGCCCGGGGAATGGGAGTGTGTACTAGGCGGTGGCGACGGGAATCCTCGAAGCACGTAAAAGCATCCAAGTCCGCGGGGATCAGCTGTTAGGTGGTTCATTAATCCATCCAAGGTCACGCCGAGCCAGTCGCCAGCTGTGCGTTCGACCCGGTCTGAAACGGGTGGTCGACACTATCTATAAACAGGTGAGCTCTCAGATCTCAGAGCCAACAACGTACGTGACAAGATTTCATATCATTTCGATGCAAGCAGCAGATAGCCAGATCCCCATTCCCGCCGACACGCACGGAAGGAAGACAGGACGGGCCAATCCACACGCGTGATATTGGTCGCATCAGTGGCAGACGCATCCTTGTCAGATATGCCTACAGAGGTACACACGAGTTGTATGCGATTGATCACCTGGCGAGGGGGGGCTCACTTGGAGGCGACTTGGACGGAAGCAAGCTCACGGAGATAACAGTTGGTCGGGAGTACATAGTTTGTTTGTTTTTTTTGTATTTAAGAAAAAGAAATCAGGAGAAGTTGTCGACCTACAGCAGCGTGATAGGGGCAGAGGGACAGAAAAGGGCATGGGCGGATCGCCACCGGCAGGATTCTGGGTTCGATTTGGATCTGAAACGGGTGCCCCATGGGAGGGCCAAGATCGAAGGGAGGCGATCTGTGAGGGGGGTGTTGAAAGTGCACATAATGGTTATGTAATATGTGATTAGCTAAGCGAGTGCGGATCCCAGCAAGAATTGGTTCCGCATATGGCCATGGGGGCATAGACGTTGATCATGAATATGCTGAGTGCCATGACCGGGGGTGGTATTTTACCAGAGGTCTCCCCCCCGCTGTCCCCCGTCGTCCTCCCCCTCTTCCGAGATGTACGTGGATCAGTACAACGTTCTCACCGCAAGACGCTGTTTCCAGTCCAGCGACAGGCAGTCCTCCTCAGCAATGCCCCTGTCTTCCCTCTGGGACTCCCACTCTTCCCGCTCCTTCTCGGACTGCCACTCCTCCCAGTGGATGCTCTCCGATATCTCCTCGTCTTCCCCCTCCTCCTCCCCAGCCGGATCCCCTCCATACCCCCCCACCGTCGCCGTATCATACCGCTCATCCATGGATCACTCCCCCGACTATCACCCCTCCCCCCACCGCACACTCGTCTCCCACCCACCACCCTTCTCGCGAAATCACGCGCATCCATCCAGGTCTATCAATCACTCCCTGGGCTCGCAATGGGTTTCCGCTGGCTTGTACACCCTCGATCATCCAGATGCGTCAAACTCCGAACTTCCCCCTCCATCCACAACCCCTACCGCTTCCCCTTCTCCACGTCCCCTCTCCTCCGCCACTTCTCCCTCCATCTCCAAATCAGACCACTTCAAATCGGACGAGGAATCCGTCTCGTCAGATTGCTTCGTCATGGAGTTCTCCGGCTCCGGCTCTGCCAGTGCAAGCAGCGCCCTCGCGCCTCCCACAGAGGTCCCCCTCCGCGCAACTCAGGCCAGCAAGGCCATGCGCAAGATGATGGGCGTCTTCCGCCTAAACCCCTTCTCGATGCACGACAGCTCTTGTCAGTCAGCAACCACCTGGACTGGCGAGGAGGCAGGCCCCCTCGAAGAGGAACCACAGATGTTCGAGTTCCAGCTTCACATCCCCGGGTGCGAAGATTCCCCCACCGAATCCGACACCCTCGCCCCCCCTTCTTTGCACAATATGTCCGAAAACGACGTGGATAACAGTGCAGCGAGCATCGGTTGGGCGGAGGGCAACGATGCGTCTCTCTCCCACTACTCATCCAACACGCTGTCTCAGCCATCGTGGTTCGGGTCAGACTCGCCCCAGTCTCATACCCTACCTTCACTGCGTCCTTACAGTCCCCACCATATCCCTCACTCCCCATCGCTCTCTTCATCCTCCTCCCGCCGCACTCCCTTGGACATGGCTGTCTCAGAGGTATTTAGTGCGTCATTCCCCCCGGAACCCACGTACTGACCGCATATATAGTACCCGTCGGCCTACGGTTTGTCCGCCTCTGTAAACTGTACATCTTCAGTCGATAACCTTCCCTCGATATCCTCGATGGCAAGGCGGTGGTCTAATCCCACAAACATTCAGGCTTCCTTCATGTTATAGACATCCTTAGGTGCGTCTGAATATCCTACATTTTGGAATATGAAACGCTTGCCCCAACTTCTCCCCAGACGCGCATATACTCTTGTTTTTGTGCTCGACGCTCAGGCCAAGTGTTATTTGGCTTGAGGTTCGGGAACAATCATTCGCTGACTCGGCCCGATCGCTTACTATCGCTTTTTGTGACTTTCAAAATCATATTCATGACGGATAAGGAATCCAGCCGACCGTGCACCCAGTACTCATACACGATACACCATACCCTTTTCCAATCGGACTCGGCTCGCAATCCCTTTTTTCTGAAACCTTTTTTTTCTTTCTTTCCGGGTTGGACTGGATGGGGGTGGAAGGGGGACACGTAAACAATAACTATATTCAACGAGATGAACGAGATGTCTGTCCGTAGAACCCGACTTAAGTTTAGATTAATACTGCGCATCTATATGCTTTGCTCAGTGCTCAGGTAGGCCAGTGACTAGTGACTTGTGCTGCCACTACATTGTCTCAACACTGTCTTGTTCCAAGTTTGAAACGAGACACATGGCAACTCGATCCATCTCACGTTGTATTTGTCCAGCGATGAATCCACAGCAGTGAAACGACTTCCTCGCATAGCCATATTCTTGCGCTGGCAACCAGCAATATCATAATATGCTGGGGAGAAACCATCACCCTTCGCACTCCAAGGTTGGCACCATCGGCCGGACCTGCTAAATCTAGATACCGATCTCGACTCCAACGATCCTGTCCGACGTGTGGCCGTATGATCGAGGGGGCCCGGGCTGATAGGTATGTATGTATGGTTGATGTAGCCCTTTCTGACAAAAGCGCACGGAGGCCGTCATGCGGTACCATGGGTGGGAAGCCGGCCACCCGCTGTCCACTGCGCGCAGTAGCGCGGAAACTGATCCGGGGCTCCTTGATCTTTGTGGTTTGGAAGCCTTGAGGCCCGTTTGTGGTCTAGGGTCCAGGGAACCCCATATGGGGTGGTCCTCGTAGCTCAACATACGCTGTGTGGTAAGGTACGGTGCACTGCGTTTTTTTCCTTGTAACCGCATGGTGCCATACCGTAGATAGCTGTGACAGCATTCCCCCCCTCCTTTTTTGGAACAAGATCTTCCCCCCGGTGAGGACCGGACAGCTAACATACGCAGGGCGCGTGCGGCGTTTGTATTTTCAGGTGCGGGCTTTCATTGACGACGACAGAACGTACGTGTGCCGTCCATCTGCCTGCGCCGACAACACTGGAAATTGAAACCCCTTCGGGCGACTCACGTTAGTCTGGTAGTAGTCCGGCAGACAAGAATTATGGAACCGATGCGTGGTATCCGGCGAAACAAAAAATCGCAAGCACATACCGTCCGCTTGGAATTAATGTGTATACGCTAATGCGGTGACACCCCCATTCATGGAGTGAGAGACCCGTACTGGTGGACCGACGCATGCTATCCATATTTGCTGGATTATGGGATGATAAATTGCTGCGACCTTACGCACCAGATATGAGACAATGTTGCCTAGAAGCACCAGAACGTGTGGTCCCAAGAATCAATCGTCTGCAAAGCGGCCAAGGAAGAACGTGGTTCTGGAATTACAAATTCAGAGGTTTCGCTAACCCCCCTCCTGCATGGATCAGTGATGCCGCTCATAGTATTGCTTCCTGCTAGTACTTCCTTCCCTACCTCTGAAGAGAACAAAAGACGGTAACCAAATTCTGACGCGATGTTTGCATGAATGGATGGTACCCAATACGACTGCGAATGATTGAGGTGATCCGCTACCCACGGCCATGTTGGTAATCCTTGCTCAGAGTACGTACTATGTACGTGCTTCTTCTTGTCAATGTGCCCCGTGACGAGACGATAATATCGGTTTGAATGGAAAGACAAGGAAGGAGTTGCGATCGAGAACGGTAACGCTGACACGAATTTTGGGTTACTATCAGGTCCTACCCTGCACGGTGGGCGGTGGATGGGGGGACGAATGCTACCATGAGCGCCGAAGTTCATTCGGCGATGATGATAGTGTTTTGTGCGGACTTCGCTATTAGCGACTTGGACGGACGGACGGGCAAGAGGGTGGCAGCGGCCACTGTCCTGCCAGCAGTCCACTAGCCATAATCAGAGCACCCAAAAAGATATATCATTGTCAGCTGAGAGCAACAATGGGAGAAGTTGGAAGCAAAAAAAAATCGAATCAGTGGCGGCGGACAACGACGAGTCGGACATTTCACCAACGTTCTCTCACTCTTTACGAGGTGTTGGTCGATGGCATCAACCGCTCGGCACGCGAACGCAACGCAGAGATATAGAATTCTAGTTAGACCCATGCCATGCCACTCGTCACTCGAAAACAGGCAATACAGCGAGAGCACGGACGAGTTTTACCTCGTCAGCCCAGGCCATGACGGACTCATCAGTATGAAGCATGAATTGCCCGGCAGCGTGTCCTGCCGTTCCGGTTGGACGATGACCAGGAGGACACAGTGCAGGCAGCTGGAGCCATTGGTAACCAAGACTCATCCCGAGAACGTTTAAACTGAGAGACATCCGATCGTGTGATACCGACATACCCTGACGGCAACCCTTCCGTAAGCTGCGAGATAGCTGCGAGTCACCCTCACGCTTCAGGGCATCCAGGTGAAACACAGTGTGTGGAGGGACACACAGTATGGACTCTACGACAACCAGTGAACCACCTCCTATGCGTCTCTGATTGGTTTGCTTTGCCAATCGGGGTATGGCCACCCTTGGCTCGGCAATGACGCTTATCAAGTGGAATGAACCCACGAACGACCAAGAAAGCCAAGCTCCGCGCCGTTTTATGTAATACCAAAAACTTGGCATTGTCGAGGATCACAAGATACGCGTTGGCATTATCAACGCAGACTAGCTAGGCAGATCATTACGCCAGCCTTTAGCTTCAAGGGTAATGTCCATTGGTATGGTAGAGGAGACCTTGTACCAAACCAGGCGACGGAAAACAAGATTGCACGTGTATGGGCAACTGAGTACTTGGTGCTTCGGGTGACAAGTCTGCCTTCTGGGCACTCAGGCAAAACGGTTTCCGTTACACTCATGGGCTCCGTAACCTTGAGCTAGATAAGCACCACATGGGACATCTGACTTACCTTTGGCGACCACGTTACGAACAATAACCTGCACGGGCTATACCTGTTGTGGTGTGCACCGGAAGTGAACATTGAGTGGTGGCGCACCGCAACAATGAAGCACAATACTGATAGTAAACAATAACTACTTCACATATGGATTTCAGCGCAACTCCAAGAATATGGAGCTCACTTACCAAAATTCAATGGTTACGGGTGCGATGTAGTAGTCATCAGTGTTTATTCTTTTGAAGGCAGCTCTCCATAGCTCTCCCGCTCGCACAAACCTTTCTAATCGGACAGCGGTGTTCCGGGAGCAGTCGAGTCTTAATACGAGATGAAAGCAGGGCAGATCCTAAGTGGAACATGCACGAGACCTGACGTCTGCAACAGGTAGATAAAACTACACAAACGCCAAAAATGAGCTGGTAAAAGAAGCGACGACGTTGACACACCAATCATTTAGGGAGGGCCGCCGAGAGACGCTTTGGTTTTGATGGTGATCATGACTGCCGCAATTGAAGGAGGAGTCAAGGAAAATTTCGAGCTGGTGATGACCCAGGCCGTAGTAAGGAGGCAAAGTACTGCAGAACCAGATCGGAACTGACTACAACGATACATGAAACACCACGGGAAAACGTTTACGCAGCCCTGCAGCTCTGGCCCCTGGATCTTCTAAACCCCGAGGACGTTGCGCACAGACTCTCGGTTTGTTCCTTCCATGCAGACCAAGCTTGATGGCCCCACCGCAGATACGGAAGGAATCGTTAGTCGACAACGCCCACACGTATGTAACTGACACTTAACCGAGAGCCTGAACCCTTGGATGTTAATCAGTGGGCGATGATAGCGGTGATAATGAATAATTAGGTTGATGGACGCCGGGGCCAATAAACCGCACGACGAATGAACATTTCATCCAAGAGCTGCCACGAGATATGTGTGGAGACATTATTAATATCTGACTGGTATCAGTCAGCAATCGCAACACTTTGCAGTACCGCTGTCAAAACAGAAAAGAGCTGTCGCCAGTGGTGCCTTAGAGCATATGTTTGACGTGCTTGTGAGGTGGCACCCGCCTCAGTGGTCGGAACGAGTCTACCCGATGAACGACCCTGGCGAGGGGGAAAAAGATGATGTCGGTGGTCGGGCCGAGCAGTCCCACGTGTATTTATGTAAAAGGTAAATAAGCCACGCGAGGGCCACGAGACCGACTGAAAGTGCCTGTCTGTCAACGCAGCGACCCCACGCGAGCGAACGGTAAGATCATCACATCCCCGTACTGTATCAGTAGTAGTCGTTCTCTCTCCCCGCCCACCGTATCCACCACGTATCCTACCGGAGACTCCCCATGCTCGATAACGAAGAATATGCCCATGGCAGGCGTCGAAGCGTGGATGTCGGCGGTTTAGCGCTCGCTCTCGGAAATCAGGCATTGGGTCATGGTTGGGGCGGCTGGGACGAGGTCCAGCAAGGTGAAACTCGGTGCGACTCCCTTCACGATACCTTCTTTTCTTATCCACTCGTCCGGCTGACACGTGCACCCCAGTTATGCCGAACTGCTAAGCCAAATGTATACCCAGACGCAAACTACCGTAGATCCCCGCAATATAAACTTGTACAGCTTTTTAAATCACAACAAGGCGCGCTTCGCTAATGCTTTTCCACTAGGTCACCAATCCAGATCCCACCAGAAACAAGGTTGCGGCTGATTGGGGCCCTCGACGGATGGCATTTCGAGCCACACAAGCTACCCGAGGAGGAGGTGCTTTATTGTGCATATATCCTATTCGAAAGTCTCTTTAGGAGAGCTGGCATGCACCGCGAGATTGGCGTAGCCCTCAGTCAGTCCCCTTTTCACGCTTGCCGTCACTTGGGTAACCTTTGGCAACCAGCCAACGTCTCCATCTTCCTGCGGCACTTACGACTCCTGTATTGTGGACAGAACTCGTATCATAACTTTCAGCATGCCCTAGACGTCCTCCAAGCCTGCCATGCGTTTCTATGCGCCGCTGGTGTGGTCCCGCCAGCGGCAGTTTTATGTAGAGATGAGAGACCATGGGAGCCAGACAGGCGTGGTAGAGCCGACCGTTTGGCTTTCGAATTATCAAATATGGATCTTTTTGCGTTGTTTATCGCTGCAATAGGACACGACGTTGGTCATCCTGGTCTTACGAATCTGTTCATGGTACATCATCCACGCAAACTCCTAGTTCACCGCTAACATGCAAGCTTACAGAAAAATGCAAACGCACCCCTATCCACCGTGTTCGACGGGAAATCAGCTTTGGAACATATGCATTATACGATTCTCATCCATGCCTATGCGACAACATGGTCTAGGTGCCCTGCTTGACAGACCTAAAGTTGGGCAGTCCTTCCGCAGGTCTCTTGCTGGGATCGTTCTTGCGACTGATATGGGGGTGCACTTCGAATTTATGAAAAATTTCGCCCTCTTGGCCGACGGCAGGGACTTCCCTTTAGATTTCAAGAGACTGTTATTCTGTCAAGCGATCATCAAATGTGCTGACATCAGCAATCCGGTGAGTTCCCAAACCCCCTTCGCGAAATCTTGTACCGATCGTAGCGCAGAGTCGACCACCTGGAGTATCCCATTACTGGGCAGATGCCTTAATGGCTGAGTGGACTTCTCAAGCTTGCTTAGAGAAACACTGGCACCTGCCACCATCTGTTCAACCCTCATCTAATCCGCTAGGCCAAGTTCAGGGGCAAATTTTCTTCATAGACACCTTTGCAAAGCCCCTCATGGATATTACTGCCAGAGTCGTCCCAGGTGCGTACCATGGTTGACAGTGTGAAGCACTACATCTCATTCGATATAGAAATGCAACGATTCGCAGACCAGTGTACTGCCAACCTTGTCTCCTGGCAGAAAGAAAAAGCAAGGTTGACTGGCTCCAGTGATCAGGCTGATTTTTCCCCGAGCAACTTTCTTCCTTCCTCACCGCGACCACCACAAGATTTCCTCGGTTCTTTTCCGCTGACGTTGCCTACGTTTGCCCTTGACCATCCAGACGAGTCACATCTTCTCCCATGGCAACCTCCCAGCCCTTTACACCCACCTTCCGATTCCGGCGGACAACGAATGGATGCATCACCGCCAGATTCTCCTGCACCGTCTGTCAGTTCTGGCTCATTCGTTCTCGCGAGCCCTTCTTCCTCTCGTTTTCGCACGATGTCAAGCGTGAGCAAAAGCGATGCTGCCACTGCAATGCGGGCAGCTTATCAGGTTGGCGTTCGCAAGAAGAGAAGTTTCTACAACCGATATTCTTGGACGTCGGACCTCAGTCCTGTCGCATCTTCACCGAACCTTGTTGTCGCTGCCATCCCCAAAGCAACGGTGTTGGTCGCCGACACAGTTGGAACAGTCTTAATGAGCTCCAAGGCCGGTAATGAGACGCCCCCTGCCATCGGGACAGTTCAGTGAATACCTCCGGTGGGAATCAGGAGCGCCCAACCACGCGCTTCCCGCGAGATGAGTGGATGTTGCACACTACTTGATGCGATGGATGTGCACTCCGTAGCCTTGGACTAGCAGCCCCGGCTACAGGTCGCAACCACTCTCGTGGTCAAGCCTCGGCAGGATATACCCGAGAATACATTGAGGGGATCATCACACTAGCACCCTCTCCCTGGGACTTATGTCGCGTGGAGCATGTGGCGCCCGTCCTTCAGTTCGGTTTCTTTTTATATTATCCTCTGATCTGCATGGGTGTTGTAGTGTACTTGTGGGTGACATAGGAGATAACTAGTACCCTAAACATTCGTATTTTCTTGAGTAGTAAGCATTTTGATTCATTCGCTGATTGAGATCTGATTATACATAATTACTATACCGCATCAGAGTGTAAGGTGAAAGACAAAAGCGCATATCGGTCACCCAGCCCTTACGCGTTCAGCTGATCAAGCTCCAGCGTCTCCAAGAGGCGGTACGATAATGATGTACTAACGTTTAGGACCGCGTATAGCGGGAACGACCAACCGCGCTGCCATGACACCGCTCGGAGGTGTACAATATCGGCCCTGTGGGGACGCCACTGCCAAGTACTTACACCTATGAAAGAACTGCCCGTCCTGTGCGTAGGCTCGTGGAAACTGATACCACAGCCCTTGATAGCGGCCACAACTGAGCGCTGAGCGTCCGGTAAGTTAGGCTGCCGGGTCCGCAAATTCAATAAGCTAATAAAGAGTACAAAGGCATCGGGATCTTAGAACTTCAGATACGTTCAAGGAAATCGTGGAGATGAGCAGATGAAAGAGTGGGACATTTGTTCAACCTGACCCGAGGAGTGGCCGCGGAGTTGTGGTACGACTCAATGGCTCCACTGAGGCAGCAGACCGTGTGCATCCTCACCGTAAGAAATGAATATCCCGACAGGGAGGAAAATTTACATGTTGATAGTTTATCCTGCTGCCCAAGACCCCACACCGATCCGCAGCATTTTCAAAATCGAATTCTGACCGAGCACGTTGACAGGTTAAAGACAGAGATAGCCGATCCCCGACTCCGCACGCAAAGAACGGATTCCAGCAAGTTCGAATGGTCTCGGTCTTCCCTTGATTGGTATACAGTACCTCCACACGTAAGAAGACCTGCTGCACGACGCACACACGTACATGTCTAGTAGTAATCTCAGCGTGGCGAAAATCAACGTCATTTGACCTTCATGTTCTCCAGTCTTTGAGTAATAGAATGTAATAGGGAAGAGTGTTTCTAGGTGTTTCTTTGTACTATATATGGTGGAAGAGTGCTATCAGTGGTTTGGCTATCTCTTCCATCACAAACCGCGAGGCCTTGAGGGATAAGGTTTTGACGGAATCAGACGACAATTAGTGCAGGTTGGGCCATCAGGGCTGTCGGATATGTTGGGTCTAAGGGCACTGTAACAGATCGACAGCATAGACATGCTGGTACGCCAGAGTAGGTCGAATACATAAATCAGCATATGGTGAGACAGCGGTGGATTGTCGTGAAACCACGAGGTGAAGTGAAATGAGTGGCAAAATCCGAGATACTCCTGCAGGGTCCTCACGGCGAGAAGAAGTGCACTCAAACCGAGCAGTGCACGAAATGCACTGCTGCGCAAATGTCTCTGGAGCTGTACCCGATGGCACTGCTCGTCGTAAAGTGCGACATTTGGGGGTCCAGAGCTTCGGCGGCTATTTGTTCGTGTTTGCATGGCCCTCAACCCAGAATGGAGTACTTAAACCGTCAAATCGAACGCTCCGTTCTATCCTCTCCCCAGCGTTGCTCCGTTCCTCTCAGCCTTCGTATTACCCATTTTTTGGTTCCAGTTTGATTCATCATGTGTGGTATCTTCGGTTACTGCAACTTCCTCAAGGACAAAGTGAGTCCATGCTCAACTACGCGTCGGTGGCGTCAGAACGTGCAGGAGGACCTTTGCATGCATACATGTGCTTCACACATAGATGGCTGGTGTCGTGTTCACAGATTGTGGCGTGCATAGCACCCTCTCCACGTGGTTCGACGACCAATTTTAATAAGTAACTCGCTAAACCCACCCCTCCAGGATCGCAAAGAGATTCTGGAGATCCTTTGCAATGGTCTTGCTCGCCAAGAGTACCGTGGATATGACTCCGCCGGTTTAGGTATCGATGGTGACAACCCCGGAGAGATCGTCTTCTTCAAGGAAGTTGGCAAGGTTGCTGGGTTGCGGAAACGGATTGCTGAGTCCAACATCAACACCAGCAAGACCTTTTCTTCTCAGGTCTCCATTGCTCACACGCGTTGGGCCACCCACGGACCTCCCTCCACCGTCAACTGCCACCCAATTCGTTCGGACCCGAGCAATGAGTTCATCATCGTCCATAACGGTATCGTGACAAATGCTGCTGCTCTCAGGCAGGTCCTTCAGAACCGCGGCTACAAGTTCGAGTCCGAGACGGATACTGAAGCCGTTGCCATCCTTACGAAATACGTCTACGATTCTCAGCCTGGCAAGAGGATTACTTTCCCTTCCCTTGTTAAGACGGTTTTGAAGGAGCTTGAGGGATCTTTTGCGTTTGTTTTCAAGTCCATCCACTATCCTAATGAGATTGTCACCGCCCGCCGTGGTTCTCCTCTCCTGATTGGCGTGAAGACGGAGAAGAAGTTGAAGGTAGACTTCGTTGACGTCGAGATCTCTGGACCCGACGACGGCAAAGCTGTCGATGGCTGTAAGTCATTCTTCGTCGGCTATTACCAACTTTTTGCTCAGTGTCCATATAGTCGTCCCTACCGCACCTAACTCCCGACTTGCTCCCCCTGCACCCAAGATTTCTCGCAGGCAGTCGCGTAACTATATGTCCGAGGATGGTATGCCTCAACCAATCGAGTTCTTTGTTGCTTCGGATGCCTCTGCTATTGTCGAGCACACTAAACGCGTCCTCTACCTGGAAGATGATGATATTGCTCACATTTCTGACGGTCAGCTGCATATTCACCGTCTCCGCAGAAACGAAAGTGGTCAAGCGGAAACCCCTGCTACCCGTAGCATCGAAACGCTGGAGATCGAGATTGCTGCCATTATGAAGGGCAAGTTCGATCATTTCATGCAAAAGGAGATCTACGAGCAACCTGAGTCGGTCGTGAATACCATGCGTGGACGTGTCATCTTTGACGACTACCGCATTACCCTTGGTGGCTTGCGCTCCTATCTCCCCATCATTCGTCGTGGCCGCCGTATTGTGTTCTGCGCATGTGGTACCAGCTACCACTCGGCCCTCGCAACCCAGGCAATGTTTGAGGAGCTGACCGAAATTCCCGTTAGTGTCGAACTTGCATCTGATTTCCTGGACCGTAAGACGCCTATTTTCCGTGATGATGTTTGCGTTTTCGTCAGTCAGAGTGGCGAAACCGCAGACACTATACTGGCACTCAGGTATTGCTTGGAGCGCGGGGCACTCTGTGTTGGTATCGTCAACACTGTAGGTTCCACGATCTCTCGTGAGACGCACTGCGGTATCCACATCAATGCTGGCCCTGAAGTAGGTGTAGCATCGACAAAGGTATGGCCTCGCGATTGTTTGTTCTGTGTTTCATCTCGCTGAGTCTTATTAGGCCTACACGTCGCAGTATGTGGCTTTGGTGCTGATGGCGCTTCAGCTATCCGAAGATAGAATTTCTTTCACTCCACGGCGCAGAGCTATCATTGACGGTCTGCGTGAACTGCCGGTTCAGATTAAGAAGGTGCTGGAACTCGACAGCACTCTTCGGGAGTTTGCCAATACTCTCCTTGCGAACCAACGCAGTTTGCTGCTCATGGGCAGGGGGTACCAGTAAGTTACGAATTCGAAAACGTATGGTCACTTGGGGTAACCAGTTCTGTAGGCATGCTACTTGCCTCGAGGGTGCGCTGAAGATCAAGGAGATTGCCTACATGCACTCGGAAGGCATTCTTGCTGGCGAATTGAAGCATGGACCGCTTGCGTTGATTGATGAGAACATGCCAGTGATTATCGTGATGACCCAGGATTCCCTATACCCGAAGGTGCAGTCAGCATTCGCCCAGATCACCGCTCGCAAGGCACAACCAATCGTGATTTGCAACGAGGGTGATGACGGGATCAAGAAAGGTGTCAAGACGATTCGTCTGCCCAAGACCGTAGATGTCCTGCAAGGCCTTCTTAACATCATTCCTCTCCAGTTGTTGAGTTACCATCTGGCTGTCAAGAATGGCTTTGATGTTGATTGCCCAAGGAACCTGTGCGTGTTCCGGTTTCGCTGCTGTGTGCTCGCTGACTAGTTTATACCAGGGCCAAGTCGGTGACCACGGAGTAAAGGTCATCCAAAGATGAACCACTTGTAGTTTTGGCGCTGCTTACTTTTACCTGTACATCAGACGTATGGACAATCCTTCATCAGCCCTCTTCACGAGGTTCACGGACATGGATTTGGTAGTCGACGACGGACGGTTTGGCACTTATGGACAGTTTAATTAGTTACGTTTCTCGAGCCTCCGACAACTTTTCGAGACTGCTTGATGCAGTAATACCTATTGTTGCAATCAACTGAAGTTTCCTCTTTCCCAGCAACGTTAGCCTCTCCAAGGCAAACGAACAGGGGCGCTTCAGATGGCCTGGCTTCGGCAGATCGGGGGGGGGGTGCCATATTTCTTTCCAGGATATGTCTGTCTCCCTAATACGCAAAGTGCCATTCGAATCTATGCGCCCTCTACCCTTCGGGTGTCAGTTACGATCGATACTTCGTGACTATTGCTCCGAAGGGCAGCAATCATTGCATCACCTCCGAGATCCCTGGTCACAAGGTGTCTGCTAGTTGAGTCCTGTACAATGGAACAAGCCTCTCGGCGCAATCCCGATCAAGGCTCCATTGACGCCTGGGTTAGGGTTTTATGACGCCATATTAGCAGCGCTGCTGCTCCTCGTCCATTAAGCATAATTGATCTCATGCCTCCACGCAAAGGACCTATCTCTAGGAGGAAGGTTGTACCATCTCCAAACAACTCAGCCTCGGAAGGGCATGACGACGAGCCCGGACCGGTGAGCTTTAGGGAAGGGTGTCAAGATGAACTTTGGGACGAAGAAGAGCCAATTTCAGTGACCGCCGAGCCCCCTGCGAAGAGGTCCAAGGTACGGTGCTGTAGGTTACACATTGACATGCATTATCAGCTTGTGACAGACTAGTTACACCCGATTTAACGAGCCCAAGTTTTTCAAGGGCCAGAGGTACAGCGGTATGGCCATCGGGGGAACACATCACTGGACTTATGACAGCGGTCAATGGGTAGAAACCAAGGAAGAGCCTGACCTCTGGAAGGTGCGTACCCCCAACGTCGGTCGGCTGGCGTGTATCTGAAAGCTTCTGCCAGATCAAATATGAAGCAAAGAAACACCGGAACCGAACTGCCCCTAAAGGTTCAGGAGCGCCAGTTGGCACTGAGTATCATTGGATAATCGGTACATACATGTTTCTTGCCTGGACTTGTGCCGTTTCCTCACCTTGTTCCTAAGTTGCGCATCAGGTATCTCTGCTGTCACTGAGTGTGCTTTCTGATTTTTCACCGGTCTGTGCAGTATGTTGTTAAGGAAGATGCGAACACTTACTCGACACGGATGGAGGGGCACAAGTACAAGGTTACTCTCGTAGCCTATGGAACTTCACGATGTTAATGGACCATTTTCAGCTCGCACATAAATCCGTCGGTACGAATGCTTGGAGCGTGAATACAGTCAAAGGACAGCGCGATCGAGAGATACAGCTACTCGAAGATTCAATAGAACGCGTGAAAGGTCTTCCTCCGGTGATCTCGTCGCAAAAGGTTAGTTGCAGATTCCAATATGAATTTAGGATGGTAAACAGATAGGATATACAGGTACCATCCAAAAAGATGAAAAATCCTGGACAGAAAACTCTCGACCAAATATTTTTTGGAGGTGCCGGTAAGAAGGAACAGCAGCAAGAAGATATAAGCAAGGAAGACAGGTCGGGCGAGAGCTAGGGTAGACTACGTATTACATAAGCTGTAACGCGGAGTTGAAATTTGAGGCTTTGAGTGTTGCTCGTTTTCACCAACGTCCTTTCAACTGCTTTTCTTCGTTTTTCACATGGCTCCAGTCAGGTCTGATAGAAACAAGAAACCGAACTCGGTGCGTTGTCCTCCCAGTTCGAGCAACCCCCCATGGTGACTAATTAGTTGGCTTAAAGCGCCCCCGCCGCTCAGATGGCTTCTGGCTGCACGACCGTTCTTCCAATAAACCCGGCAACACGACCGATGCTTTACAACCTCTTGCTCCAAATACAAAACTCGTCGTATCCAACTTACATTACGAGATTACACCGAATAATTTAGTGGTGGGCTTTACATGTAGATCCTAGCCCAGCCTTCTCTTTGACACCTCCTTACAGTCCATTTTTGGACAAGTGGGCACGCTCGTTCGCGAGCCACTCATCAGGGTACGATGATTCCGAATTCGAATGCACGCTGTCACCCGGCCCCGTCCTTCCATCTGGTCACCGCACGCGTGGGCCAATTGCTGTATATCATGAATGTTCGGGGTTTCGATGACCGCTTTCGCTCTTGGTTACTAGTGGAAATGAGCACGGAACTAAACCTGAGCAATCACCTTTTCCTTTTAAAGTACGACCGCAGTGGACGTTCATCGGGTGTTGCAATCGTCACGTTCGAAACTGCCGAGGAGGCAGAACGAGCGAAGAAACAATTTGAGGGTAAAATCGCGAAAGGTTGGTCGCTTCCTGGGCAGTAACTAAGTCATAATTTGATGTCTAATGCTCGATTTTCAGGTCAACCAATGGAAATTGCCTTCGACACGACACCACCGAAACGGACGCGATCAGCAAGTATGCCAGGAGTCCCAACGTCGTCCCTCCTCAACAGAATCGAACGCCCATCTCTTGCCGAACGTCTAGACAATGGTAATGGGGCAACTCGGAAGACAGATACGTAGGTATTTCTCAACGGGCTGCCATCGGTGCGACCTGACGACGCGTATCAAGGGCCGGCCCCCTTCGAAGACGTTCAGTGAGACCACCTAGGGGAGCCCCTGGATCCCGTGGTGGACGTACTTCGCGACCAAGGCCGAAGACTGCAGAAGAGTTGGACCGAGAGCTCGATGTGTTTATGGGGGAGGATGCTCAGGAAGGGACGGATGCAGAGCCTGTTGCATCAGCTCAAGACGTTGAGATGGCATGAATGTCCAAGTATTTTTCTTGTGTATCTCGTTGAAGCAGGGCACTGTAGATAGGCTTTGTTCTGTAGGCTGGGCTCGCCCCTCCAAACGGAGAGCTTCACAATTTGAATTCATGATGATAGGCCTTATGTAACATGGTAAGGCAGAGAGAAGATAGTGAGGAACCGGGACTCTACTCTGCTTGTTCTTTCCAGCTCTCCGGTTGTTCGAGCCCAGACACTCGTTTTGGTCACCTCGAGTCAGCCCAGTGCTGGCGGTCGATGGTTTTGTGTCGTGTCGCAAATCACCCACCACGTTCTACCGGGGCTCAATTATCTGGCGTGTTGCATGTGTGTGCCATGTCTACACTGATCGCCACCCAGAAACATGGTAGTCCAACGCTCTTGTTCTCCAGTGGAAGCACTCGGGCGAGAAGTCTTCGGGCTACACGCGTGCAAAGGCAGACGTCCGCAAATCTTTCAAACTGTGCTGGAGACACGGACAACGGCCTTGTTTCGCGCAGAGGTCGTTTCGGTGACTACGAACGAGAACCATTTACGATCTTGTTTTTTGGGCGCGACGCGTTCTCATGCAAGATTTTCAAACACGTCTACGAAGCAAGGGGTGAGTAGCCTTTGGGAAGTAGTTTTACGCCGTCCATACCCGCCCTTCACGAGCAGACATCTGGCATAGCTTGCAGATAGCTACGAACCCCGATGTGAAGACTGGCCGAAATGGGTCTCGGTTGGATATTTGTGAGCCCTCTTTTGCTTGGATGCTCGACGTTCCGCACGACTGTTGATTGGCATACGAATCCACCTCAACCCTACATATACAGCACCGCTGAAAACACTCGGAAGGACCCTTGGAATTCCTGTACATATCATCCCAAAAGAGAAGGCAGCGTTTAGACGTTGGCTTGTATGTAATTCCCCCCGTATCAGCCGTTATCCCAGCGGTAACGTGTCTTGACAGCCCCCTCGGCCGTTTACACCATCAAATCCGAACACGACTACCGATGCATTCGAACCTCCCCGGTCTCATGTCCTCGTGACAGCATCATTTGGCCGTATCCTACCTTCCTCAATTCTTAGCCTGTTTCCAGAGTCTCAACGTCTCAACGTACATCCGAGTTTACTTCCTGCATATCGTGGACCTGCACCCATACAACGGGCGTTGATGGCAGCGGAGAGACAAACAGGTGTCTGCGTAATACAGATGGGTGAAGTGAGCCGACGGGAGGGTAAGACAGTTGATCAAGGCGGAATTTGGGCAGTGGAGAGAATGGTACGTCGCCAATTACAGGTCCCCTATATGGGACCAATAATCTGGTGGCATGTAGCGGATGATGCTTCCGGCCCCGACAATAAGCTGTTTATAGCACCGCAGCAAACGTCTAGGTACTGACCATCCGACGATGATCTTTAGGCCATAGGAGATGATGCAACTTTCACCGATATGCAAAACAATCTTGCTGAGAAGGGGGGGAAATGTTTGGTACAAGTACTTCGCGACATGCTGAGGGGAAAGGTGTGTCTCTACGTCTTCCTGTTTTGTCACCTAGCGAACGTCATCAAGGCACATTGCATTCCTCAGGCTCCGCTGGGCGCAGAGACTCATGCACCAGCTATAACAGCGGCCGACTCCACCATCAATTTTGAGGCACAAACAGCAGATGTCATTGCACGCCTTGAACGAGCTATCGGACACCAGCGTGCTTTGTCAATCCCTCTTGCACTCCCTGGGGGACGCTCAGTCTCAATTGCCGGTTTGTGCGCCATTCCCCCCGGCTCTCCGCTCACGCCTCAGATGGGCAATGCGCGCCCAGGCAGGGCCAGGTACTCGTCGACAGCCAAACAGCTCTTAGTAGCCTGCGCAGGAGGGAGTCTGTTGAGTGTGGATAGGTTGCAAACACAAGACCGCGCTGTGCTGACAGCCAGAGAGTGGTGGAACGGATTGAAGGGCATGGGGTTGGTCAAGGATGGGACTTTCACATTTGGATATCCCCTGGAGGATTCGATGTGAGGAATCTCACAAACCATGCGGCATAGCCAGCAAAGCTAGTGCTACAAGCTGAGCCTTCGAGGAGATATTTAATCTGTCTCTGGGCTTGCATTTGTGCCCACAATACCGAACTTCCGGAATTGGGAAGTTGTCCTACATTGCATTAACCATCATTGGTCATCACGCGCGGAAAGAATGGGAAAAAGTACGAAATGCATGGTTCAAACCAGTCGAAAGGAGGAATTACCATGCAGGTATAGTGAGAACGGGGTAGGGAAGAATAATGAAAAATGGACATGTCAACCCTAACAGATTGTAGTCACAACTTCTATGGGATATAACGGAACATGGGAGCCTGAGTCGCACGATCCAGTTAATGGTGAACGTGAGAAGATCGAGAAGACCAAAGTTACTAACCTTGTCCGCCAACTCGCTGGTATCGACAGTTGCATCGGGATCAGGTTTACCGTACAGCTCATCCCTGCGCTTATTATCGCGCTTATACGAAACGTAGAGGATGACAGCACAGACTGTTGCCCAGGCCATAAGAGCGCAAGTAATTGTGAAGCCGCGTCTGTCAGATATGAACCATCAACAGCGGAATAAAAGGGATTCGGGCTGAACCCACAAGTAACGAGGACCGTCTGATGCAGGGTATATATTGGCACCAAGGACAGAACCACATTGGCCAATGGCCATGAACATGGGTATGCCCGCAGCTTTCTTGGTTTCAGAGCCTAGGTTGTGTGCAACTTAATGCATGCTCAGCATTGCAATTCTGATAAAGAGAAAAAGCACATACACCATGCAATGATAACACCAATGGCAGTGTAGGTACCCGAGGTAATAAGGAAGACAGCAAAATATCTCACGTGCATATTGGAAGGCACGAGGACGACAAGGAGATAACCTATCGTTGGAAGGTAATGTGTAAGAGTCACCTCACGAAGTTGGCAACTGACCAATAGCACCGGCAGCGCATGAGCTGGCGATAGCTAAACCACGGCTCTGCAGCCTATCCGTCGCGTAAGCAGTCATGCAGAGCACGATTGCGCCTACAACATATGGAGGCACAGTGAGTAGCTGAGCGAGGGCATTGGCTAGAATAAAATGAATCGTGAAGTCGGCAAGACGTAAAAAGTTAGGTGCTCACTGTATCCAAATGTCTTAATGATCGTTGGTAAGAATGCAGAGATACTAGCAAGAGCGCAGTTCACGCCAAAATAGATAGTACCACAAGCAAGGATGCGCCAGTCCGTGAGTGCTGCTATGATGTGTCCTACGATGATGAAGCTAAACAACAACAACCGACCGATACAACGATGGAGCACGCCTTACTTCTGTTAATCACTAAGCCTATGTCGGCTGTGGTTCCACGGGCCCCGCGTTCAAGAGCTAACTCACGCTCCCGTTCATTAAAAAGGTGAGTTGCTTCGGGACGGTTCGGAAGAGCAAACCATGTGACAACACCGAGGAGGATGGCAGGGATACCCTGTCAATAGATAGGAGGCTCGTCGAGGAATAAGAAATGTAACTGCAGGAAGGACTTACCTCGATGAGAAACAGTAACTTCCAATCACTTTCGCTGTTTGGGCCGAAGTGAACGGATTGAACACCGAACGCTATAAGTCCGCCAAATGCGCCAGCTATGGCGGCAAAACCGAACCAATACCCCAGGCGTAGACCGAGCTCATTCTTAGTGTAGAAGAGGGCTACAGTGACGAGTGAACATAGAACACAGCCATGGGGTTACCACTTACAGAAGTAAACAGGGATCGCGGGTCCGAATCCGGCTTCAAATACACCAAGACCAATACGGCAGACGATGATACCCCCCAGGTTAAACGCGCTTGCCTGGAGCACGGTGAGCATGAGATCTATACGGTGAATTGTTCAAAAAGACGCCTTACTTGTAAAGTAGAACAGATTCCCCATCCAATCGCCATAATGGCTATCCAGTAAGATGGATGGAAAAGCTTTGAGAGCACGGTAGCTGGTACCTGGAATAGGATCTGATAATGCGGGTAAGATTGCTACTAGCCTGTAGGACGAGAATGATGACTTGCATATGAGAAGTAGAAGGCAGAGAAAACCCATTCGTAGAGGAGACCCTTTGGATCACCCCCAAGAATTTCTTCTGGCAAACCTTGGAGGCGAGCATTGCCGAGGTTGGAGCGGTCGAGGTCTGTCGGAATGTAAGCCTCAGAATCATGTTAGCAAAAGAAAATACCTACAGGCCAAGAGATAAAGAAGACAGGTTATGGGCAGAATAGCCCTGTCGATCTTTCTGACGAGTCTTTTCTCTTCCTCTACAGCGGCAAGAGGAGTGAGTTCGCGTTTGCCGTTATGGTAGTCAACCTTCTCTTCGACTGCCATTGTGAGCGCAGATCCGTGGTGGGCGGCGCGGTGACACTAAGTTGGAGGAGATATCCCAGCTTTATGAGAGATCCTGCGAAGATGCGGGGTTAATAATGTTACCGGACGCTCCATCAATTTTGTTTGGTCCATCAGTTCTCGGACTCACGGCAGCAATGTTGTCTCACCCTGAGCCCCGCATGTTTCGAGTCCTGACGTGGCAGAGCATCATATGTAGACTTGCGGTCGCGATCGGACGGTAGACGGAGTTGGGCTCGAGTAATGGTGCAGAGGCGTTGGTAGCAGGTACATAAACAGTTCAACCGCTGCGATTAAAATTTGGAAGTGAGATATGTAGTGTAATTATACACGGCTGGTGACCCGTAGACACGAAATAAGCACAGTTTCAAGATTGCTCTGATCGGTGGCACAAGTCGGACACAATATTAGTGAGCTGACCGTCCTGCTAAAGTCACGTGATTGTACCGCGAGGGTGGCTTACTCACCACGTAATTAGGTGCCATCCTCGATAGACTATTAGTCAAGATGCCAGACAACGCAACTGATACCCAAACATTCTCCGCTGATCTGTACTTTGCGACGCAACCGAAGCCGGCTTCTCTTCAAGATGATAAGCTTATGAATGATGTCCGGAGCTTTATCGCGAAGCACAAGAACAAGAGAGTGGTGCTTGTGACGGTGGGACACCCTGACGTTCGCATGACTGACTGGCTGACCTCGCCTTCCAAGTAGAGTGGAGGCACTACCGTGCCACTCGAGCTCAACGTGTGAGCCATAGCATCCTATCTCATCTCATCGTTACGGTCGCTTAGTCAGCCATGAGATTAGCGTTCGGTTTCTGGACAATTTCAGTGCAGGGATGTTGCCCCGTTCCGTATCGCTAGGATTCTTACCTTCCCCTCACAGGCACTAGAGGTGCAACGTCTGCCGAATACTTTCTCAAGCAGGGATATGCTGTGATTTTTATGCACCGACAGTTTAGCCTCCAGCCATTTAGCCGGAATTATTCCCATTCTACGCACCCCTTCCTCGATTTCCTTGAAATAGAAGAGAACTCAAAAGAGAACAAAGGAAACGATCAAAGACAGCCGCAGATCGCGGTAAAACCGTCGGAACGTGCGGCACTCCTCTCTGTGTTGCGCGCGTACAAGGCGGTGCAGGCGGAAGGGACGTTATTGACCCTCACTTTCGTGACCGTAGACGATTACCTTTTTCTCTTACGGGAAGTGAGCCGAGCCATGGGTACGTTGGGGCCGAGGGCGATGTTTTACCTCGCTGCTGCCGTCAGTGACTTCTTTTTACCCCGTCAGCGAATGGTTAGTCGGATGAAAACACGGTTTGCTTGGCAGATTTCGACTGATGTACTCTTCGTTGTATCCGCCAGTCTGAGCATAAGATTCAGTCCGGAAAAGGCAGCCTCTCTATTGAGATGGATCAAGTGCCGAAAATCCTCAAGCCCATGGTCGCGGATTGGGCTGTTGGTGGTTTCACGGTGTCCTTCAAGGTTCGCTATTCTTTATTCTGCACCGTATGCTCCTGACACAAGTGAATGGCAGCTCGAGACCGATCAAACTTTGATTATACCCAAAGCTCGCAAGGCACTCCAGCGATATGGACATCAGATTGTTATTGGGAATGACTTGCATCATCGGAAGTACCGTGTCGTTCTTGTCTCCCCAAGAAGGTCTTCATTGCTGAACGCGCACGCCAATCCGGATGGCGACTTGTCATCCGAGTATGAGGAATCGTGGATCGAGATCGACTCGTCGCCATCTGCGCTGCACAAGGAGATCGAGGAAGATATTGTAAAGGAGCTCGTGAGGCGCCATGATGAATGGATTTCTCGACACGAATCTCAACTGTGAAGATATATGTACTTACATAGAGCTGTATTACCTGGATCATTAACATTGCCATTTTATCAGATAGCAGCCCATATCGGTTTGGCCTTGTTTGCGGCTCCGACAGCCCACTCCCAAATTGCTAACAAGTTCTTAAATGGATTCGTTGCTAGAACAATGGCGGCGGACCAGGTGGCTGATGAAATTGCCAGGGACGATGCTACTTCGGACACCACAGATGCACTCGAACGCGACGAGGATGCTTCCGAAGCTCAAGCTCAGATCATCGCATCATTGCGCTCCCAGGTAACCGACCTCTTCACGCAAGTTACACAGCTCAACAGCAAGCTCGTTGCGTCGTACGATCGCGTATCCGATCTTGAGGACCAGCTTCATGAAGCCTCGTCCTCCCTGCGCAATTCATCGATCACGATCTCGTCACTGGAGCTTGAGCGCGCCGAGCATCTTGCAGCCCTCAATACTGGCCTATTGGTTGAAAAGGCACACGTAACAGCCGAGTTGAACAGACTCATGGAGCGTGCTACAGAGGAAGCTGCTCAGCGTGGTCAGGCAGAGAGCGCACGCCACGATATAGAGAAGGACCTTGACGATCTCAGTGCTACATTGTTCGACCAAGCTAACACCATGGTCGCCGAAGCCAGACTTAACCAAGCACGCAGCGAACGGAAAGTAAGGGAGGCTGAAGAGGCCCTTAGGAGTGCCGAGGAGGCGGTCAAGGTCATGCAAAGTCAAATGCAGGCTCTCGAGGCTGACAAGACGGCAGCCGAGAGAGAAGCGACGGGTGCTCGGATTACGATGGGTAAGGGCAAATGGGTTGAACGGTCTGATTCTGAGGGAGATGCACCGAAGTTGCGCTTTCTAACAATCCATACCCCTTACGCGGAATTTGCTGCACTCGTTGCGTACCTGCGGACCCTTAGAACGTCGCAACTGACGCCCCCTACCATATCTTCGCTTCTTAATCAACCTTTCCTTGCACGTCTCAACACAGAGGACTTGTGAGTGGCGTGCTCATTGTTTTTCATGTCAGTTCTAATGGACACGAAAAAGGGAGCCGACCGTACGTCTTGACCTTGCGCCCTCGCTCAATTGGCTGTCCCGTCCCTCGGTCCTTGCTGCCATACACACTGGTATGCTAATCATCGAGCCGATGCCGTTCTTGAATTTAGTTCAGGAATTGAGCTCACAGTCCCGGACAATCACCACTGTTTCATGTTCTCTTTGTGGCACGCGTATAGCACGTCTTACCCCTGGGTCGGCTCGCGAGAAACCTCCCGGTCACCCCCTCGCTTCTCTCACACGTTCTAGCAGTGCGAGCTCAAACTCGTGGTTCAAGTATCCCCTTGTGTTATCATCCCCTACGCCTGGGAGTGAAGTCACCTTTTCCCATTTGCAGGAAAACGCACATCCAGAGCTTGTTTACGTTTTCCGTGTCGTCACTCAGACATCTTCCCAGCCACCACCACCTCTCGCCTCTGTACATTCCAAGCAGGGGTCAAGTTCCCCAGTTTCGACGTCCTCACGCCTTCCTGTACATTCTTCTACAACGTCTCGTGCACTACCTGCTCAATCAAATAATTCGCCGCATCCCCTGTGTACATCAAATTACTGTCTTCTCCGCCTCCGCACCACCTGCTCTTTGTGGGCTTTTGTGCGCTCTGGCATCATTGAGCGGATATGGCAGGAGGAAGTTACCCAGCTTCCGAGCTCTGCTAGTGCTGATAGAATAACTATAAACGGGAATGGGTCGCTCAATCCACCGTCAACTCCGCGAAGCAGCCAACCGACCTTGCCAAGCGCATCTGAAAAGCCTCCTGTTCCTCCGCGTAGGCGAAGACTCTGGGATATGGCCGTTAGTTGGGGGAAGGAAGGAGGGGAGAGCCTCAAACTCAAAGATAAGGAGAAAGAGAATAGTGCTCCCAAGCGACTACCGTCACCCCCACCATCACACCCTTCCGTGCCCCATCCCCATGGACAGCCTTCCCGGCTAACGTCCCAGGTTCCACCCGCTCTCCCAAAACGCAGTGAAACGCGGAGTACAACCCCTGAGGGCGCCACAGCTGATACCAGCGCAGGGTGTTCAGCTAACAGCACTGTGCCCAACACAGAACCAGTTGCTGTTGATAGTACTGCAGTAGGTCTGGAGCAAAAAGATAAACATACATCATCCGAGTCGTTCGCTACTCCAACGGATGAAGTGGAAACCCCGCTTCCTGCTCCAGTTGTTGGGGTTAATGATGAGGTACCTGCCAACGTACAAGAGGAGCAAACTTCTACTATAATACCCTCGGAGTGCCCTATATCCTCGCAAACTGTCTCCCAACCGCAAACGCCCCCGGCTTCAGTCTCCCCGCCTCGTTCGCGGGTGGGCTCACCCATTCCCCAATCTGTGGCTTCACCTATGTCGCTGAGTCGCTCACGGGCTGGATCACCTGCATCTGGCCGCCCTTCTTCTCCTTTTCCACCCTCGAGAACAGGTTCCCCTGTACCGCCACAGGGCGCGCCACCGGTGCCGCGACGGGCACCTGCTAGGCGAGCTGCACCGTTGCCCCCGTCAACGCCTATGCCGGAGCGGCCATCCGCACTTCCTACTCGGCTGAAAAGGGAAGGGACCAAGAAGTCCAAGGAGTCTGAAGGTTCGAAGGTGGTAGAAGCACCGAAAACAAGTGTTGCGGTCACAACCTCCAATCGTGAAGATGGTGGTGACAGTGAACCTTCCTCTACGTCAATTGATGGGCGACCAGAGAATGTTGATACTCCCGCTGGACCACCCACTGGGGATAAACGGGCCGGACTATCTACGGACACTACCTCGCCATCAGAAAGACAGACTCCAGCCCCTTCTGAACCGGTTGACGTGCCACCAGAGGTACCTACTACAACCTCAGAAGCGACGGCGGCTGTCACCGACCACTCGCCCGTCACTGAAAAATCTGCTTCTGTACACGCCACCAATGGAGGGTCGTCTGTGGATACGGAGAAACATAATAAGCATTGTCCAAGCATTAACACCGAAGGTTTCGCTGGCGATGGGACGTGGGAAGAACGCACTTGGAAAGAGGTGATTCGCCTGAGGGAAGAAATGTTTTGGGCTCGTGTTGGGTGTGTGCGAGAGTTGTGAAATGGCGAAGATAACCTACAAGTACATGCGTCTGTAATTCTGGATTGCTTGGGTTTCTATACAATGTCGATAAACCTATCTGGTATTACCCTGTACAATGGAATAATGTAGGGTATCTGGGTCGACAGCTGTAGTGCCCATGTATGGATCTACGACTTTCTAGCAGGAGGTGGGACACCATCGGAAAGTAGAACTGGTGACCTTCCATTCTCCGGTTCCCCCATAGCTTGCTTCACGACAGAGTTGCTCAGCATGCTCGCGTACTTGGGCTGAACAAATGTACCACTATATCGCTATCAGAATAGAAGCCGAATAGGAGACGCAAATCAACCTACTTTGCCTCAACTAGCACGTTACCCCTAAGGTCCTCGACCTGACCGCTTACTTGGACTTTGCGCCCTCTCTTCTCTAACAGACGTACTTTGATGATAATAAACTGTTCGCACAGCGGCGTGAGAAATGGTTACTTTGAAAATAATAATATAGCCTTGCCTGATCAGCAAATGTAGGGGCACGGTAATTTATTGAAAGGTTCGCTGTGACACCAATTTTATCGGGTAGATTGTTTATTGCCTTGTGGTTGTAGAAGGGATATCAGGAATCGCAGACGACCTTTGCACTAGTACTTACGGTCCGTGCCAAGCTCTCATCCAAAAGGGTTGCCAGCAACCCCCCAGTGAACGATTCCATCGTGACCGCAAAGTCCTCGGCCAACATGCACGAATACGATTGCTTCACTCTCGTCCCGCTTTGATCGCACCAGGGGTTTGATTGAGAGCTTTCCAGGCCCTCTTAGAGCTCCAGCGGTGAGATTATTGACGCGCCTTTCTTCTGGAAAATGTCTATAGGGACGGGCTTCGTACCACTCGTCAGCATCGGGTTGTGAACGGAGGGTGTCAAGCAGCGGCAAGGATTGAAGGGCTTCTTCCATGGAGGTAGCATATGCAAGTGATTCCGGAGAATCTAGATCGGAAGGTGGTCCGGGTGCAGGTCGGGGTGCGATGAAGGCAAAGATTGGATGAGGTGCAACAGCGCCAGCTGTATAGGATCCTATACCAACAAACGACACGAGTGCGAGGGTGCGCAGGTAGTTGCGCTTGGGCTGTACGATCGCATTCGTGTGCGATGAAAAGAGCCTACTCGACCTTGCGCCAATATTATTTCGATGCCGGAATAGGCGTCTCAGCAGGCCGGAAGACATTTCTTGGTGAACTCTTATTGATTCCGGGCCGGATGGGCCTTGTGCTGATGTAAGCCCTTCGGAACGACCCGAGCGGAGTTGGTTCAGGCCCCAACTCTACCAAGGGCGATTAGTCCACCATCGCCCATCTCGACATCAAGACCTCGACACACGCAAGGCTACAGAAGACATGGTAAGTCTATGGTGGGCAGCCGCTACTGCATCTCGGGGAGGTTTGTTACCGGCAAGTACATAAACCACGAGGTGGATGTTCGACAGACCATCTGGATGAGCGACCTCCTGCGGACAATGACTGGGACATCTCGGGGACATTTCCGTCTGTGGAAACCGAGATGGAACAGAGGCAGTCCATTAGGATGGCTTGTTTCTACCTAGAGCTCCGAGACACAGTAGCGGTCGTCGCACCTATCATCTGATAGTGCATGATCAGCTACTGACATTGTTCTCGTCTCAATGACCCTAGCCTCCCAAGTCCAAGCCAGGTTCTGGGAAGAAGCCCGCCCCTGCCCCAGGCGCTGCCAAGGGCGCCGCAAAATCGACTAAAAACCCTCTCTTCGAGGCCCGCCCTCGTAATTTCGGCATCGGTGCGTGTCTCACTACTCTTTGAAGAAACAGCCAGAGACTGAAGTGCTTGTGTCGTACAGGACAAGACATTCGTCCCCCGAGGGACTTGACTCGTTTTGTAAAATGGCCTGAATATGTCCGGCTCCAGCGTCAGAAAGTCATCCTCAGCCAACGTCTCAAGGTCCCTCCCGCGATTGCCCAGTTCTCCCACACCCTGGACAAGAACACTGCAACTCAACTTTTCAAGCTCCTCAACAAGTAAGTCAGCTGCTCTGCCCAGATTGGCCGTTATTCAAGTTTTCAGGTACCGTCCTGAGACGAAACAGGAGAAAAAGACTCGTCTTGAGACCCTCGCGGCGGCCACCGCGGAACAAAAGGAGGCTGCCAAGGACAAGAAACCTCTGTTCGTCAAGTACGGTCTCAACCACTGTGTCGCTCTTGTTGAGGCCAAGAAGGCCTCGCTGGTTGTTATCGCTCATGACGTCGACCCCATCGAACTTGTCGTCTACCTCCCTGCACTTTGCCGTAAAATGGGTGTTCCCTATGTTATCGTGAAAGGGAAAGCTCGTCTTGGCACCGTAGTTCACAAGAAAACTGCGGCTGTCCTCACCATTCAAGAGGTCAAGAGTGAAGACCAGCGCGAACTAGCAACGCTGGTTAATGCAGCCAAAGCTAACTTGTGAGTCTTTTGGAGTTTCACCAGTCAAAAAAAACATGATTGAAACACCGAGTAGCACCGACAAGTACGAAGAGCAACGTCGTCAGTGGGGTGGAGGGCTCCGCGGCAACAAATCTACCCAGATGCTTCGTAAACGTGCGAAGGCTGCCGGTCAGAATGTTAATGCTCCAGCTCTTGGCAAGCTATAAAGATACATTTAACCTTGGCGCGCGCGCGTGCAGTGTTTCTTGTCATTCGTCGTCGTATATGACATGCTGTATGGAGTGCGGATAGTATGACATCTCATATGATCAGGCCATGTGGCCTGCAAAACGAACCCACCCTTGACATTGAAAAGAAGTCTATGCTTGTTACCTTGCTGTTGTACAGGCGTAGACTCATTCAGTATTGCTCTTCAGCGTTCCGGGGGAGAACTTTACGTAGGCACAAGTACAAGCACAACATTGATATTAACGTGTCCATGTTAGAGATTCTGAATTCATTAGAACTGGGGGATTCGCATCTTTTCCTCCTCTTTCTGCTCAGGCCAGAATTCGGCCTCCAATTCCACTACACGAGCCCATATACTCTCCGCACGCACGATGGCTTCGGCATGATTACTGCAACCATCTTTCATGGCCTGCTGATAGAGAGGCATCAAGTACTCGTCGACGAGCATCCCTATGCCGTGCACGAATTCTGAGAAGTCGGGATTTGCATTGGACCAGCTGTAAGACAGGTCGCGAAGCGCTTCTCCTGTTTTCCCTAATTCCGACTCTGATTTTGTACGAAGAGCGGAGGAAACATTCGACCACGCATCCAAGTAGACCTGTGAAGTTGAATGCATGTATTATGTCTCCGTAATTATCGCACGATGACGAAAAGCTGATGTTCGTGGCGTTGCGCAGCGATCACTCACCTTTTCCATGGCCCACAAGAACACGAGCCCATCTTCAAGTGTGCCCAGCGACGCGATGCGTGCCATCTCAGCCGTGTAGTCTCGTGTTGCCTTCCTCTCGCGCCATACCTGTCCTTCTCCCTGCTCGACGTCACCGACGTCCAGATCATATCTCCTCGCCGTGTCCTCGAAAAAATTGACCTCGCGGACGATATTGTCCAGACATCCAACGAGAACTTGAAGAGTGCGTCTGCTGCGAACTTGGACAGCTGGATCTGTGGAATCCAATGGGATCTTGGTTATGAGAAGAGCGATGAATCTGGGATAAGCCTGAGCAGCATAGATTCTATCTTGCGCCAACCAAAACGCAAGACGATCGTGCGGCAGAGTCAGATCTGCGGCATCTCGCAAAAATTGGTGCGAAGTAGCGGCCTCGTAGGGAACAGGTGTCGAAAGAGACGCAAGGTAGGACGTGAATGTCTGGACCATCACCGAAATACTTTGCTGGATACTATGAGAAACACTAAATATGGTGATGCATTTGACGTTTGTTGTGACTATGACGTATCGCCACTTTACATTTTGTAGGGCAGGCAACTTCGTTTGAGCGTACGAACCGAATACCGTGATGTACAGAGGTCCCATGTTCGAAATCCCCAATAGCCCGCTGTCGATGTAATCGATTCTCTCAACCTGCGTGTTTACCAGGCCTCACAGGGATCTCTTCACGGAACACTTGCCGGGCGTGCGGCAATTCTGTGACGAAAGGTTTTACTCCAGATAAATCCTAGCAGGACGTCAATCCAATACCTTAAGTCAGAAGTCTTAACATAAGCTGAACACTCACCAACTAAAAGCATTTCCCCTGGGTAATACTATGGGCTTATGATTATATGATTATGCTGGTAAACAAGGTGCCTGCCGGCAGCGCCGGCCATGTTCTAGTTATATGATTATGCGCTGATATGATCCTTGGGTGCAAACCCCAAATCCCAACGTGCTACTAAGGGGCTGACTTAGTTAGTTGCCTTCCTAGCGTCTACGTCCACCAAATAAATAAATCGACCCCTAGGTGTAGACCAACGTACGGAGGAATCCAACTCCACACCATCCATCTCCAGATTACCGCAGGCTTGCCAATTTGTTGTACATATCATGAAGATCTACTTTGGCCACCGGCTTACTATCCGAGAGACCTGAGAGCCTCGCAGATTACCTCGATCGGCCCTGCTCCAGACGCTTGGTGAGCCACTGCACGGGAAGGTTGAAATTTCTACTGTGGGGGTGTGGGCCGTATACCATCAAACTTTCGAAGCTTATCCAATGTTCTGTTGGGACCGAACCCGCGTCAACGAGTCTACCCTCGGGCATGAAAAAGGCGCGTGTGTGGATGGTATTTACATACAGGCTGACATGCCGCACTCCGCAGAATTCCTGGCAGAATGCACCTCTACTTCCTACTGTATGGAAAGGTGCATCTCTACGTTCCGTGCGCAGGGTCACTCTTTGAATATGGTTAAATTCGGACACATTTCCGGAGCTGAGCATCTTGTACCGCTCATCCCAACCATCAGAATGGTCAAAGCCCAAGCTGCCAGCTTGAGTACTTCAAGGAGCGGAATGTGAATACTGTCCAGTGGCAGAAGCGTCCATGGAGAGGTGTCACCGGTGAGCGAGAGCACTATTGGTGGCTGGGTAGGGATAAACCGCCCGGCCCGTGCATCCCCTGAACCTCAGTTCGAGAGTCGTAAGGATCGTGGCAGCCGCAAATTCAGGGGCAATGGGGCAAAAGTGGTCAAGACTCAGATTCCGAAGGGCAGAGGCCTGGCTGGGTAAGAGGAATCGTGGACAGGCGGATACCATAGACACACCAATGAAAACATCTTTGAGAGAAGGAAATTTCAAGCCCTCAGATACGAAGGGGATCCTAGGCACCGTCGATCGGTATGGCACGCGAAGGCACTACCAGCGATTGGCGCTGGAGACAAGGTCGTCCGGCCACTGTACTTCAGGCTTGTCACTAGCAAATGGAACACTCATAATTAAGATGTTGAAAGGAACATTGCCGCTCATCGTCTGTTGGGTCTCCGGGGATGAAATGGTGAGAGGGCTGCTCCGACACACCAAAATGCAACTCCAGAACTCGGTAGTCCATTGACAAATTTGTCCTGTGGGTCACTAGCCTCCGAAATAATGGAACTCCTGTCAGTCATCATGAGTCAGTAAGGATTGGAATATTGTCCACGAAAGGAGTTCGACAGGGAGATGATTGATCGCAGGAGGTCGCTTCTTGACGAACTGATCGATCTTACTTTTCTGTATCTTTATGGCTGCACGGATTCCTACGAGCTGCTTGAAGAGTGTCCTTTTGGTCCCTCCAGCCAACGTAGCTCAGTGCGTGCCTCATCTAGCTTGTCCATGATGGGTGGATAACAGTACTGGAGGCCGGTGTCAGCGCGGTGGGGCATCGTGCGGTCCTGAGCCCTACCTGAGGATCCCAGTGGATGATACCGATGAGCAACGTCGCGTTTGCAAGCTATCGGATTTCATATCAACAACCCATCCCTTACTGTGACTGTCAGGGGCTATTTGCCATTATAGAGTTCTGAGACCTACCATGATGTAACCTTATTCCGGGTATCCAGCAGTCAGATTACGTACATTGTAAGCACGTCGCGCGAGATTACCCTGAGTGTAGCATGAACGAGAATTCTAGCGCAGAGTCCTTGTCTGCGCCGTGTCACCCTATGTCTCTTGTGCGCCAACACCGTTCACAGCCGAATTCTTAGAACGGTTGTAAGGCTGCTTCTGAATTTCACCAACATATTAGGGGGTGCTTGGTTCGGGATTTCTTAGAAGTGTAGTGTCACGTGCATATTATGTACATGGACGTGTCGCGTCTCGGTTTTAGCTCCTGAACAGCTTCAGCTCCGGATTAAATGTTACAGTGCAGTGCAGATTGACCATGATGATGCGTGCGACTTCGTCTTCTCCCTCTGTACAAGACATTTGGAAATGGACATTCACAAGGGATGCCATAGCACCATGTTTCATTCGGGACGTGCTTTCCATGAAGGAGGCTGGTGTGGGTGAGTTCATCTCTGAGGTCGGTCATCAAACGAAGGGATTTATTTTCACATTCCAGATGCTGATTTTTTTTGGATTGGACATACGCCTTGTCGATCCGTAAATCTCGTTGGCATGGTCGTCGCAGTGCAGGTTCACGAGAAGCGAACCATTTACACTTGTAAGTCCCAGTTTCCCTAGTTTAAGTTTTATCCATATCAGTTTCTCCCCGGAATGACAGTAGATGATGGGACTGGAGTAGTTGACTGCATTCTGCGCCATCCAGCACCCGCAAAGCCTGCTGCGGAAAGTAAGGACATGGCCCGGCCACCTTCATCAAAGAAACCCAAGTCAGGTATCACACCCCTAGAACCTCCAATTCCGGTAACCGAAGTTGGATACGTAGTTCGGGTCGTTGGGAAGGTTGTACGCCACTATGAGACGCGGCAAATCATCGCAGACTCCATTGGTAAGTCATATACTGGATGAAGGTCACATCCTTGTCCTCGGATTCACTGAATGCAGAGCCTTGTGCATCCGTAATCGATGAAGCAGACCACTGGATACGCGTCGTGGAGCTTCACAAGTCCAAGTATTCCCTTGCAGCACCATTCGTAATCCCGTCACCCACCGAGCCAATCCGAGACAACGTCGACAGACAATATACTGATGATACAAGTGTGTCCTCCACGAGAGTGGCACACAATGCTGGGTCGTACGCATTGGCTTCGCGGGGACCGCCGCCGCAGGCCCGTGCTCCACTATCACCCGGACCGTCCATCTATTGCGTCCTCTACGCCGTCTAGCCCTATAAAGGGGTCCAGTCCAACAAAGGTTCCAAGTTCGGTAAGAGTCATTATCCGACGTTTGTTTTCGTTTTTTGACTGACACTCCTCTACTCCTTTCATTTCGAATACCCCATGTCTCCGTTTATCCCTAAACCTCTTCATAGCCCTCCAAAATCAAACTACGCCATCCTTCCAGGCTCCGCAGCTGTGATCTTACCTCGAACATATTTCGTTTACATCTCAAACATTACATGGACAATGTGAGAGTAAATCCACAACCAGATCTCTCCCACAACCATCGCAAGAAACAAGCGAGCCATTTGCAGCGAACGCCGATGATGCAACGGATGGATTACGATTGTGACACCTATGGTGATCTATCGCCAATGTCTGAACCGCCACATGGCTTTACGCTTTCTCATCTTCGGCGCGTTCCTGAGTTGGCATTAGCTCGCAGCGCGTGTCGTGCGGGCCGAGGCACGAAGAAGGGCAAAGGTTGAGCAGTCTGAGACACGCCGACGTGCCAAAACCCAACCTGCCATGTTATCTACCGGGGCAGCGTCCGCAGTGAGTACTGGTAACTCTATCAGGGTTCCCACCAGCAAACGTGATGCCTCTCCTCGCGATCCCTTCCGAGCAAAGAAGAAACGACTCTTCGAGTGGGCGCTTGCGCGGCTGTATGAGGAAGGCGGTATAGTACTCTGGGATGGGCCCGTGCATCCCCTACCGTTACCCGTTTCTACATCCGAGGCGCGGACGGAAAACTCATTGTGGAGTGAATCGGCAAGCAGTAAATCCTCCACCTCTGCTATTTCGGTACCTTTGACTTCAGTTTCCGTGTCGCGTACGAGTGGCCGCGGTACGGAGGAGGAAGACATGAATGAATATCTGTCCGATCCTCAGCCCAACGAAGACGCATATGTGTCTCTCACGCCAGAGTTATTGTCGACTTATGTGGAGGAGGCAGCGACGGCCCTAAAGCGTGGGAAGGGAAGAGGGGGAGGAAGGCGCGAACCGACACCAGAAGAAGTCGCGGCATACCTTCGCCGGACAGATGCACGGTGGGCACGGGTAGGGGCGTGGGCTGTGAAGGAAGCCCTGGAAGCCTTGGGCAGATAAATGCAATGGCGGCAGACATTCTATCGGTCGAATATGTCACATCTCACATGTATATCTTTCGCAAGTTATGCTATAGGTACATCTATTATACGTTGCATCTAGAATTCACTACGGCAAAGTGACTTCCCAAATTCTCGCACAGCCGTCTGCACCTGCACCCACTAGTTTCCCCCTTCCCTTCTCTTGAGATTCGAGCCATAAAACTGCAGAACCGCCGCCTGGCGCAGCACCCCTGATTGCCACGTACTTCGAAATGTTCGTTACACTGTAAATGTACACGTTGGTATCCAACGAGATGGACGCAACGTGAGTAGCTGACTCCGTGGCAGATGGGCAAAGGAATGCTAGAGAGGCTATACGTGCTGTATGGTGAGCCCAGCGATCAGTTATTTTCTAGGAAGTTCGGTCAGTGTGTACATGTCAGAGCTGGGATTCCCTCACTTCTTTGCCTGCAGTGCCGAAAAGTACGATCTTTCCAGCAGACTGCGGAAGAATGCCGTTAGCCAGCCTTAGCGGTAAAGGTAGAAAACCTACATCTCCCGCAGCGATGTGTTCACCATTCGCGGAGACCGTGATGGCCGTGATGGGACCCTTGTTTCCCCCTAACACGTACGATTCTGACAGCGTTCTGCCATCCCATGTATACACATAAACCTTGGTATCCTGTTATCAAAGAGCAACTTTGTCATGATATCGGGTAATAAGACTATAGGCACGTAACTTACCTCAGCACCAATTGCGACAGTATTTCCAGCTGCCCCTATAGCGCTTGGGATGTACGTTGGTTTAAGCTCAAAAACGCGCTGATTACTTCTAACTGCTTCTACTCTGTCAACTCCGACCACAAATAAAGTTCCATCCATCGTTACTGTGAGTGCCTTTGGCTGAGAGGATGTGCTGAATAACGTTTGTCTGGTGCCCTTCGTTAGATGAAACTCATGAACGTGTGACAACGGCCGAACGCACGTAAAGCTAAACGTTCCGCCACTTGGCTCTAATTCACGCACGCGATCATCGCATCCGGATGAGTATAACTGTTCCTTAGGCCCGGCTGCCAATCCGGACACCAAGTTTGTGTGTCCTTCGCCCTCGACAGCATGAATGGAGTGCAAAGATGTGTCATAGTAGAAGACACGACCATCCGCAGATCCTGCCATGAACGTGCTTGAAGGACCCCGGACGGCCGATGTGATGGCTTTCTGAGGCGCCTGTAGTACAAAGTACCTAGATGTCAGAGTCAAGCAGAGGTAATGACGACAAAACTTGCCAACCTGGAGCACGCGCGATGGACGATCCTTGTTCTCGCGCTTGTCAAATATATTCAACACACCAGACAGAGAGAGGGACACAAGGTCGTCCGAGGATGTCCAAACGCAGCCAACTTGTTGATTCGAGATGCCCTTGCCGACATTCCATGTTTTTGCGACCTTTCGGGACTCGACGTCCCCTATTGCGATCGACATCACCCGACAACCAAAACTAGACAAGGATGAACTCACATAATCTGACAGTACAGTCCAGAGAAGATGTCAAGAGAGATTTACTGTCTCCGCTCCACGAGCAAGCCATCTGTCATGAGATGTTATCTTTATTTTCCGAGGAAACTAGGTTCAAAGGACATACAACACTGCCGTTGTGGGCATTCTCAGTGAACTCAGCTAGAGTATCACCTGTCTTGCCATCATACAAGAATACCTTGTAATCCGACCCTACGCTTGCAAAAAGGTCCCCGGAAGGCGCATATTTAATATCCTGAACAAATCTTGTGTGCGTCCTGATCGTCTGCAGGGATAACCGGTGAACAAGGCGATAAGATGACCTAGTGGGGTAATATTCACCTTTTCGTGCTTGTACGGTACCCCTTGTTTACTGCTATTCAATTTCAAAGCATAGAAACGATATAGAGAACACTACCTTGACTGAAGATGATCAAACCATCATCACCGCCAGTAGCGGCCCGGTATGGGCGTTGATGACGTATGGAGACTGCGTTCACAACCTAACAAGTGGTTGAGTTGAACTACGCTCGTACTACTAAGCCAGGGCTACCTTTGAATGGCCAATAATCTCACCGCAAGATGCACCAGTATCGATGATGATAGGGCGGCCAAACCTTGTCACGGAAATCAGAAAGCTGTCACCATTCCTTAGACTTTTCACCGAATACTCACTTGTCTTTTCCATCGCCCACTACAATCATCCTCTTACTTTCGCCGTCCCAGGCGAGATCATTTCTATCCAGGAACGCAAGCAAGTCAAGTTCAAGGGATCAGAAATGAAAACGAGGCCCTTACACGCGCCCAGAGATAATCTTGTATTGCCACTTTACTGACTGGTCCTCACCGATCGTATCCCATATTTTCACTAACACGATCTAAGTTCCTGTGCGGTAGTCGCCTTTCGATCTACATACCCAAACCAGTTGCATCAGCAGATGCGCAGTAGTACCCGGAAGGAGAGAACCGGGCAACTGTTGTGTTCTGAGAGTGACCGGAAAAAGTTTTGCTCGATGCAAGATCCTTTATACCTTGTAAACGGTGGATACTTCATAATGCGCTGAGCAGTCACCTTGAGATCGTGGATCTTGTGAGTGCACACCTGTGAGCTTGAAAACGTTTCATGAACGGAAAGGTTCACCCACTACTATAGTCCTTCCATTTGCATAGATGATCTTATCTTGGTGGGAGCTGAGCTTGCTCGACACCCCGCGCGTAGTTACAGGATTGCATGGATACAGGGCCGTACGAGTGAATGACATACCCAACAGCGAGTTTCACAAAATCGATAGATACTTGGAAGGCGAAGGTTTCACGAAATATCGTGAGATCAGTTAGACAGTCTTTTCTGCGCACACTCAACCTGCGGCGTAGTCAGGAGAATACCACATTAGGAAGTGCTACTACACAGTCGTAGCCAAAGCGCTCGAGACGAGAATTCACTTGGAACGGACTTCGATAAAGAAAAAACAAATTACGCAATGTAAGATACCAGAGCCAGGACATCAGCGTTAATGGGACGAATTCAGTCGTCCACCAGGGAACATTCGTCAGCCGTATAATTCTTCAAAGGGTCTTTCCTCAGAGCTTCTGCCTCAGATAAGACGGATGGACCTCTGCCACCAACAACCTTGGTCTTCATCACGGTATCTGGTGCACCTATAGTCGCCGTTATGCTGGGAGTAGCAGGCTAGATGCTCCAAGCTCAGTAAAACACGCAGAAATATGCCTGATGCCTCACCTCGTCCCGGAACGGAGTAAACATCGGACTTGACAGTACTCCGCCTTGGGGATCTTGGTCTGAGAATGGCACGATCGTACTTCTGGCAGGAGTCTTCGGTGGTAGCCTAGTGGGAATAGGAGGAGGGGGCATCCCATCTGACTCAATATTCTCCTCGGGGTCAGGGTCTTTGTAAGGAATTATCTTCGAAGTACTAGATGAGCTGGAACCGGGGGTGACGCGACGGGAGCTCCCTGTGTGTTTCAGGGTAGTTCCGGCTGCTTTTCGCACCTCGGGGACATTCTCTTTGACGCGGGATTTACGAGTTCCAATATCGGGGAATGCAGCTCTTGTTTCCTCCTGAGGCTCGGAACCGGTCGGGTCCACGAAGATCTGAAGACGAGAATTGGGAGCAGCCCTCGGTAGCGATGGACCAGAACCAAATACGTTAGCATCGGACGGAGATGACCTGTGTACCCTGGCTAGAGAGCCAGACGAGGATAAAGAAGTAGTCAAACCAAGTCCTGTGCGTCGGGAAGTACCCGTCGGTTCCTGGGCAGGGGGCAATGCGATGCCTGACATCATGCGTTTCTGAAATTCTGCATGTTTGCTTTGCAAATGTTCCAGGGGGCTTGCCTGCCGTGCAATTCCCAACAGAAAGATAGCGTCCGCCTCGTTTCGCCTGCGGGAGTGGAATTAATAGGGGGACCAACCATGGACCCATCGGAAGAAAAAGAAACATACCGTCCTGCCCTCTCCAGCGCAGCCGCATATTCTTCATACAGAACGGCGTGACTTGTCCCAATGTCATTGGCAAGCAAAAACTTGAATATCAATATCGGTTTCTCCACAAAGCTGGCATAAAGCAACCAGAGCTTCAAGTATTTGAGTTCGCCTTTCCAGATACCGCCCCGATTATCTTTTAGTGCTCGAGTTGCCTCCTCTAGCAACTCAAGGAGTCCAGATTCAGCACTTTGGCCCTGGGGGTAGTTGTCCAAAATCCAATTAACGAATCGGACATAGGCCTCAAGGGGATCATCGTCTTCGTCTTGCAATGCGATTTCAACGTTAAGTCGGTGACGTTTGCGCGCGGAAAGGAGCCGTTCATCGCGCTGCGCGTGTGGGGTGGATAGGATAGCAGACAACGCTGTTACGCGCCGCCCAGACGCAAGAGGTTGTATATTTTCCTTCGCTGCTTCTATTACTTCGATGTCGACGACAGGTGGGACCTGTGTGAACACATCATCAACGTCCGCCATGACTGTGATTCGTGACTGCAGCTTGAACACAAAGTACACTTCAAATTTCCAAGTTCACGCGTCTTGTCTCCGTGGTCACGTGACCGTTATCACCGCCTCCTTCAACTCGGTCGTTGTCCGGTGAGGTGACTACTCGATTATATGTAGTAGCACCTTTGTATGCTGCACGATGGCTGTTAAAGGATAGGCCTGAAAGTCGTTTGCGCCACCGTCAATCACAAGACGCCGCTAACATGTGTTCAGATAATGTTTTTTCGGCAACGAGCCGGTGACGGCAGGATTACTGTGACAGTGATCCGACTCGCATTATGCCGCGATGTCGGTACAAGCCAAGCTCGAATGAGGCCAGTGTTTGTGTTTCGAGACAGAACTTGCCGTGTCGCAGCCAGTTGTTCCAACATGTCACTCCAAATGGGCACTTACTTTGTTGCACTATAAATGTATCAATATCTCCTTTGGGTGCTGCCTTTCGATTTGACTTTAAGATTGCGCAAAATAGGGGTGAAGACAAAGCAGACACCATTTATGTCTTGGTTCGTATATTCGAATGATGCAGGTGAATTAGGGAACTACGAAGGCCGAAGGAAAGGAAGTAGGTGTTCGCCCAAAAAACTTCTATGGCACAAGTAGGAAAAAATCGTACAAGTATCCGTCCCAAGGATCCCTTTTGGTATGTAATCAACTCGGATAAGATTGTGGTCAAGCAGAGGAGGAGCCTGACGAAGCTGGACCCACAACTTCTTGTTTGGTCCTTGAAAATTTGGCAATGGTAGCATCATCGACTCCAAGGTGCGCCTTGACGAGTTCGTGAGGGATGAGCGCCAGCCACTGACTGAGGGAGATGTCTTGGAATATGCCTAGACACGTATCGGTAAACTTGGCCATGTGACATACAATAAGATGAATCATACCAGATTTGAAGATCTCGAGGAACTTCAAGGTAGAATTACCCGTGTTCTCAATGTAGTGACCTAGAACCAGCGAAATCAACGACTTTGAAAGCCTGGTTTCCGCGAAGACTGACCAAACGACGGAGGAATATATGCGATGTCCCCAGCCTGATTGGCGGATCAGATTTTTGCTGACACAAAACGCAATTACAACGGACCTGGAAATCGGACGTCTGTGCGTTGGACGATGACGCGAATACAGTAATACGAGCTTCGCCAGAACTGGAAAATACGTAAGAATCTGTACAAGCGGCCAGCCAAACAACTGACATGAAGAAGGTCCATTCAGGCTCAGTAGGGTGCCACTGGCAGCATTTAGGTTAGAAATCAGACTCAGGAATGCAAATCTTACGTGGAGTTCACTAAGCAGAATTTGTTAGTCACTGACTAGGCAAACACGTGTATGACGCACCGCATGCCCCCGACCTCTACTGTAACCTCCGCGGCACAGATAGTCGTGGCGGCAGTGAACGTTCTGGAGTCAACGACCTTGTATGCCCCACCTGCTGTTTTCGTACCCTCGACCTGGGACATAGGGAATGTATAAGGAATAGGTGTATCATTTGGTACCACCATATCAGTAGCGACATCGGCAGGAGGGGGCTGTGCTACATTGGACAGAATCAAACCCAATTCAGATATTTCGTGACATGAAGACCCACAAGGGAAGATGTACAGCTCGTGAGATGGGATACGGTCAAATGCCGAGATGTCGGTTTGGAAATTCTTTGCGATCACCTCTTTAGGAACGTGGGCCAACCAATCCTGCCAAACACATGAGCAACTGCTTATCCTCCAATATACCCGCTTACAGTGAGAAGGAAGGTGGAATCTTCGCTAAAGGAACCGTTGTCGAAAATAAGCAGGAACTCGGCACCTTCCTCCGTAGTGTTCTTGGCTTGAATGCTACGAAAACAATCAGTTCCCCGAGAGACAAGAGACAGTCAAGCCTTACCTGTGTGGAAATCCAGGAGGGAAGTACCATAAGTCACCGGGGCCCTAGCTTACGTGAGATTGGGGCTTAAGCAAGACTATTTCAGAGGTACTCACGACGTCGGCAAGATACACCTGACCATCAGGTGTCACTGTACTGACTCTGACGTAACCGGACAACATATAGGCCCACTAAACCCATTTTAATGTTATAAAAACGTGTGATAAAGGAAAACCTACCTCCGCATCGGTGTGCCAATGCAATTCACTAAAAAGGATGAGCTCAGTGGAGGACTGAAGGACCTCTCTCACCGGATGGCGCCTGCTTCTAAGCGCATATTTACACCTTGACATCACGGCTGGTTAATACACGGATCGTGGGGCAAAAAATCGACCATACCAGCAATGTCCGTTGCGACTGGCATAACATTTACTGATTGGAAGGACGGGTTAGCAAAGGTTCGACACTATCGTACGCATTGGACTAACCATTTTGCTCGCGCGCCCAACCACCGGTCTGTAACCGGTTGTGACTTAGAGAAAAAGGCCATTTAAAGTTAGGACTGTGAAATAATGAGCGAAAGGCAAGGGCATGTATCGAAACTAAAGACGTACACGGCACCATTGTCTGTGGTTGGTGGGGCAAGCACATCTGGATTTTGGAGTTCCACTGGGACGTTCTGCGGTCCCAATATGGTAGCACCCAACCCACTACGAATGGGTTCTGGGGTGATATCAGATTCTGGATTCCAGAGGGGGTAGTTTGGATCATCGCTTGCATATGGAACGGTCGGGGAAGGAGCTGGAGCTGAAGAGGTTTCAGAAGAAGCTGGTGCCGCGAGGGCAGTGGAGAGGATAGTTAAAGTCGAGAGGAGAGACCAGGAATACATTCTCCGGGGAGAAGGAAAAGAATGACCTCTGGGGCGGAAGGCTACTGGACAAATACACGGATTCAGGTGGTTTTTTCTGCTAGCAGACCAACCTTTTTATACGTTTTTGTCCCTGTCAGGTCCCTTCGGAACGCCATTTAGTAAATACGAAACTTGGCGGCGACCTCATTACCAGGGAGGGGGCGAGCAAGACAAAGTTCTTACGGCATAAACTTGAACATCTCCGAGCCTGTGGCAGATGCACCAATAACTTACTACACACCAGATGTAGGATAAGTCCGCCTCCCTGCTAGTGGCAAGGTTTACACCGCCAATGCATCATCGCACGATGAACACCCCTCTTTGCCGCCATTGCAGGTCGAGTTCAACGGCGAAACCTTCACCCTCCCAGTCTTCCCGTTTGCCGTTTTCGACCCCATGGAGCGTGCTATTTCAAGGTCGCATCGACATTGGTACGGTATTTTTGAAGTTGCCACTAACTATGAAAGTCGTGGCCTTCAAATATTACCGATTTAACGGCTTGGAAGCGCGTGTGCCTCTCCGGAATTCTCAGCAGTCTTCTGCGGAACGGTTTCCTGTTTGATCCCATGAACCATAAAACATACGGGAGTACTTAGGTTCGCACTTGAAGTGAGACGTGGCGCAGAAAACAGCCTTCGAGGGCTGGTGTTCACTAGCTTCTTTTGTTGCTATGATCAGGTTGCCTGCGCTCCCTTCCATTCTTATAGCGTCCCGCGCGGTCAGACTATGTACTTCTCCCAGAATCCGCGTGGGAAACTCTTCATTGGAGAGCATGAATCGAGAAGGTCGATTTTATGATATCAACGTGTGGGTACATGATATCTCATCTAATGACGTGAAACCTTCCTGGAAACCCATCGTAAGTTCGCCACAGTCCACACTGTTGGCAGCTCGCTTCGTGCAGCCTTACTGTACGTTCAAATTTCAACAGGGGAAGGGCGCTCTACTTATCTGCAGCGGGCTCAAAATTCGGGCATATTGGGGCACCAATTGCGCCTGAAACCGGCCTTCCACGTCGGCGAACGTTTTGGTGGTGCAGGGAACCATGTGTTGATGCATCGTTATCGATGGAGTCTCGTCTTGCTCCGGGGATATAATTATACACGGCGCCGACGCAAGCGCAGTGGCGCAGATCAAAGCAGGAGCCCAAGTTACAGGACGATTAACTTCCGCGTCTGGCCAACCTTACAAAGATGCTGAGCAAGCCGAGTTTTGTGAAGGAATCTGAAGCTCTTTCACGTCGGGTATATTCGGGAGGGCGGCGGAGCACCCGCCATTAGCACACCCCCCTGTTTTTACACGGGTTCTGGTTGGGCTCTGAGTTCGATTTTACTCCACGGGATCACCGCGAGAGATAGTGCACGTCCTCACTAGTAGGACGACGTTCGAGCCTATCGTAGGTGTACCACAGCAGGTTGGAACTCTGTTGCTGGGTGGTTTAACCAGCATAGCCACCATGACTTTGGGGAGATATATAACCCATGTGGAGGCAATAAATGCGAAGCATGAGAGAAATCGAGCTGCACATATGTACTCACCAAGAATCGACTCCAACTTTGGCACAAGGTTACATCTATGATGGGCATAGATGCAAGAACTCCCTAGGTTCCCATGAGGTGTTGAGTCAGCCCCCTCAATTGACGACTGGTGGTAAGCCCTCATAATATGTTGCCTAATGGTCAGCACGAAACTTCGCAGTGAATCGAAGAAACATTCCAGACCCACTGCCAACAAGCGACGAAGGCTTGACACGTTTGATGACGTAAGCTTACCACGCGATGAATTTTCGTTGTGGCCAGCCGGCATCGACGAACCCTTTGACGCTCAGCCAACGCTGTGGGTTTGCCTGCAGGTATGTCTCGTTTTGTTTCCCTGTAACCACCAGCCCATCTTTCTGTCTTTCGTGACACTCCACTCTTAGTTTGCATCCAGAGTAGTCATTCATAGCCGATAATCAAGATGGCTTCTGGATATGCTTCCCCGCCCGCGCAAGAAGGCGGAGCTCCACTGCCCCACCCTTACCTTCACGAACCTTTGCTCTACGTTTCCAATCTCCCTCCCTACGCCACGGATGAAAATGTTGCTATGACTTTCCAGTCGTGTGCTCCCTTCAGACCAACTATCCCACGCGACGGCAGCAATCGCCCTCTTAGTGGAACCATCGAGTTCAAGTTCCTCGAGAAAGGTGGGGTCGATATCTCATGAAACGTCGAATATTTTCATGAACACAAGAGATTATGCAGCTGAAAAGGCACTCGCCACCCTACAATCACGTCCCATCCAAGGACTTCAACCCCCCGTGCTCTTGGTCCTCTCACCATATCCACCGACCAATCCTCCTACACCCCTTCACACAACTGCTTCTCCACGGCTTGTCAAACATCTTCCTATAGGCTACACGGATTCTCAACTTTACGATCTGTTCCGACCATTTGGTGCTATTGCGTCCGTTCGGATGCAAACTGGTTACGGTAGCGACACTGGTGTCGTAGAGTTCTGGCGAGAAGAGGATGCACGTGTCGCAGAGGAGGCTATGCACTGCTTCGACGTCGAAGGCCAAAATATTGCTGTAACTGTATATCAGAACAGGAGATCCAGTGGAGGACCGACAGAATTCAGCGCTCACGCACCTGCTTTTGTGCCGTCAGGCTCCGTTTATCCATACCCAACACAGGTAGAATTCTCCTTTTTCCCACGCTGTTTGCACTCACCATCAATCTAGTATTCCCCGCCTCGCGCAACTCCGTACGGGGCAAGAAGCTCGGTCTTTATTCATGGACCAGGCCAGCAGGTTCAATTAGCTCCTTTGTCCGGCCCTGGCTCCAATAGCCACAGTGGCTTGATTGACCCTTGTAACCTTTTCTGCAAGGTTGTAGATTATTCATGACCCCAGTTCAGCTTACTCATGCTTGGATTCAGAACCTCGATCCCGAGATCGATTCGAACCAGCTCTTTACTCACTTTCGTCAGGTGTGTTCTTTTCACCGTGCTTTAAGCGTCTTTATTTATTGTCTTCGTAGTTCGGCCAGATTGTTAGGTAGAGTGCACTCACCACTTTTCCATGGACATGCAAGTCAATCCTACTCAGTGCTCGTGTAATGCGTAATGAGGCCGGTGATAGCCGTGGATTCGGCTTTGTTTCGTACCAAACACCGGAGCAAGGTAAGGCTGAATGACCAGCTATTCGTGTATGATCATTAAACCATACAATAGCCGCGGCTGCTATGCATGCCATGAACGGTGCCGTCCTGGGTTCTAAACAGATTGTTGTCAGACTCCATGAACCCAAGCAATTACGACAGGAAAAACTAGCGCAACGCTTTCGGTCACAACGGCCACCCGCGATGTGCTAGTGGGGCAACGAGTCCAACCGCTAGTGAGACTGGTGAAAGTTATGTCGGCTTCTCTAGTCCCCGTCACTCTGTGCTCGGGTCCCCTATTATTGGGCATGATCGTCCGGACAGAGGCAGGAGAGGCTCTGGCAGTTATTACAACGTGGGGATCATGTCCAGGTGCTTGGGTGCTCTACTGACTTGATCTTGCAGGCTGCCCTCTCTGGAACTTTGAACCTCCCAATGCGTTACGATGATTTGGCGGCTCTTTCACCTGTTGTAAGAAAGGAGGTGCTCACGGGTGAATTGAGCAGACGCCTCAAAGCGAGCGATTCGCTACCGGCCGATGAAGTAGACGCTGTCGTCGAGTCATTGGTTGGCCTCTCTCTCAGCGAGGTGGTTGCTGGTATCCACGATCCTGCCAAGCTTGTAGATCAAATTGCGAATGCTCGCAATGCCCTATGGAAGTCGAAGTCACCGTCTCCCGCTAAATCGCCATCCCCGGCAGCTTCCCAGGATTCTCGCGTTTTGGATGCAAATGCTCTTAATGCGACGGCATCCGCTCCGGAGCATCCATCGACTCCAATTTCTGTCTCCGCGTCCATCTCAACCCCGCCCCGTACATCTTCACCGTCGGGCTCTGTACCACCCATCTCCGAGAAGGATCGTATGGCTGCTGCTGTAGCCAAGCTTGAGCCATCCAGACAAGCCGAACTTACCGAACTTCTCATGAGTTTGCCTAAGCGTGAGCGCGCCATGTGCCTCTTCAATGTTGAGATCCTTAGAGCCAAGGTTGCTGACGCGAAAATGGTCCTCGACTGTTCCGAGGGAGAGGAAGAACCACCGCAACAGCCGAAGGCCGAGCCCACGCCAGCAGTCCCTGAAGTACCTGTTACACCACAAGCGAAGAAGACCACAACTTCGGCCCTCGAAGATTCTCCACATACCCCAGCGCTATCCTCACGTGGGCCATCAGCAGCTTCCTCTCCAGCACCAGCCACACCAGCCTCGTCTACACATACAATCGCATCTCTGGCCCGCCTTCCCGCGATCGATATTATCAAGCTGGCAAACTCGCCCTCGGCCACCGGTCTGCCATTACCAAAACCTGACCCTTTGGTTGTAAAAGCAACCGATGAGTTTATTGATGGCCTATTAGACAAACCCATACAGACCCAGAAGCAAATGCTTGGTGATAAATTGTCCGTTTTCTGACTCGAGGAAACTAAAAAGGTACTGATATGTTAACTTCTAGGTGGAGAGCGATTAAGTCATTCGGGATCAAAGGAGCTGTAAGTAAACTGTGTCTAGGTTCTTTTCTCCCGTGCGCTGATCCGGGATATCTTAGCCTAAACTCACCATTGCCCTCTTGGATCAAGAAGATCTGCGTGCCCTCGCACATCTTATGAACAGCTACCCTTCCATCCTTAAAGAAAGGGTTTTACTCCAAGCCTCGCAAGTTGGTGGCAAGTAACGACGTTTTCTTACATTGTTTCCCGGGCTGCCCCATCACTTTTCAGTCTTGCTTTTACCTAGGTCAAAGGATTGCGGATTCCCTCTTGATGATGAAATGCCGTTTATCACACATTTAATACCATTTACTGTTTCCCTCATATCTATCTTCATTGGGAGTGATTCCTCATCGTCTTCACTACCTTCGTTGTCCTTGACCCTTTTACTATTACGTTTTCTCCCTTGTTTTACGACTTTCATGATCTTCTGGTTACGTAAATCAGTCCTATCGTTGTGGCTGAAATGACCGATATTGTTGCGAATGTCATCATGATATACTTCATCATCTGAGGGTTTGGGATAAATAAGGACAAAACAAAATAACAGTACACTGTTGTATATTTGGGCCCTGAGACCTGGCATCCAGGACCTCCACATTTGGTATTCGATAATTTGTAAGAACCACGAGGTAAAGTGGGCCGACATCTCTGATAATTAGGGTACGTATCTGAACGAAGGTGCCTAAAAGTAATCGTGGTCGAGGCTGAGATCTGACGTGCATGTCTGAATCCAGAAAACTTACCTTATCAGCGAGCACTGAAGTATCCACTCTCTCGTCTAATTCTGGCTCTCCGTACAGGTTGTCCCGTCGTTTATTCTCCAAACGGTATGACGCCTACATAAGTCATTGGATTGCTTCCTAGTCATCCCAAGAGCTGTTTACTCACGCTTAGTACCAACGCACAGATGGCCGCCAGGAACATCAAAGAACCTGAAGCTACCCAAAGGTTAATGAAAACGGGGGAAAAAAACAGTGCTATAGTTACACACTTCCGAAACCACGCCTATTCTCCACGATCAGCAAAACTGATACAAGGTTCATTCGTGATGCAAGGGTATAGGCGCACCTGTAAGCAGGTCCCTCTGTCCAAGGGTATAAGTGGGAGCCTAGAATGCTACCACACTGACCGATCGCTCCAAAAAGGGGCATACCTGTTGCTCGCTTGGTCTCCGAGCCTAAGTTGTGGGCGACTTGATAGATGGGACTTTTTGGTCAGTTTCGCTTGCATTTTTAATATCTCAAAGGCTACACTTACACCATGCCAACACCAAAGCTATGCTTGTATACGTTCCGATGGCAACGCAAAAGGTGGAGAAGTAGCGGACGAGTTGGTTGTGTGTCACCCCTAACAGGATACTGTGTAGTGTTAGATGAAGAGAAATCAAAAACAAGAATATGACGGACAGGTAGCCTAACCCTCCGAAGGTACATCCGGCGACGATGAAGACACCCCTGGTCCGCATCTTATCCGACAGGTATGACAAAATTATGAGAGCTAGTCCAGCAGCAGCGTATGGTGGGACCACCATGAGTTGGGATAGTGCAGCACCTACGTGTGATAGGAACAAGGGTAATACTCAAATTGCACCAAGGAAAATCTGTTGACTCACTGCCAAAACCCATAGTGGATATGATGGTGGGCAAAAAGGCGGACAGGGAACCCAGGGCACAATTAAGGCCAAAGTATATGATACCAGCCACGTATACCTAATGTAACGAGGGGGTCAGCTACAAAGGATCAACGAGACTGTCATCAAAGCTTACCCTCCAATCCAGAAAAGCTGCTACGACGTGATCTGCAACATGTGATTTTAGAAGTAAGGCCTATGATGGAGTAGAGATAAACTCGTACCGTAGTTTATCGTAGCACCGACGTCGCTGCTCGTGCCTCTATTGACGCGCTCAATGGCCAATTTCCGTTCGGCGGGAGTAAGGAAGTCGGTCGATTCTGGTCTACCAGGCAGTATAAATAAGCAGAGCATCCCAAGTAAGACGGTGGGGAGTCCCTAAACCACTGTCAGCGTTTCATGATAAAATAATTCAGAAGCACCAAGCTGACTTCTAGGAGAAACAAGAGCCTCCAGTGTGCAATAGATACTTCGGTGTTTTGTATCCCGTACGCAAGCAAACCACCAAAGGCTCCAGCGACTGCAGCAAACCCAAACCAATATGCAACCCGCGTCCCATACTCACTCTTGGTATAGTAAAAAGCTTTCGCGGGGTAAGACTGATAGTAGCAAAGATGAAACGAAAGTATACGAACAAAAGTATAACACCACGGATGGACCGAAGGCGGCTTCAAAAACCCCAAGGGCCAATCTAGCTACCAGTAGCTGGGGAAAGCTGTTCGCAGTAGACTAGCAATTTCGGTCAGGAAGTGTTTCATTCAACTGTTCCTGAAACGGCTACCATTAGAGTGGAACAGAGACCCCATAGTATTGCGGAACTGCCAATCCACAGTCGAGGGCTATGGTACTTTGAAAGAACGGTCCATGGTATCTGAAAGAGAGTCTGTTTGATAGTCAGCTACCCTCCCCGATCGAAGGACACACTTCAACTTGCGTACATAGGTTATGTAAAAGGCTGCGTTCACTCGACCGAAGAGGACACCTGTAGGGTCTCCTCCGAGAGCTTCCTCGGGCAACCCTTGCAATCGTGCATTTCCTAGGTTGGATCTGTCAAGATCTTTGAACAGCGGTATGTCACCACGGTGGTCAGAATGGGATACGAGGTACTCACAAGCGAAGAGATAAAGTACACAGGTCAATGGTAAGAATCCTCGCATCCAACTTTCGAAGCAATCTTCTCTCTTCGGTGCCCGGGTCGAGTAAAACTAGACTATCGTCCGAATTGGCTTGATTAGCTACACATTCCTGTGGTAATGCCATGGTTAGAGGTAAGGTGAAGAGGACGACCTTGCCCGCACGACCGCAGAGAATCACTGATGCGGTATCGGGGACATTAAAATTAGATCAATGAGCCGAACACGATTATTATAGTCATTATCCAGCCGTCGGAACTGTTGAGAGCCGAGAAAGCAAGTCGGGATGGAGAGTCCACACTGGTCATTGCAGTAAAGTCTTGACTTCAGTCACTTCAGTCAAGCTCTTCAGGTGATTGCCGCAATGATGGTGTTTTACATCGAGAACACACATAGCCCACGTGTACCTTATCCGCACATCGTATCATTATCGGTACCTAAGTAACGTGTGTTACACAATCAGCTTCTGGAAGTGCAAGGAACCAGGACCTAATGTTGGTGCCGGTGTGTGTTCTCTTCTTGATGTAATTGCAGTGAATACCGTCGTAAAGGCGACAAGAACTTTGCGCGTGGGCTGCGGCCATCAAAAGACAGCACCCCCTGCGTCGTGGTCCAGTCGTGGAGTTCCCGTCAACTGAACTGAGCCAACATTCCACGACTTTCCTTTTCGAGAAAACCGAATATGAGCCGATTTTGGGTAATTATTAGGGTCCACTCGCTTGAGGACATTTAAAAGGCGTCCCTCCAGACGAGCAGAGCCCGAGCGATCCTCTTCCTTCGCGCTCGCTTCCCCCTCTACGTCTCTGTAAGGATCTCTTAACCTTCCTCTATTTTTTTCTTCTTTTTGGTTGACTTGTCTATCTGCAGAAACATGACTGCAGTATACCCCGATGGCCGCCAAGAAACGCGTGTAGAGGGCTACACCAAGTTCTGGCAAAAGGACCTCAAGCACGAGGCCGAAGCCGACAACCAAAATCGTCTTGACAGTTATACTGATGTTGTGAATGGTTTGTTCCGTTTCCTTTCCCGCGTTCGTGTCGAGTTGACACCGTCTTTCGTCCAGGGTACTATGATGGTGCGACGGAGTTGTATGAGTACGGCTGGGCACAGTCGTTCCACTTCTCGCGTTTCTACAAGGGCGAGGGTTTCGCTGCATCCTTGGCTCGCCATGAACACTATCTCGCCTCTCACATGGGTCTTCGGGCCGGTATGAGAGTGCTGGATGTTGGCTGTGGTGTTGGTGGACCGGCACGCGAAATTGCCCGTTTTTCCGACGCGCATATAGTCGGCCTTAACAACAACCAATTCCAAGTCAACCGTGCTCGGCGATACGCTGAAAAAGCTGGTCTTTCCAACCAGATTACTTTCGTCAAGGGCGATTTCATGAAACTCGCAGAACAATTCGGCGAAAATTCTTTCGATGCTGGTACGTCAATATTAACGCGTTTAGACAGGTGATTTACACCCACTCAGTATATGCCATTGAGGCTACTTGCCACGCACCCACGTGGGAGGGCGTCTATGGTGAAATTTTCAAGGTTCTCAAACCGGGCGGAGTTGTAAGTCGTGTCCCTGTATCATCTTGTTCGCTTATTTATACAATTACCCAGTTTGGTGTGTATGAATGGTGCATGACCGAAACCTGGGATCCGTCAATTCCTTCTCACAAGGAACTTGCCCACCAAATTGAATTCGGCAACGGCATTCCAGAAATGCGGCCATTGAGGCTCGCTCGTCAGGCCCTGAAAAATGTGGGTTTCGAAGTTAAACATGAAGAGGACCTCGCCGAGCGCCCAGACGAAGTACCATGGTACTATCCCCTCGAAGGTGACATCTCGAAAGCACAAACTGCCTGGGATTACTTCACAGTTTGGCGAATGAGCTGGAGTGGCAAGCTTGTCACGCACACGGGTATCCGACTCATGGAGACATTTGGTCTTTTGCCTAAAGGTACTTGGGAGGTGGGTGAATCGCTCAAGGTTGCAGGGGATGCACTGGTCAAGGGAGGGCAGGCCAAGGTCAGTGCCGTCATTGTCGAGTCCAGGTACCGAATGGCTAATCTGTTTATGTGCAGCTGTTCACGCCCATGTACTTGGCGATCTGCCGCAAGCCCGCGCTAGCCAATTGATATTCATAGACCATACTATTAGCTGTTACGTTTGTGCTGTTCTTTAATACTGCTTGATTCGTGAGCACGGTAAAATTGGGAACCTGAGATTGTAAGCCTGGCTGTGAGACGCATGAGATCTGCAAAGGATTCTTCGGAGAATGCCGCGGTGGGAAAGTGAGAGGTGCAATCCGAGGCTGGGTTCGGTTGACGACGATGGAGAACGATCTCAGGGTGAGCAAACCCAGGTTGCCCAAGGCTTACACCGATGAACAACTGGTGTTTCTGCGGAGCCATATCAGCGGCTTTGAAACACGAACAAGGGGGCATGTCAGGGGAGACGCCAAGAAGTTCGCTTTAGAGCGTGCAAACGATTTTCTAGCGCGATTTGGCCTGCCAGAAGAACTGCAGGGAATCGAGGATGCTGAACCGCGATTCCGTGAGGTAAGTAAACAGGATCCAGCTCCCCCCAAAATCATTGTCCGAATGATTCCAGCAAATCTACAACTGGTACAAAAACACCGTCGGAAGGGCCAGAAGAAAACTGGAGGGTCGTACCAGACCCAAAAAGATTTCCTGTGAGTGTGCGGCCACGCCCCTAACCATACAAAACATTCATCCAGCCTATCAGCGACCCCGTCCAATGCCGCCGGTGAAAACGGTCTGACGTGGGGCCCTACGGTCGCCACTCCACCGACCGTGCAGTACACTACCCCAAACGAGACCACTCAAAATGCGGACTCTTCTTCCCAAATACCTCCTGCTCAAGCAGCAGGCCAGATGCAATTTAGTTTCCAATCTAGTGTTCCTGTTCCGTCATCCTCCACTATTGCGCTCAATGTCACTCCAGCAGCTCTGCGGGATGCTTTCCTGACCCATGGTATCGATGCAGCCACGTTGTCTTCGCTTATCCAAAGCTACGTCTTATCGCATCCCTCGCCCACGCCGCTGGACACTATCATTAGCTCATTGTTTGAAGCAATCTCATCTCTGCTGTCCGCACCATCATCCTCAAGAAACGTGTCTTTCACTGACCTCATATCCAACATCCTTCGGCGCTTTCTTGACGCTTGCTCTTACTTTCCTTCTTCTCTGCTCCACGCTGGCGTATCCGGCCCACTCGCCGGCCCGCGAGCACTGCAAATGGCGCTACGGAAGTCGTCTGTCTGGAGTCCTCTCAGCTCATCGTCAGGACATGCATCCCTGGCTGACGAGATGGAACGTATTGCTGCGGACCGACAGCGTCGGAAGGACCATGTCCAATGGGCGCAGATCCACGCCGCTGCACTTGAACTGGGCATGCTCAGCTTCCCGCCTAACAACCCAGAGATAGGGTACGCCGTCCCGACTAGTCAGACATTTTCGGAGATGATGGCCAGGGATGCTGTGTGGGAAGCGGACGAAGTAGAGTGGGTCGCGGGGATCATTGTTTTTAGAGCACTCATCCGGACGGGGTCCGCTAACCGAAAAGCTGAGTATGAGCAATTGTTGGCCACGTACGAGAGAAGATGGAAGGAGATTAAGGACGAAACGCGGCAGGCACTCGTAACGGTGGGTTTTTTTTTGTTTCTTGTTTGCCGAGTGACTGATCGGTGTGCAGGAGGTCTTACTAGGTGCCCGAGACGACCTGGGCCGCCTGGGGGAAACTCACGTCTCGTGACATCACTATTTAGTCTCACTTGTAGCCCTTGATGAGTCCCAATCCTTAATTAGTTACCGATGCAGTAACTGTACTCGCTATCGTATTACTGGCATACCGATTGTAATTCCTGTGATGCATAATTGTATGTAGACGGTCGATATCTTACATTGATTTTCGGGAAAGCAGATGGAAATGCCATGACGGTAGGGTGATGGAATCATAACGGTGACAATTCCGGTACCCGCTAACGCTTCACTCTCTTGAAATCCCCGTTTGTGTCTGGATCTGGGCTGACCATGGGCTGTCGCTCGGCTATAGCCCTTGAGTATTGTTTCCACTGTCGAGAGAGGCCCATCCCTTGCAGCGGCGCCCGAAATGTTGTCGAGGACGAACCCCTAAACTCACTTGAGTAGCGAGGAAATTTAGGTCACGGGATGCTTACTGCATGGAATCCACATTCCGTTTCACCCCTATCGCTGGAGGTCCCTCTTGGGGGTTTGTTTGCTGCTGGCCCTGTGGCAGTATCAGAGGTTTCTGTCGTGATGACGTCGTAGAGCCCGTGGACGGGGACGCAGCATCGACCTTGGGACTTGACGCGGAAGCCGAGCTTGAGCCGCTTGCACTCGATCGACCCGCAACGCCCCCGCCCGGCACGATCGTAGCGCGCCGATTTTTCGGGATAGTGTCAGAACTTCCGCTCGGACCGGCCACGTTGCAGGCGTGGGCTTGAGCATGCCGAATCACGGGAGATCTTGCTACAGCGGGACGAAATGCTTGCTCCTGGTCAAGCATACAGTCATCCGTCGTGCTCACGCCGCCCATACCTTCTTCGAAATCGATGGGTCTACCAAGGTCGCAGTCACCGAGGTCAACTGAGGCAAAGAAAGCTTCGTCGTCGGAATTGAGACCATAGTTGTTTTGCGTGCTCGGTAATGTAACAGGAAGCTCGTCATTGTCATCTAGCGTGTCAGCGAAAGATAGCCTACGGTCGGATGGTTGTCGGTCACATCGACCGCGAAGTTGTTGTACAGAAGTCTGCTCCGATGGAGTCTGGACGGGTGTTTGGAGGCCGGTGGTTTGCTGAGCATTCGGCTGGGTATTAACTACTTCTTTGACCGGCTGGTTGGAAGTCCCCTGCGCTGTTTCCTTGGAATTTGTGTTTTGCTGGGCAACAGGTGCCATTTCTTGCCGCATATGTCGAGGCACGTACGCCATCGGTTTCTCGAGCTGCTCTGACATGGCTTCCGTTTTAACCATAGGTCTTGCTTGTTGCAAAGCGACAGTACTAGTATTCGTTGTTTGTACGGGCCGACCCGGCGCTCCTGGTGGGTTTGACTGAGGCGCACTTGGCTTCGTGCCCTCAAATTCCGGTCGACGGTACAAATCACTCTTGTCGAACTTGGCCTACATTCCACCGTTCAGCAATGCACAATCCGAATAGGGGCTTCAACGCACGGGCGGCACTTTCATCTTCACCACTTCCTGAGCATATGCCTTGTCATATAGACAATTTCCAAGTAAATTGCCGAAATTTCGTAGCGTTCGTTTGAGAGCATCCGTTATGGCCTCTTTCTTACACTGACCATGGCGACAATCAACTGCGGCCGAAGATATGGCAAGGCTAAGAATCACCTTATCCAATGCTGCGGCTTTACTCTTTGAGTTCTCCAACATCCCATATCCAACGTCTTCATGATACACCCCATCCTTGAGCGTCACGCGCAGAATTGCAGTCACACCTACGTTGAATCTGCGGGTCTCCTCATTGTAGTCGATGAAATCCGTGGTGATGTTCACGACACTGGAGCTCCATCCATTGAACCCAAACACTTCGTTCGCAAGGTTGATGATCTTCCACCCCTCCGCGTAGGTGAGCTTGGGACCACCACCTGGGCCAGGACGTTGTGATACAAATTCCGGACCAAGTTTTTTGTTCAACTTTGCCTGGAGCGTTGCAATCTTGGTGGCAGTTTCTTCCGGTGGGTCTGTGAAGGGCGTGTTTCCGAAGAGCGAAGTGAGGGGAAATGGAAAGAAACCGTGTGCTTGTGGAGAGAAGGACATGGCACCGCTGGTAACGACATTCGGTGCCGAGTGCATAGGTTGCTTGGCGTTGAAGGAATTCAAGAGATGTCCACTAAACGCCCCAGCCATCAATGCGCTAACGTTAACACGCGATCCTCGCGCACGCACGGGGGTGATCTTCGAGTCACATGATGCGTCACGTGGTCGCGTTCGATTCGTATTGCCCGTCCAAGAACCTGATACCCCCCGGTCCGAGATGGTCCATCGTTCAGCATACTACACGTGTTCCAGCAACAGTACCGGCTTGGCACATACGACGGTTCTTTCTAATTGCCGAGCTATTGTAAGTCTTGGAGAATTCCGAGATCCTAACAAAGCCTTCCCTTCACCCTGGTTGCTGGCATGTAATACAAGGAAGTGACAACGCGGCCCTGGTACTTAGTTCCCGTGGAGTTCGGTTGGTGAGCTAGTGACTGGCATCACATCAAATTCTTCTTGATGCCATCTGCAAGATAAATCAACCGATGGCAGCGAATCACCAGCTGACTGGGTGGAACCACGCGTGAAGAAACAAAATTCCCAAAAATTCGTCAGCTATAGGATGTTAATGGACATATTAGAAATTCTATCTGTCCGTCTAACCCCACCTGAGAGTGGCTTCCATCTGATTTTGCCAACTCCTATCCTCTTTCGTGTGAATTTTGAAGTCTTGGTTATGATGCCTTGACATTAATGAAATACCGCGTTATGCCCCCCCGCCATGCATTACTCCCATCTTTAGTGAGTCAGACTGCAACTTGTGATCATAGTCGACCAGGAATTCGGAACTGTTTCGATCGCGCTCCAGTCAACTGAAGAGTTCGGCTTAACTAGTCATCTACTAACGCTACAAGTAACTTAGGTAAGCGATTGCATCGACGAACTTCGCAGTGGGTGCACTCGTCTCTTAGCTCGTCAATTGAATACATGGAGCAGTGTGGTTCATATGAACGCAGACCCCCCCAGGACCTAGTTAAGCACTCGATGCTGATCTCTGCGGTAAGGAAACGACGATAGCTGATGCATACTCGCCGTGGGTCGTAATTACCGTATACGGTTAGGGTAGAACTTAATAAAACTAACTCGTCCTAAATCAGTTTCTTACGTTGAAGTTTCTAATCCCTCTCCGCTGATTTTTTTTGTTTCGGCAGGCCAAGGAGGCTAAGACCAGCGATATCGCCGACACAACATTGGAATGACCTGCTGCGCTGAGAGTATGTACACATATCTCACTAATCTGTTGAATTTTCTTCCGCAGACCCGTCGCGGATGCAAGGGACCTACCGCTTACCGCATGGATGAACAGTGGAAGGGTTGGTGGTGGACAGATTCCGTCCGGGTAATTGACCATTTCCGAATTCGCGCCGTGCCGCCGGCGTTTGGTTATCTTCATAAAAGCATCAACTGGTATGACAACTCTTTCCTTGTCCTCTGTTGGTTCTTGATGACCCCTTGCAGAACTCCGCAGCCAAAGCCACCTGTCCAGCGGGCGGATAGCCCTCGTCCTCGAAACAGTGGTCCCCTCATATACGAGGTCTTCAAACCAAAGCTGCCTCCGGACCCGTTCGCAAGGCTTCACACAATTCGGGAGCCATGGATGCTGCGTATGGACAGTGTCGCCGCGGCCGTCGGTGACCCACGGCGCGACGTGGTCTTGGTCCTCGGAGGTGATTACAATCTGAACTCATTAGGATTATTTGGTTCAATTAATATACATGCTTCGCCCAGCTCCTACGCTCAAGGACATCAGTCCAGTCCTGCAGTCTCCACAGTTCTCGCAGTCCTTGATCATCCTTGCTAGTCACCAGCTATTTCCGGTCCCTACAGGCGTCCGCCCAGCGATCTGCACGATCCGCTTGAACTCTTCCGTCACAAATGAGATGAACGGTACTCTTCGCCTTGCTGCCGTTCTCCAGTGCGCCGAACGTGTGTCCCGTTTGTGGAGAAAGACCGGAGGATCGGGCGTTCGTGAAATCAGCGAGTCGGAAACTCGCCTCGACGCTTCAGAAATCCCAGACAACCTCTTCCTCGTACCAGATTCTGGCAGTGCACAGTCTTCGCCGTCGTCGTCGTCGGAGGGTCTAAAGAGCACGACGTCCTCTGTGCGCTCATTCATCATTCCCGCCATGTCCTTCCTTTTGTCTTCATCCTCGTCCTCACCCACAGACCCTTCGCAGCGTGCGTTTGATGCCATATTGAACTTCATCCCAAACGGGATCAGCAATGTAGCCATCATGAAACAGACGATTCTCATCACGTCCCTCACATGTCCTTTCCTTGCACCTGCCAGCTTCAACTCCACGACGTCCGCTTCGAAAACTCGAAAGCGAAATATTCTCCGTCGGAGAACTCTGCCCTTTTCTCGCGTCTCCAATACTGATAGCTACTCCTCCCTCCAAATCAGCACCTCTACCTCTGCAACCAGCGACCCTGGCATCTCAGGCCCCCTTGCAAAATCCCGCCTCTTGCACATTCTACCGCTTTCTGGGCGCGCGTACCTTTCTCAAGACAAACTTGTGCGCAACATGGAGTCTTACCAGCTGTCGTTTGCATATCCGCCCTCGCTGAGCATGAAACGGCCGAACACGCTAGAGCGTGCGGTTGCTTTTATCGTCCCTGCCACTGCGCTGCGCGAGGTTGTGCGGCACGCGTCTGTTTTAAAATCCTCGGTTCCCCATTCTCCCTACTCGTCCACAACTTCGTCGTCTTCCTCGGTCTCGTCTCGTCTCGTGCGTCAGGCAGTTGACATGGAATGGACTGTAGCGGATATTCTTCTGAGCGGCATACTTGATTCCCAGGCAAATCCCGGCGGTGTGCCATACGCAGGTCCTCGCGCATGGATTTGTAGTGGTGCTGACTTTGCGTTCGTGGCTGAAAGTGAGATTGAAAGCCAAACGCAATCGGCACCGTCTTGCTCCAGTGGGACGACACCGACGACACCAGATGAAATGCCACATGCCACGAACGCCTGGCCAGATGTATGCTGTGGCCCTTCCCGTTCTTCTGGCAGCTCGGAGCCGGTAATCGTGGTCAATCCATCGGCAGAAAAGTTTGGCGGTGGTACTGCGGCCGTCGTGAACAAACGGACTAGGTGGAGGTTCTGGAGCTCTAGGGGTCGAGTTGTTACTCGGTAAGTCAATAAACTCGATATACGTGCTTGGACTGGTAGTTTCCTAGTGGTCTTTGTTTTTATTATTTACCCTATATTTGCGTAACTTACATTTACTTGACTTGACCCCGTCGGACTATTTAGCTCATCTTACCTCCTCATCTCCGTAACTGCACAGAATTTGCTTGCTATTGGATTACAAAATGTATATTAGTCGCGGTGACAACACCCAGGGGCATTTCTTTTTTAGGAATCCTAACCCTACAATTTTGGCTTGGGGTATTTTTTCGTGTCGCAGGACTGCTTCTGTCGACGATGGCTGCACGCGCCGTGAAACGGTTCAGGATTCGGGAGGTCACCACTGCAAAGGCCCCCTCCGTTTTACCCTCCGCTGCGCCAAGTCTCCCGGTACCACAGCTTCAGTCAGTAACGAAGCCGTCGCCATTTCAAGCACCGCTGCAACCCTTTCAATTCCAATATCCTTTCCAGTTCCAGTCCCCTGATACTGCTAGTGACAGCGGTGCTGCAACGGAGTCGCAGGACCACACTCAAGTCGATGTCCCTATCGCCCCAAAGCACGTTCCTCGACGAACAAATCCGTTCGTTCCACAACTGAACCCAAAGACGGGGAAATGGGCTCCTCCGAAGTACTCCTTACGCCAGCAGGCGGATTTGATCAAAAAGGCGCGTAAGACGGGGATGCTGGACTTGCTGCCACCGGGCACGAAGACGAACAAGGCACGGGAACGGTTGGTCGTTGCTCAGGCTGCACAGCCAGTCGTGAAAGCACAGGCCGTTACTGGCGAAACGTCAGCGCCGACGAATCCGAGGGATGAAGGATGGCAACGACCAGTTGAGTGGGTCGGCAAGGTTACAGAGCGCAAGGTCGCTGGTGCGGAGATTGGGAACAGGTTATACGCGGGCCGGAAGAGGATGTTCAAGGGACACAAGTGGGAGCGAGTCGCGGAGAAGAGGGCGATTCGGAGGAAGATGTTGTTGCGCGATATGCCCAAACGTATTGCGCGGTACAAGCAAGTGAGTAATCTTCGCTACTCGCGTGCGTCAAACGCCCTTGAAACCCCTTGATTTACCCATTCACGGACAGTACTACAGGAGAAGACGTCCAAACCCTCTCAAGCTTACTGGTACACCCAAGAATGCCAAGCTCCCCTTCTAGATACATTAATACTGATGCAAATACTCTACGAATACGTGTGACACTTCGAGGAGATACTATGGGTTACCAATATTTTACCCTGATCATAGGTGAGTCAGTCAAGCTGACGTGTTTTACTCAGATACGATGTGTGTGGAGAGCGAGGCGAACGAGTTCACTCAGTGTTAAGTATGTTCATAGTGCAAGACGGTTCTCATGTTCGAAAGTTTCGTGTGCATGCTGTAGCAAGCTCGCGAAGGACGGTCACGAAATTAGAAAAAGCAAGAAATGGAGATTGACACTGCAATGCTCCAGGACTATTCCTGGGCATGGGAAACCTGTCTCGATATTGGGTGGTCGAAAAAACACGTGTGTGGCCAGCAGATTCCAATTGCCATCATAACGCCTGAGTTACCTGTGCAGGAGGTGACTGTCTTCGACCGACAGCATGACGCCATGACCTTCGATAACCAGCTATGATACACGGCTCAACGAACGACTTGGGCAGACTACGGCTCAATAGTATTGGCGAACTGCATTAGACCTATTAGTGTTCACGAGGCATTACCACGGATGACGTAACTGACAGGCCTTGTGGAGTGTAATACTAATAAAAGTACCGGCGCAGTCTGGGCAGCACGCTTGGTCACCGGGACGTCTCTCATTTATCATAGCTGTCGTCCTCGTCCACGTCGCACGCGGGGTATTTCGAACAACCCACCGATGGCCTCGTCACGCCTTTAATTATTAGCTCCTGCACGTTCTACGTCCCTCGATTCCCTCTTTGTTTCCTGTCGCCAACGTCTGAGACGTGAGTACCGCATCGCCGCTCACCACCGCCTCCAATCAGCTCCTCCGGCTATGGAATTTGACTAAACTTTATACAGATCGTACTAAAACGTGGTCTTTGCTGGCATTTTCAGCCGTTCTTTTTTGCCTTTCTGTCTTCACCTTTCGCCTATCTCGAGAGTCCAATCTTCCAATGGACCACTACCAGGCCCCACAGTCCGCCTTCCACATTCCGTTTCAGGTATGTACTTGTTCCCCTCCTCCCTGGACCTTGGTTTACCTGTTTCCTACACAGAGGAGAGCCGCCCAGTTCTTCAGAATGTTCCGTACTTCGCACCCGTGTACGAACTGGGAAAGAAGAAACCGGACAAGTCTTCCTCGAATTCTGTTATGACCGCTGTCGATGATTATCGTCCACGGCCTCACTCTGTAGATATCATTCGCAAGGCTACGTCGCCAATTATCGGTTATCGGTTAGAGGATACCTCCAATCCGACCGATACCGATGACTCTTCACAGGATGTCCCGTCATGTGACCCTGCTATTACCCGTCCTCGCGAGTTCAGACGTCATTCTACTTATGACCATCTCTCTCGTTCTGCACCCGCACACCCTTCCTCCATTGCCACCAACGCAGAACTCTTCGTGGGAGACCAGACTATTTCGGAGAGTGCACCGTGCGAACACAGCAGCGGTCCAAAACATCCAAATTCGTCAACGGCCGCAATTCAAGCACGGAGCGCCGATGATGCTGGCACGGGTCTTCAGAGCCTAGGTAGTGGCCCCTCGCAACGCGCTGCCGGGTTTGGACATGTTCCAGTGTCATGATACCGCCCAAATGCCACCAGCGTTGCAGGATACCGCGTCTTCCGACTGCACGATCACGACCACCGCCACAGAGTCACTGCCATCCACCGGGGCTTTGCTGAAAGCGGTTTCTGCGGATACTTCAGGTTCACAACCCGAGCCTACAGCGGAAAAAGCGGAGTCTTTACAACAGCGCCGCGAGGTTGACCCTCCACTCATGATGTCCCTATCTGCACCTTTTCGTGTTGTCACGGAACGCGGCGCAAAGTTGTCCCCATCCGTCATTACGAGACAGCCCTTGCCTATTTTGAACCTCCCGCCCCTGCCTGAACCCACGCCAACTATCTTAACCTCCTCAAGACCTCGGGTGCGCCTGAGGAGCGTACCGTCTCTTACTGTTGATGGTCGTGGCCAGACGGATCATGAAACCAGCCATGACTCGGCGTCACTCGGCAGTTCAGAAGGGGACGAGTCTGACGAAGACGACTTTGAGATGATAAGCCCAGTAGATGTTCATCAGAGTGACGATGAAGAAGAGGAAGAATCATCTCGTGCTGGCCCATCAACACATGACGAAAATTTTGCTGTGGGAGGTTCGGTTGCAGGACAGCCATGTTCCCCTGTCATTCCCGATTACTTCGGTTCAAAATTGTATTCAAGTCCTACATCGCCTTCTCCATCAACTCCTCCACCTTTCACCTCAAAAACACCTTTTGCAGAAGGCATGAGCCTGTCTAGTGCACAAAATTATGGATCAGCAGGTCCCTCTGGAATAACGAGCTCTTCATCAGAACCGCGACTGGGCCTTCACCGCGTTGCCTCGCGGAGCATGGTGGATCTAGGTGGGGTCAATCGGCATGACCGTCGTCGCGTGCGCATTTCCGCAGCGCCATCCATTTCTAGCGACGCCGAAGAGGCATCCGAGAGCGATCAAACAGAAGCACTCATTGGGCGGTTGTTGCGCCGAAATTCGATGCCCAATTACTATCACCCTGCGTCGGACCCACCACCATATCCTTCGTTTGATTTCCGCCCAAGAGGATCGCCCGAGAGTACGGATGTAATTTCTGTATTGATACAACCGCGGGAAGATGTAGGGAGGGAGAGACTGCCACCCTACAGCAACTCGCTCTACCTCACCGCGGTGATGCCTCGCAAAATGGAGTTTAGCGCACCGGGCGTACAATCCAAGGACAGGAAATGGCGGCGCGTTCTTTGCGAACTAGAAGGGACTGTATTCAGGGTATACAAATGTCCCCCTGGAGTGAATGGTATTGGGATTCTGGGCGACTGGTGGGAGAAGCGGGTTGGAGCGGGAGATGTGGCAGTGAGCGGGGCAGCCAATCATCATCAACGTCCTGCGGTACAGACGTCAGAGGAACGCAGGAAATCTATGAAGTTGGGAATCGTTCGACCGGAGACGCCGACCTCTGCAGTGGGAGAACCGTCAGGGCTCAGGCAAAGGACCGAGTCACAGTCGTCGAGAGGTACGGAAGTGAATGCTATGTCTTCTCGTGCCGCGCGACGAGCGTCTGGCGCGAGTTTTCTGTCATCGCTGCGGTCTGTTGCCACTGGCGCCTCGGGTAGTCGCTCTCTGTCGCAAGAGTCAAGTGCATCCCGACTGACACCCCCTGACTCGGCTCGTCAGGTAGAGCTTCTCCCTGTTGACTCTCACGATGGTCATTCGGCGGAGTTGTCTGTGTCACACGGAGTGCACGATGATCGATCAAGTACGCCTGTACCAGCGACGCATCAGCCGCGCTCTACTTCGCGACTGAGTTTCCTGCCGTCCGGGCGGTCGCACCGTGTTGCTAGCAGCAGCACGGTCGAAGTTCCCAATCCTTCCAAGTGTGACCTGATCCGAGCCTACACGTTGCAGCATGCAGAGAGTGGGTTGGGCAACGATTACGCCAAGCGGAAAAATGTCATACGGGTAAGACTGGAGGGCGAGCAGTTTCTGCTGCAAGCCCCCGACGTGCCGTCGGTCGTGGAATGGATCGAGGTCAGTGGGTAGGCTCGCTTTCGTTCATTGGATGCGTAATGACATTGCATGGCTTTTGGCTGGCTGACCTGCAGGGGCTGCACGCTGGGACTAATATTGCCCTTGACCTCGATCATCGGACGATGCCGCGAGGTCCGATGTTCCCGAGGTGTGTGCACACAAGTAACTATAGTGCTGTGTTTTTGCCAATGCTGTGCCTTTACAGAAGACGTAGAAGAAGGAATCGACGGATGCGGACGGAAGAATCCCAGCAGTCCTCTGCGTCGGCGGAAGCGGTTGCGGCCATGAGGATGGCGTGATGATACGTGTACAAGTTGTGATTTGAACGATGGCATTTCCCAGACTACCCTACCTCCACTTACCCGTTTCCGTTTCTATTTTCTATCATTGCATGGATCTAGGCATTAAGTATGTGTATTCTGTAACAGTAGTCGGTAGCACATTTGAACGCTGAGAGAGGGAACACACGAATAGATATGTTCCCACGGTGCTCCGTTGTTTGTTCACATCGGCTGCATCAAACGACTCAGCTGCTGTTGTTATCTGCTCTGCCCCCTCCCCTCATCGATTTTTCTTTTCCTTCTTTCTTTCCTCGCATTTCTCGTTCTGCATCTTGCTCTGTCGACAGTTCGCTTGGACGTTCCTGTCCTCTTCAAAAGCTGTAAAACATCCAACCACTCAAAGCGTCAAAATCGGCCCCATTGTCGTACCTTTTTTTTTTCTCCACCCCACCACATCATACACTCAGCTCGCTCGCGCTCCCTACCACCTTGACACTTTCACAATAACAGCATCCTTCAGCGTCGCTCAATTCGATGGCTGATTCTGCAACAGAGATTGATTTGGACTCGGTAATCGACCGGTTGTTGGAAGGCAAGTGGTCCTTGCTTTGTGACTCGGTGCATCCCCTCTCCCTCGGAGTTTGATGTCGATGCAAAACCATGTTGTCAGACTTGTTCGGGGGGCAGGTTCTTTGGGAAGGAGCACTCTTCCGGACGTGGGCTAGATGTCGTGCGGTTACCATGTTTCGTCGCCCGCAGCTCCGCGTGTGCATCGAGCTTTGGACAATACTTTTTTCTTTCTCCGAATACAGCACTCCAGCAGCCCGTCGTTTATCTCTGATTGCACTTTTTTCCCCTTCCAAGCGCACGGCTTACGGGCGCTTCTCCTTGCAGTATGACAACGTCTTGACTGATCGATGTCTGCTCACAGTTCGTGGTAACCGACCCGGAAAGCCAGTTCAATTACAAGAGTACGAAATCAAATACCTTTGCACGAAAGCACGCGAGATCTTCATAAATCAGCCGATATTGCTGGAACTAGAGGCACCTATAAAGATTTGCGGTCCGTATCAACTTTCCGAGCCATCTTCTTGTCGGCGTCCATGTTGGGATTGCAATGACTTATTCTCGACGTCCCTTTTTTGAAAGGTGATATTCATGGTCAATACTACGACCTACTTCGACTCTTTGAATACGGGGGATTTCCACCAGAAGCGAACTACCTCTTCCTGGGTGATTACGTCGACCGGGGCAAACAGTCACTCGAGACAATCTGCCTGTTACTAGCATACAAGATAAAGTACCCTGAAAACTTCTTCATCCTTCGGGGCAACCACGAATGCGCAAGTATCAACCGTATTTACGGCTTTTATGACGAATGTATGTCTAGCCTCTTATATGGCTCACGAGACGAATGTCTTGATTTGATATCTGATGTTTAGGCAAGCGGCGCTACAATATCAAGCTGTGGAAAACATTTACCGACTGTTTTAACTGTCTACCCATTGCTGCCATCATCGATGAGAAAATTTTCACCATGCATGGCGGACTAAGTCCTGACCTCCAATCCATGGAGCAAATACGGAGGGTTATGAGACCGACAGACGTTCCTGATACTGGTGTGTCCCTGTTCACCATCCCAGGGTTCGGATCATCCTTAACGCTGGTTGCCATGTAGGGTTGCTTTGTGACCTACTATGGTCGGATCCAGACAAGGATATCACCGGGTGGTCGGAGAACGATCGTGGCGTCTCCTTCACTTTCGGACCGGACGTGGTTTCGAGATTTTTGCAGAAACACGATATGGATCTCATTTGTAGGGCACACCAGGTACAGTCTTTATCTGCTCTGTGCCTACCAATGTCTCACATGATGGCTTGTTCTCTAGGTCGTAGAAGACGGTTACGAATTTTTTGCTAAGCGACACTTGGTGACGCTCTTTTCGGCACCGAACTATTGTGGGGAGTTCGATAATGCTGGCGCAATGATGAGTGTCGATGAGACGCTGTTATGCTCCTTCCAGGTGAGACTTCGCGTGACACTTGTGGTATATCTGCTCTAATTGTGCTACTTATTGTAGATCCTAAAGCCGGCTGAAAAGAAGGCGAAATATCCGTATGGCAATATGAACATGGGGCGGCCGGTGACACCACCTCGCAAACAGAAGAAGAAGGATAGCAAGATGGGTTAAGGCGGCGGCGGAATCCCCCATGTTTGCCCTTCTTGGTCCTTTCTATTCTCTTGTGTGTTTATAATACCTCCCTCAACTGCTTTTTTCCTCTCCCACACACACACACACCGCTTTATCGTGGTTGTGCGCTAGCTAATTAATGGCTTTTTGAGGATGGAAACGATCAATCTTTGACGAGGTGGTGTGGAAAGTGTGTATCAACGCATCGTCTCAAACACCTCAAGTCATCCCGACAATTCTAAAAGGATCCCTCTTGTTGGGGGCCTTTTTTTCTGATCGTGAATTGAACTATCAACCTGATAGACTTTTTTTTTCCTTTTCAGCTGCCTGTTCCATTACGATGCCCAAGTTACTCTCGTAGGCCTGTGCATGGTACACTAGTGGTTATTTTATGTGTAACAATGTTTCTGATATCATTCGGTAATGGGACTGTCGGGCTCGTTGGTTCCGCCATAACCCCACGATGTTTGGTAGCGGATACGGTCACCCTTCCGATAGCACACACACTGGCCTGACGAACCAACCGGAAATGGTTCCCAATAAGGTAGAGTATTCGCAAGGGAACGGCACATGTATATACGTTGCATCATCTGCTAGAAACCCTCCCCATCGTGGTGAATGCTAGGGACAGCCTCAGGCCGGAATGTACTGAGATCGACACCAGCAGAAGGAAGACAACGGATGTGCATGCACCGTCAGCCCCATTCCAGCCTAGGTACTCCATGAGTCTACGGCGGAGCATGAAGCTTCCGAGTTGAAAAGGGCAACGGGACATCGGTCGTATCTCGCGCAGTTGACTGTTGTGAGGGATCAAGTAGTGGTTTTACTCATTTCAAAGCCTCAGCCACGGCGACCCGTGTACTATCTGGACAATAACTGCAAGTACTTTTATGCAATAAATTTTCGAAAAAAAAAGACATACTTCTACAGAGGGAGGAAGGAACCTTCTAATTGTTTGTGCTTATTCTGTACAAAAGGTGCATGGGTGGTGGGTTACCGTGCGCATCATGTTGGGGTCGCGGAAAGAATGTGTGAACAGCATGCAAGTTTATGTGATATTAACCCGAATGTACGTAGTTCATCGGAGAGTGGTGGTCGAGCTGTCAAGATCGTTAAACGCATGCGCAGGGGATGTGTACGGAAACACTCACAGGAAGTGCAGAGGAGAAGAAAAATGAAAGCGGACTAAGTACTTGTTGTCTTGTCCACTGACCCTTCGCCGGATGACGCGCAATCAAATATATGTACCTCATTCAGTGCTCCTCGTCACGTATCCCCATTTCCCATAACTGCTGATCGTACCGTCGAAGCAGCAGCCTGTCGACCCAACCATTTTGTGGAAACGGCCGATCCCAACGATTATGCAAGTGGACTGCAAAGATTTTCTTCAGAACTCGATCCAGACCCCCATTCTCTTCGAGGCCATATCCATCTGTCCATCTCCCATCCGACCGGTCAGGTGTGAAGGGGTCCGGAACGCTATTGTCTAATCTGCACGCGAGGGGGTCGCTGAAGCAGAACGGGAGGATTCTGAAAGGAGGGATAGACTCAGCGAGGAGACGGCGCCAAAGCCGGAGGTACAGGATGGCACCCCAGTCTGTTGAAGGAGAGCGGGGAGGTGAGGAGGTTGACATGAGGTGGAAGGCTTCACAAAGGTAAGGGGAGTGTTGGCGGAAACGCATTAGAGCGCCGTTGAGCGCTTGGTAAATTTTATCTGAAGCGAAATGAGCGAAGTACTCTCCATTGGAAGGAAGTAGGACGTACCATAACAGTCCCACTGGGTTACGAACTCGTGCTCTAGGAAGAGGAGCAAGGTCGCGAGTGAGGAGCATGTCCATGTCGATCCACATTCCGCCGTGGTTCCATAAAACAAGCAACCTGACGAGGTCGCCGTCGACCCACGCTTTCGCGTCGTTCAGCTGAAGAAGTTTGCTATCTTCCATGGCGGTTCCGCGTGCGAGAGTCGGGATGTCCACGGTTCGCAAAGTGAATGAGTCTGGGAAGAGACGGAGGTATTTTTGGATGATGGGATTGGGAGAGATATCTCCGTTGGACCAGAGGACGAGACGCGAGGTGTGTATGTTCTGCGTCGCGAAGAAGGACTTGAGCATGTACTCTTGGCGTTTGCCAAAGGGGGAGAGGTCAGAACGCCAATAGACGTGGTATTGTGCGCGTCGTTCGGGGGCGATATAGTGGTGGTAGCGCGAGGATTGGTCGTCGTCAGGCGAGACGACGGTGCCAGCCAAAGCGTAGCAGTCCATTCCCATTCGCATAGGGAGTCCCGCCTGAACCTCGAAGCGTTTCATTCCATAGACGGCGTCGGACACGTTATACAGGGGACTGACGCGGTCTGGACGGAAGCAGCCGGAGAGGGGAGTGATGGGGTCTATTTCTTTTGATATCCAGTTGCGGTCGTAGAAGACGAGGTCGACGTGGAGGTGGGGCTCGTACAGGAAGTACACAGCCAACGAGAGGACAGACGCGGTGACGAGGACGAGGAGGGCGTACAGACAGACAGTGCGGGGACGGAGTATCATAGTGTACGGTCGACGACGCTTCTGTCTCGTCCACGACGTCCACGACGGCGACGACGACGACGATGGAAGATGGCTGTAAGCTGGTCGATGGCGGCCAGCCATCACAGCAAATTCTTCCCCGGATAGACACCTGCTCCACTCAATACAGTCGATGTGAGAAAAACCGGAATGGACCGATCCGAGTCCCCTCCTCCTGCCCGACGACGATGTCCGTCATACGGGTGTTTGCAAGGACACTCTCATCCAGTGCACGCGGGTGGAACGACCCATGGCCACTCCCTCACACTACCACAGCACATCGCATCCACGACCACCCCTTCCGACGTCGCACCACCACAGCCCATCCCACGTCCAAACGAATCCATAGACACCACCCGAGCCAGACTCGTGTACCAGTCGCGCAAACGGGGCACCCTCGAAAGCGACTTGCTCCTCAGCACGTTTGCGCGTGACCATCTTCATACCATGTCCATGCCAGAGCTGAGCGAATACGACAAAGTAAGTCCCGCCGCTTCCCCAGTGCTTCGTGTCACCTCATGTCCATAGTTGCTGGACGAATCAGATTGGGACATTTACTACTGGGCAACTGGGAACCGCACACCTCCGGACCGGTGGGCGAGTTCACCCCTGCTACAAAAACTCAAGCTGCACGCCAAAAACGAGGGAAAGGTCGTGCGATCCATGCCTCCTCTGTCGTGATCAGGCACGCACCCCTGTCTGTAACTACAGACCTCACGCACGGAAATACACTTGCAGTGGAAAAAGAAAGCTTGGAATTACGTGTGCTATAAGTATAGACATGTGACATTACGCTACTCACCAATGCAACACCAACCTGAAATCTACAATTCGTCGGCATTCCCATCACTAAGCACCCTCTCGTATTTGTTCAGTAATAACCTCTCAACCCACCCGCCCTTTGGAAATTCCTTTTCCCACTGGTTGTGCAGGTGCACCGCAAACACCTTTCCCAGAACACTTCCTAACCCTCCCGCTTCGCCCACCTTCGTGCCCACGGCCCACCACTTGCTCCCACTGCCTGCTGCTGACCCGTCGGGCTCGAATGGATCAGGAATCCTATTATCCAGTCGACATGCGCGCCCATCACTGAAACAAAATGGTAAAATCTTAAATGGCGGAATTCCCCCCGCGACGAGACGACGCCAAAGCTTCAAGTAGAGCAGAGCACCCCAGTCCGTCGAGTCCTTGCGCGGAGGTGGCGACGATGCCATGGTGTGGAACGCTTCACAGAGGTAAGGCGAGCGTCTGTGGAAGTGTAGGAGTGCACCATTGAGTGCTAGATAGGGTTTGTCTAGTGTCGAGAACAGTGTAAGATATGCGTTAGCACCACGGTCGTAGTGTAGACTCCTACCATAACAGTCCCACTGCGTCACGAATTCGTGCTCAAGCAGTGGTTCCAAGCTCCTCGTGAGCAACGAATCCATATCCACCCACACCCCACCATACCTCCACACCACGAGCAAGCGTACGAGATCTCCATCGATCCACGCCTTGCCATCGTTCACGTCCAGAAGTGAACTACCCTCGAGCGCCGTGCCGGCGGCAAGAGTTGTGACGTTGGCAACACGCAACTCAAAAGCATCTGGGAACCGGTCCAGGTAGCGTTGCAGAATCGGATTGGGAGCGAGGTTGCCATTCGACCAAAGGACGAGCAGCGACGTGCGCGTGTTTTGCGTCGCAAAGAAAGATTTGAGCATTTGCTCTTGTCGCCCCCCGAACGGCGCGAGGTCGACGCGCCAGTAGGTGTGGAAATGCGTCCGATCCTCCTTCCGTAGTACGTCGTCGTCTCCGTACTCAGCCAGCCCAGCATCACCATGTCCATACAACTCTGACCAAGGCAGCAGAGGGGGAGGCACCGGCGACTCGATAGTTCCTGCAAACTCATAACAGTCCATCCCGAACCGCATCGGCAGTCCTGCTTGCACTTCAGTCGTCTTTGGTCCATAAATATGTCGTGTCACGTTATACTCTGGGCTGACGCGCCCGGGCTCGAAGCATCCCCCCAGAGGAACGACCGGAGTGATTTCGTTGCTGACCCACTGCCGAGAGTAGAACGCAATTTCGATGTGGGGTTCGAACAGGGCCAGACCCAGCAGGATCGACAACGCAACGAATATGAGGAGGAATTTGCAAGCTGTACGCGGTCGGAGGGTCATCATCACACTTGGCGTTCGTGATCGTGATCGTGGCTTTGTTGACGAAGCAGCAGTCCACCATGGAGATCGGAAGAAAAACGGAAGAGTCGAAGGGGGGTACCGGGTGGACGACGGCCGTGGAGAGTGTTGGATGTCATCGTTGCCGTCGTCCCACTGGGTATCTGAAACGGGAGAGCCGGGCACAGCGTGGAATGGCAGTCGCTCGTTTCTCGCCCACAACATCCTCCACGTCGATGACAGAACTTGGTTGCTTAGTAATCATTCAGTATCCAAGCAGGGTCGACGCCGACGCAGAGCCTGAGCTGGTAAAATTAATCATGCAAGATGTAATGTACATGCTAAAAAATGGAGGGCTCATCAACGGCCGGGGTACTGGTACACGTACATCATTAGTACAGAGGGATAATGCAAGAAGCAAAAAAGCAGGGGTTGAACAAACGATATGCCGTATGTTCCCGTTTGTGCATCCGCAAGCTCGCTTTCAGTCCTTCAAGAAAGGACGAGAACACGTCGCGGCCAAAACGTGACGTGTGCGAACCATGCGCGCCATTTCACCGCATCGTCACTGTCATGCCAGGTGCCAGAGTACTATACTCCACCAAATGCCGCGTCACACCCCAGTTCTGTCTGACGGTTAGCTTCCTTAGCGTGCTCCCAGACCTCTTCACAAAATCCACAAATTCGCCATGTGGCCACTGGTCGCCCCCACGAGAAACAAACCCGATGTCCAGTTCTTCGAGTGCGGGTGCGGTCAGGGCACCGAGGACAGCGTCCAGCCCATGTCGGATTACACGCAACTCAAAACGTTTCAACGTCCTATGATGGATGGGATCCGCGTTCAACGTGTGCAATACGCATGATACGTTGAGTAGGCGCAGCGATGTACAAAGAGATAAGAGCTGGAAAAGCACAGTGCTGTTGACGAGGGAGAAGTGGAGGGTGAGCTCTGTCAGCTGGGACCACGGGAGAGAGATCCGATCGAGGGAACTGATGTGGAGGGTCGGGCATTGGAGGAAAGCAGTGTGCAGGTACGGTGCAGGGCCGGGAACGCAGACAGTGTAGGTCCTTCCGCGATGTGACGTTACACGGAGGCGATTGAGATATGGTGTGGGCGAGACTGTATGAGTGATAGTACTGGAAATGTTGCCGCTATCGAGTAGAGGATTCAGGGCTGGACCGTGCCACCAGAAATCATGACACCGCATCAGCAGCGGCTGGAGCCAGCTGACAATGTGTTCTTGAGCGACTGGATCTGGACTCTCTAGATCATTCAACACACGCATCGCAAGGGGGAGACTCTTTGCTCTTCCGAGCCATGCCTCACACATCGACCGGTATACTTCACCTAGTAGCACGACCTACGTGGAGGGTAATGGAGGTCCACAGTCTTGGCGTCGCCATGGCCACTGCACGCCAATGTCGACAGACCTGAGTCAGGACCATCGGGCTCTCGACGTCGCGCGGCGTGACATATATGGGTGCAGTCGGCAGACAGTGGTAGAATATCTCACCGAGTACTTCGGGCGGAATGCGGCGGATCGGTGAAGTGAGTGCCTTGAGGGAGATGGTTGAGCGACGAACATGGGATGCACTCTCTTCCAGATGCGTCTGGAGCGCTTCCAGCTTCCAGAGGGCAGATTGCACGATGGAGAGTTGGTACGAAATGTCTATGAGTTGGTCATCTCTCTGGTGGAGGACCTCGCCGATGTAGGCGATGTCGCCGGGTGCTGGAACGAAGTTGGCATTGTCATACTGAGAGTACGGCGTCTCGAGATCTCTTAGCTGTACGAGTTAGTCAGACTACTAGGACCAACCAACAAGCCACACGTCAGAACACACCGAAATGATTGGCTGCGCCTGTTTCATTCATGGATGAGCAAGGATTGCGCCATCGATCGGAAGCACTTACGAGGCACTCGTTCAGTAGCGAGTCTAGTTTTGCCAGTGCGATCATAGGATCGTTGATCATTTGTGTGTGATACTACGTATCAGCGTTGGAGTTGAACGAACTGGTGAGTGGCTACACAGTACTTCCCCGGCTGGAACTTGCTTGTCGGCAGTCGGGCGGGTCACGGCTACTATCAACGAACAAGGTTCAAATGCTCGTGTTCGGCTCTGACTGCCAATAAGAAGACAACTTCATTCTGCCCCTCTCGGCGGGGGCATTCAAAATGTCCTGGACAAGGGCATATTGTTGTCGACTGAACGTGTTACGTATGGTAATTTCAAGGCCCATCAGTACAGTACGCCATGTCTCGCAGCGAATTACAGACTAGCAGTGCTTCCGAAAACCATTTCAGAAGACATCACACACGTTCGCTAACCTATCCTACAACGAAGTTTGGAGCAAGCTCAGTTAAGCGCATGGATGAGGTTCCTATCCTTCTAATTGGAAGCCGTTGAGATCATGTGCCCACACAATCAATAATTATTACCTTAGATACTCCCGACAAGCCCAGATCTTTGTATGGGACGGAATTTCATGGATTAGAATATCCTTGACACGGGACTGCCCCTGTACGCCCAGAAATTCAAGACTATTGGCTCGGGTGTAATAATTAAGTTGTTTCCCGAAGCAAAGAGACAGGCGGTCAAAGGGCACGCGATACGTACGGTTGCACCGGTTATTGTAACCGGAAGGTGTGCGTTGGTCAAGTCGAATGTGCAGCAGTCAGCTATATCAAAGCTGCTTCTACATATCGTGAATCGATAACATATGCAATGGCAGTTCGTAAGCACTTAATCTTATTCCAAACTTAGCTGCGCAATAGTGCGTCGAAGAGCCGTATCACGGTCGCCCCCGAAACCATGGACATGGTACGCATGTTCTCGACTCCAGGACCCCTTTGAATTCACTATCGGAGCTATGTCTGTACCACACGCTTCTTGATTATGCTTCCTTCGCGAAATTTGAAACTCCAGAGATCGAGACTCTGAGGAACAGAGACGGAACAGGAAGTGGTTGGGCCTCCGTGGTCAACTTGACGTGGGGCTCCGCATGCTCGTATCATTACATAAGTACTGTGAATCACCGACTGCTAGGAATGATGAAAATCGACAGTCTGAGTGTGTTTGCTAGAATGCCGCACCAATCCCTGTACGTGCGGCCTGATATGATGAGCGGCGGCGGCGTTTCCAATGTTGGCTGATTAGTTGTCATCATTTTATCGGCGAGAGGCGACCTGCAACATTAATGCGACTCCGCGACTCACCTTTGTCCAATGATTTCAGTTGGGGCGAGCGCGCTCTTGACGTTTGGTTTCGGCGATCAATGAAATCGTACGGGGCGTTATAGAGATTCCAAGCCAAACAAATCACCGTGACTGCTGATACATCTTCCTATAGGGGCGAGAGATAATTGAATTCCATTACATATACACTTTTACGCTCAAAGACAATATCTGCAAGAACGTATCTCTGGCTATACCAACTCCGAGATATATAAATTCAGCAATTGCCAGTATACCATAATACGGATTTGACTTGTTCTTATCGGGCCGTCGTTTTTCTGATCGCGAAGTTCCTGGTATTCCAAGGTACATTCCATATCTTTCCTTATCCGAAATCCCCTGTAAACCGATTGCCTTTCGTTTGGTCGACCGTCATATTTATGTCCCGCCCTCGCCTCATGGGCATGATGAGTGGAGCGCGATAAGCTACCTCGATCGTCTCCCGGGCCTGACGCAATGTACATATCTCTCACACGCTGGGCATTGACTATGGCGGTGCTAGGCCGCTCCGCCTTCGCGGATCGAAGTACAAAAACGTTCCACTATCGATTAATAGCCACTGGCCAGTCAAATGCGACATGTTCCGTGTTCATCTCCTCGTGTTCGTGGGGTCAGTGGGGCAGGGCTAAAGTTGCCTTGATGCAGAAAAGACCCCAAACGGAGCCGCGCGCAGCATCGATCATCAGAAAGCCAGTGGTTAAAGTTCGTGCTTCCTCCGCCAAACGCTGTCAGGGGCAAACGTTTTTAAAACAGCCAATAGCGAGAGCGAGCGCCCACCAAGTGCAAGGTTGCGTTTTGTATACCTGGCCTCGACCACTCGGCACGCCACACCCGAGTCCGCGTTATCCGTGCACCACATTGAACAGTGATCTGAGCCTGTGTTCGGCGGTATTCTACTCGGGCAGGCCCCAAACGCGTCATGAGACGACGCTACCGCGGTTGTGTCTCGTCTTACTTGGTTGCCACGTTGTGCCGTGAACGGTAAAATGCAGTGTGTACCATCAAGATGTGGGTTGCAGTTAATCGTGCCTATCGCAACTTTGGTGGAGCTCCACAATGTTGCAGGAGAAGGCAAGCATAGCCCATCTAAAAGCACGAGCTCCGGAAGTTTTTGGAACAATGGCATTGGTGATATGGTATGTGGGTGACTTACTGTTCCGAGCAGAGCCGATGATCATAACTACAATTGGTCGATTCAGCCTCTTTGCTGTCCAACGAATCCCAGGTCCATCCATAATGTGACGTCCAACTTCATCTCCATCCGCAGTTCCCACTTGGTGGTAAGATTACTCAACGTGAAGCTGACCTCTTCGATGTCCTCTTCGATCACAATCTCGGCCCCGAACTCCCCTTGCATGACGCCCAACCTATCTTCCTTAGGCTCTTCCGAACTACCCTCCGGTTGCGCGTGTGCCAGGCATCCCAAAGCCACAAAACCCTGCCAGAGCCATGGTCACGGTGCATTATTCGCTCCCATCCTTCATCTACAGCGAAGCGAATAACAAGCAGACTCTCATTGTCAAGTACTTCCTACGCTCTAACCTGTTCTAACCCACTACACCGCCACTCGGAAGCAACTCCCGCGACTGGTGAATTTCTCTGCAATAAGTATGTGATTAAGATATATGTAGTACGTTACAGGTGCTTCCATTGGCTGATACCACATGGCTGCCCATGTGATTGGAAGAAGCGTTTTTCCGATGTGCTCGCTGCGACGGGACTGTTGGCGGCAATGTTCTGCACCCCAGAACCCAGGTGGGAAACTGACGACCGACATAGAGGCCCTTCCCTACTCCCAAGCTCCGCTGATCTATTCCATCGTATCTAAGTACGCCACTGTACTGATAGGGCCTAATCAAGCAAGTTCGGGCAACTATGTACTGTATCTACTCTTCGTTTGTACCCCGCATCGCGCCTACTTTTCGGCGTCCAAACCACCATAGCCACATTACACTGTCGGCGCCCATCAACGTTCAGCCTTGTCTAGGGTCACAGTAGTTTCCCGTACCCCCGTTTCATCTGTGACCAATCAACCAAAGTGCTGTGTTATCATATACCATTTGTATGGATCCCGGATTCCGGTGGTAGCGGACTACCGGTACAATCCATTCACCAAGTAAGTGAAGCGAGGATCATTCCACGAGTCTCGACTGGAACTGTGGCGGCTAGCGTCTTCCGTGTAAGATTTGGGGTGCTCATACGTACCCACCACCCCCCGGCTTCAAGGGGGAAATATTGATTGAGTTATATGAATTGGAGTCTGTAGGGTGAGGGACACAAGGTACGTTCTTGGACTTCTTGCCGCGGAGTTTTTGTTGGCAAGGCGAAACCTGCGCGAAGAGAACCCAGTCGTTCTTTCCCCTCAACAATTTGCCAGCGCGATCCTGAAAAGTCACTACGACAACAGCTCGAGCCAAGCACTGTACCAGACTGTACCCTATAGCCGTTGACGACGGTGTCGGTAGCATATTAAATGCCACCTTGTACAGTACATATATTCTGGATGAGTGCGATGACGACGGTTGATTCCCTGCTCTGTTCCTAGAAGGTTGTCTGCGTACCCCTGTACCCGTAACTACGCGATATGGCGACAACATATACATGCTTACCCCTGATCCACCCTTGTTCCGCGCAATCGCATTAGAGGTGTTCCTGACCGTCAGTGCCTAGGAATCTGCAAAATCAGCTCGACCTGCATTTGGCTGCCTGAATCTTGAAACCATCGCACTGAAACCTGTCCCTGCATGGCCGCCACGGCCTGATGAATCATCGCTGGTCGTACTAATAACGTCGTGACACCTTTCAATCCCCGGGTGACGGTAAGTAACCCATTGAAATGAATGAAATGAAAACCATGTGTACGCCACAGCACGCTTAGCATGAACAAAGAATACGCTAGCAAAGAATAAAAGTCCCCTCTGTCCGCTGCGCCTCCGTTATTGTCTCCTCATTAATGTCCGAACTTGTCATTCAAACTACCATGCACTATCTCCTAGCCGGTTACCACACCGACGCCTTGCGGAATTCATTCATACAATGTTTGAATTATATATCTCTGGTCTTGTCAAGTTCATTGTTGCTGCTCGTTTCTCGCTCGAATGTCGACTTATCTGCCGGCCGTGTTAGGTTCAATTCGCCAGGATTCCGGACCGCATGTTAATTGTACAGCTTGGCCGGACGGGTTGCCTGGGAACCGGAGATCTAGGACAATGACCGCTGTCGTGCGTGTTTCGAGTAAGTTCCGGGCACTGCCAACCATGCGTGCCCTCCAACCCAACTGACGCGTGTGCGGAAAAGCAATGGCGGGAGGCCGTAGTTACCAAGCTCACTAGGGACGAGATTGTCTTGGCGCGTCCCGGAGTCAGACCACGAGGGCGAACCAGTGATTGATAAAAGATTTTCCAGAGATTTTCCAATATATCGATAACGCACAACTACGGTAAAACGTGTGGATTCCGGGCCTCGAAGGGGGGGTTCCGGATACTTGACTTGGCACGTGTGCAGAAATTGTCTTTGGGCAGGGACACAGGATTAGACACGTGCCCACAGTCTAATACCGATCGTGGTCGTTCGCATGCCCATTTTCTTGTCACAATCTGAGGCCATCCTCGGAGTCGCATAACAACTTGTACGGCAAGATCTTGCAATGCCGACCTCGGCTGGTGGCCCGAACATGATTTAAACCAGTCCGCCGCGCTTAGATCTCCGAGGAGGTGAGGCATTATGTCTGTATTACTATACTGATCGGACGGTGCGTTTCAAAAAAAATGCATGTGCGTCGGGTTGTGCGAGGTGCAAACAAGATGCTGTGTGATGGAAACCAAAAGAACGCTCAAGATGGTGTGATGAGATACGAATAGTAACTTAAATGCCGGCTCGGCAACGATCGCCGAAGGTCAATGATAACAACGGGACATGTAACAAGTGTGTAAGTGACAAAGAGACAAGGGAAAGATGTGCAGCAATCAGGGGGGATCCAGCCCATGGATGCACAGACAACCATAATAACCCAACTACGAAAAAGTCTTCATCGATATAGGTGTTCATAACAAAAGCAGCGATGACTCTGATCGAGCAGCTCCGACTCGGCAAAGCTGTGCAATCGTCGTGGATACGTCCCTCCGAGGATAGGAGAGTGGAGTGCCTCGAGTTGTGATAGACAGATACGGATGTGCATGAGGTTTAACCACTTAGGGTGTATCGGGGTAGTCTGAGCGGCACTGCATCCGTTCACAGTGATGTGGTAGCAGCCGGATCGGGCAGTGCACGTCAGGTGCGGGCACACGATGAGGTGATCGCCGAGACCATCATCGGCGACCGAGGTACTGCCAGTAGAGCGAGTTTGGTGGCTGGTGGTAAGATGTGATCAATGAACGGAACAAACGCGGATATCGCGTGGACATACGGCAGTGTTCACTGTCGAGTGATCTAATGGCACAAATGAGGGAGGAGCGTCAGAGAGATGGACACGGATGCACGTACGAGGTCTGATGCACTCCCATACGTCGACGCCGCCTTCTGGTCTCCATGTGCAACACTGTGAGTACAAGGACCAGTAGTCATTGGGGACCCATATCTTCGTGGCGGCAGAGATTGCGGGGCGACGCATGCTGGTGGTAGTGGAGTTCATTGGGGAAGATGGGAAGGACGTGGCGGGGGGTGGGTTGGGGGGTATAAAAGCAGGAGGACGAGGAGGGAGGCATGAATTTATAATCATGGCCTGCCGATTTCGAGAGAAGAAAGGAATATTGTTAAGTTTTGTGTGACAGGCTGAAAGGGGAGCTGACATCAGCCAATCCCATCATGCCGTGACAACAGGATCTGAGATCCCATGGCCACCGATTGGGCCAATGCGACCCCCCTCCTTGGCCAGGATGATGTGGTGGTACACGACCCCACATTGCCCTTTACCTATTCGAGGGAGATTTCCGCTCGATTCCACCCAAGTTTTGTGGGAAAAACAAGTTACAAGCCGATCATCTTCTCCCCTTTCACAGAAACCGCGGCCCACCGTCCTGGTCAGTCGTATGTACGTCATTCCTACCTCCTCCACTCACTTTGAGTTCCACCATAACCTATGACCACCAACGTTTTATGATAGCCGGGCGCTCTAAGTCTAGGCTGTGGAACAAGGCACGTATGCTATCATAACTGACTCATCCGTTGGATATATTTTTGCAGCGTTAATATTTGAAGGGATGCGGAGATAAGCTTAAACAACTTTCCTGCCTTGGAATCGAACTTTGAAGGTCTGACGTTTCATCGTTTCAGCTCGCCTCAAGTACCCTTCTGCCATCGATTTACAAGAAGGCCCAACCCATAACCGAGCCGTCCGACACCCGCCGCACCCGACGTAAAGTTTCATATCAGGAAGCCGACCCACTGTCATCGTTAGCTAACCTTTCAAACGTCCATTGTCCCTCGGCATACTCACATCTTATTTGGTGCGAATCACCCGGTGTTGCGTGCAGGCACATGTCCTTGGTCGTGTAATTCTGTACGGACACGCAGTCAAATGACGAAAAGGGCTGCCTTTCAATTCAAGAAGGGTTCGTGTGGTCTATTTGCGTCCTAAGCCCGAGCCACCTGTGCGTCGGCACCCGTCACGCGGTGCCCCACCACACGTTGTTGCTGTATACGAGCGTCTTGCCTCCCGATGGTGCTGTGTATCTGTCACTCATTACGAGTGAAGGGGGTGGTGCCATGCCGTGCCGTTCCAACTTGTGTGTGCACGCTATACTTTCGATTTGCCAACTAACCTATCATGGAACGTGAGATCAGAAATACGTCTTTGGGTCATCCCCTTCTAGAAGCGTCCTCCAGTGACAGGCCCTCACGTGGAAAAAGTCTATGTCCCAAGGCATGCTACTGCGATCCCAAAACCCATTCTGCCACACTTGGTAGCTGGCAGTAAGGCAGAGTAAACCTTGGCGCGCCTGCCTTCAACAAACCAACACTCTAGGCCAGACCGGCACTTCCATAACCATTCTTCCCGTAATTCTGGCCCTGTTCACAGACGAGCTACATTTGTCAAACATACCACGCGTCCACAGCGCTATGCATGGGAATATATATATCTCAGAACACACCGATATATAGAACCACGCAGCCGAGGGGAAATGTGGGCCAGATATTTCGTAGCTCGCATGCCCATCTATTTCATCTTTCCTTCCTATCCTGCTACACACACTACACTCCCAGTTATTCCCTCAGAAAGTTATCTCTTACTCCCATCTCACTGTCATCCATGCTTCAATGCCACAAACACTTTAGGAGGGATGGCAGCAAGTTGAAGGTGGGGTGCCAGTTATACCAAACTCGTCCACTTCCTTTTTTTGTTTATTCTTCCTTTCGCCAGACAAATTGGTTGTCGTCAGGTTCCTGAATCCGCAGCTTCGGGGTCCTGTCCCATATGCTGGTAAGTGTGTACTATACTCTACTACCCCTGGAAAGCTACGACCTTTGTATCATATGTCTCAATGGATCGTGGATGTCATCACGCCCGTGGCCTTGTTGTAACCCGACAGTTGATAGAGAAAGAGAAAGACAATGGTGATAGAACAGCCTCCTACTAGCCGAGGGAGTTCTGAAGCCGAAGGTAGCTTAGCCGAAAGGCATACGGCGTAACACCCAGTCTGGGAGGGGGTACGTGCCATGCGTCAGCAGACCCACTCAGAAGGGAAGACACGAATCCAAAAGGCAACCGAAAAAAAGACTAGAACCGGACATCTGCGTTGCGAAGCCAGAGCTATGCCATTGCATGTTCGTACCCCAGTTCCTGGATCTCCCCATCTGAGAAATGGGGAAGGCGCAGCACGCGCCTAAATCTCATGTCCTGGTTGCATTTCTACATTCAGAGGATAGCGTGTCCACACGCTATTGGGGTTGCATTGGTCAGGAAAGGATCAAGCAAGATATAGATATATATCGCGGCTGCGGCGCCGGACAGGGTAATATGTAACTTCTCTCTTACCAACAGGTTTGGTAGACCGCGCCCTCTTCCCATTCTACCCTTCTTCGCCTTGCCCGCTGCTCTGCCTAGTTCGAAGTACAGCACACCGCAGCATTTGATCCGAGACCATGGCTTGAAGTGGTGGGAAGTATGGCCGACTGGTCGAACGCACCAACCTGACCTCGTTCAATAATGAATCGCCGTGCCTCAGTACCTGGTATCGAGGAAGTCTAGGCATACACATACCCAGGAGACCTGGTTGTGAGGCAAAACCTGTGAAAGATGGCAGGCGTGTCGACAACGTAGCAACGGTTTCGAGACCACTAAGTGCGTGCATCGCAACTTGAAACCTGACACGATTCACTCATTTACTCGTTTGACATTGCAGATTATAAGTGGATCGACGAGTACCCTCCAACGACCAGCAGGCCAAGTCAACTCTGTGAGTGGGTGCGACAACTGACAACTTGCATGACGAGATGGCAACAGCGGCAACAACTCGCTTATTTGAAGCCGAGGACTCCGACTCATGGCCAACGCTTGCGATGTATGTATCGCCCGCGGACGGTTTGCGTTATGTGAACAAGTACGTGGTCAAGTTCACTTTGCGCTGGTCATCTGTCCTGAAGACAGCGCTTGGAGGACCACAGCAGTGTCGACAAAGGAGACTCATATGACTAACCTGTAGAGGCATGGTAGCGGGAGCGGTCATTCCCTTGTCGGATTTGGCCCTGCCCGAGTACGCCTTGTAGTTTGATGCGAAAGAAGAGAAGGCTGATGGATAGCACTTCTCCCCTGCCGCACAGACACAACGAATTGTACATTCGTGAGACGCCATTCGAAGCTGGGGGATCCGAGCAGTGTCATTTACCGTTTGTCTGCCGTATAAAGTGGTTACCTGTCTACATATTAAGAGAAGTCCCTGGCAGAATTCTCAAAACTGCCTGGCGGCCCCACGAACAGGTACATAGGTTGCGAGATGCTGCGTCTACCGTGCCTTTATGAAAAAATGTCATGTTTGGTTCGTACTTTAACGGAATAGCGCAACGAAGTTGTCTTGCCTATGTACGACACAGGCTTCTCAACCCCTTGTGGCGGGGAAGTATATCTCGTCCAGGCGCTATGCGTGGTTGGACTAGACCCGGTCCGAGCGGGTGGGTCCAGTGTTTTTGAGATACCAGCAGTCTTTAATCGCTCACTTCGTACAAGTAAATGACCTTCATCTTCGTAATCCCCGGCGAGTCCAGTTCTCCGGATCGAGTGATCATCGAAGGAGGGCGTCGTTCGATTGCGCTCTGTCATGAGTCGTGTATATTATCACCGGCACCCTCGATCATGTCACACCCGCACGTGGCGGACAAACATGACTGTGATGTGACAATGTGAAGGTCTGAGAGGGTTAGTCTAGACCTCGGTTTCCGGAATCACTCTGCTTGGTCTCGCGGAAAGGACTTGGTGCTTACTGACAAAGAGTCACCCCTCCAGCCAGTGTCGACTATAATAATCATCGGCCGGGTCATAACTCTGAATATCCGACCCCAACTCTAAACATTGCTCGCTTGCTCGGACCTTGCAACGCACACCGTGCGCACCACTTGGGTAACCCACTTTATTGCCGTTCCTTTGAGCCATAGTATCAAAGAAGTTCTAGTTGGTTCTAAGGTCTCACAGAACTGAACGCCTCAGGTATTTGCCCACATCAATGGCAGAATGTCGTCCTAAATTTATTTAAAAAATCTTTGTCTTGCTGTGTGGCAGGTCACGACTCCTCCGTACCTAGCAGTCGTCCTGGAAATAATCAAGCTGCGTTCTGCGGCCGCTCATTCCGTTGCTTCACGTCAGGCGTGCAGTGTCGCGAAAATGATCAACCGGACATTCGTATGTTTTTTCTTTCTTTCTCGTCATGACCCTGTTTTACCTCATTTTCTGCCAAATCATATGTACGCGTACGCGTACCTGTGCATGCGATGAACACAACTCATTAAACCACGAGTAGTTAATGAGATTAGGCGTGCTGACGCTTCTTGGCGGCGGGAGCTTTCTAATGGTAAAGCGCATTTTGACGGAAAGGAGGAGGCAACGGTACGAAATGGTGGATCGCTCAAAGGCAGAATAAGCGCGTATCTAATAGGTGGCATGTTCTCCGTGGATGCATAAATTTATGGGAGCACGAAACCACCATATAAATCGGACTGGGACGAAAGGTCGACGTGTTGGATGGTGATTGATCAAGAAACTAGCAGTGCTGCAGCCGTTAGCGTCTTGGGTGCGTTGCAGCTCTTTTATTGGTCTGTGTGACTGCTACGTTAGACAGTGCCGTTAATGGCCTACTACAGTGCCATCTGACGGACATGATATGATGGAATCCCCCCCTTCAACCTTCTAGCTTCTCATGAAGACCCTTCCGATTTTGGAAGCTTCCACCCAGAGATGCGCTGAAGTGGGTTCATCTTATCTCATCCGAGCTCAGCGCTCTGCGCAGCTTCGGCTTGGTTCTTTGATCAAGGTTAGGTTACATATTACCGGAAAACAAAAATCTGGGGTCCAAAGCTTGTTACAACACTGTCAAGGTTTGAGGTATAGTCCATGGTGAGATTTTGGGTTGTTTATGAACGGTGACACATTATTATTCTCTATGTGGTGACTGGCCGACCGGCAGGGTCAACTCTTCCCTGATTACGCCCGCCGGGCTGCTAGGTATGTACCGTCATGTCGCAATTGAGGTGATGTATGAGCATGTGGTAAATCTAGCTTAGTCAGAGTAGAACTTGGTAAATGTAACCGTTGATAGTGAAGTGGCTGTGCTCGTTTTTGCAGGCCATGAAGGCCAACTATCAGGTGCGTTCGTTGGGACTCATGCTGTGAGACATACGCCAACTTGAATGCCGGACCGTGGATCTGCCAGTTCTCGAACTTATGTGGAACGGTTTATAGACAAGGAAATGTCCTCTTCACCCCAGATGGCAATAGCCTGCTGAGTCCCGTTGGGAACCGTGTCTCGGTCTTTGACTTGGTGAAGTGAGTACCCGACATCCTTTACTCCTTCATCAGCGTCTTGAAAGCGATCCTTTTTTTCTGAAGCAACAAGTCTCGCACTCTATCATTCCAAAACAGAAGGAACATTTCGCGGATTGGCCTTTCCCCCGACGCCAGCATCCTCGTCTCAGTGGACGAACGTGGTCGTGCTCTCCTCGTCAACTTCAAGCGTGGCGTGGTGCTGCATCATTTCAATTTTCAAAAACCCGTGAACGACGTTAGCTTCTCTCCAGATGGAAAGTTAGTCTATTTACTGGTTTTTCTACTTTGCCACCCCACCGCAGTGTACTGACAGCTTCGCGAACGGTTAACGTAGATATATTGCGGTGACGCACGATTCACATCTTCAGGTTTGGCGGACTCCCAATCACCTTGTGCGGGAGTTTGCTCCGTTCATTTTGCATCGAACGTACACGGGTCATCATGATGAGATTTTGAGTATTCGGTGGTCACCAGACTCGAAGTGAGTGTTCATGTACAGCACACTCCGGCATCTTGACAGTGCTAATAGTCGTCCAAAGGTGCTTCTTGACGACGTCGCGAGATATGACTGCGAGGTTATTTACTCTGGATCCACTTGAAGGTTTCCGCCCCAAAACATTCGCCGGTCATCGTGACGCGGTGGTTGGGGCATATTTTTCAGCAAGCGGCGAATGCGTGAGTGTTCTCACTCTAGTTTATAAGCCAGTTTACAACTAGTATAGATATACACTATCAGCCGTGACGGGGCTGTGTTCACGTGGAAAGCTAAGGCTTCCGACGACGACACTGACTTGTCGGATGACTCGATGCCGGTTCTCTCGAGGTCTGCCGGCGATTTGGAGGCAATTGCCACGACGCGGTGGGGTGTTCACGAGCGACATTTCTTCAACTTTCCAAACACAAAAGTGGTCTGTGCATCCTTCCACCCGTCATCTAGCCTCCTCGTCGTCGGCTTCTCGAATGGCGTGTTTGGACTCTGGGAACTCCCTGCGTTCACGAACGTGCACACGCTGAGCATATCCCAGCAGAAGATTACCTCTGTAACAATATCTCCATCAGGGGAGTGGTTGGCGTTCGGCGCCCGCACGCTCGGCCAGCTCCTTGTGTGGGAATGGCAGTCTGAGTCATATATCCTGAAGCAGCAGGGTCATTTCTTTGATATGAACACGCTGTCATATGCGCCCGATGGACAGACGATCGCCACAGGAGGGGATGACGGCAAGGTGAAGGTGTGGGCAACACACTCCGGATTTTGCTTCGTTACTTTTGCAGACCATGCTGCACCGGTGATGGATGTAGCATTTGCGAAGCAGGGATCTGTCCTTTTCTCAGCGTCTCTCGATGGAACCGTTCGCGCTTTCGACATGGTAAGGTATCGGAACTTTAGGACTTTTACGTCGCCTTCGCCCGTCCAATTCTCAGCTCTAGCTGTCGACCCATCGGCTGAGGTCGTCGCCGCAGGATCTACCGACTCATTTGAAGTCTTCCTCTGGTCCGTGCAGACTGGCAAGTTGCTAGACATTCTCACCGGCCATGAAGCACCTATCTCATGCCTCGCATTCTGTCCCTCGGGAACGAATCAACTGGCAAGCGGTTCGTGGGACCGGACTGTACGTGTGTGGAATGTGTTCGGGAGATCTCGCGCAGTTGAGACATTTTCGGTATCGTCCGACGTGCTTGCCCTTGCTTTCCGACCGGATGGTGCAGAACTTGCAGTATCGACGCTGGACGGGCTGAATCACATTCTTCGACGTTCATTCGGGAAAACAGACCAATCTCATCGAAGGGCGGAAAGATATTTCAGGAGGCCGAAAAGCAGACGACAAAGTCGCGGCTGCAAACAGTTCGTCTGGGAAGGCCTTCACGAGTCTGGCGTATACGGCCGATGGCACGTGCATTCTTGCTGGGGGAAACAGCAAATATGTCGTCCTGTATGACGTCCGCGAGGGTGAAGGGGTGCTTGTGAAGAAATTCCAGATCTCAGAGAACTTGTCCCTCGATGGGACGGAGGAATTCCTGGATAATCGGAGGGTAAACAGCGCGGGCATAAACGTGGATCTGATCGACGACCGAGGGGATGCTAGTGATCTGGAGGATAGGATCGATACGACACTGCCCGGTGCTGTTTGTGGTGCTGGGGACATGTCGGTGCGCAAATATCGTCAGGAAGTGCGGACAAAGTGTGTCAGGTTCTCGCCAACAGGGCGGGCATGGGCAGCGGCAAGCACAGAGGGACTACTGATATATTCACTCGACGACACCATTGCATTCGATCCCTTCGATCTTACCATTGATCTCACTCCCCAGAGTGTATTGGAAGTACTCAGTCAAGGGGAGTACCTCAAGGCTCTTGTACTTGCCTTCCGGTTAAACGAAAAGCCTATTATTCGACATGCTTACGAGAGCATTCCCTGCACCGACATCCGTCTCATTGCACGCCAAGTTCCGGTAGTGTATATCGCTGCTCTTTTTCGGTTCATTGCGGAGCACATGGAGAAGAGTCCTCATTTAGAGTTTGACTTGATTTGGGTCCGGGCGATCCTGATGAGCCATGGGAGGTATCTAAAGGATCTGAGCGGGGAATTTGCCCCTGTTCTAAGGGCAGTACAAAAAGCTCTTGTGGATGTCGAGCAATCGATATCGAGTTTGTGGGTTTTGACTTCTTGTTCATTTGAGGTTGGGCAATAACAGCAGTACCAGGTGCGAAGAGAATACCTTTATGATGCGCTTCCTGATCGACCAGTCGAAGATGAAGAACGGGGAAGGGAAGAGCTCGGAAGATGTAGAAATGGACTCGACAACCTAGCCAATTCTGTCTGCGTAGATACGGTACGAGGAGTAAAGATCACATTTCTTCTTCGAGACTGATTTTTATCTCATGCTCAGTAATGTTGCTACACAAATTTTGCAATCGAAAAGTAGCTAGTGTACCAAGTAAATTCGATCTTGTGGAGATCTTTTAAAACCTGACAGTGAAATTGGTATGTCTCTCCGACATCGGATGCAAGTTTCCATCGAAAGACCCTACTGGCACTTCAACGGCGCTTGTTATTGGTCTGGGCTGTGCAGGCACGTTCTCAATCACCGAAGCATTACGGTATACAGCGGACTTACTCTGGCTATGCTTGCGTTCTACATCATCGTAAACCCAGTAATACGCTCCAGCAGAAACGATAATAGCGGCTGTGGAAGCAATCAACTGGACCCAAGAGGAACTGTGAGCTTCATGACAACGTTGCATGCATTCCTGTACTCACAAATTTGTTTCTGGGTGATTGACTGGTCCAGTACCGCGCCATAAACGAGTCGTTCTGCCGTTGCTGGCGATACACTTGTGACGGGCGCATGAATTCCGGCGTGTAATCGATTGAATTTCAGGCTAAAGCGTGACAGGTGCGAGTTGGTTCTGTCCAAGGAAGAGCCGGGCAAGAAGGGCGAAAAGCTGACGCTAGTCATGATGTCATTTGTTTGCCTGTATACAACGCCCAACGGCGAAGTCTGTAGCAATTTGGCTACAAAACACTACTCGAAAACCCACAAAACGCGATGTGCGTGTAGACAATACAATACGTGTATGAAACTTCCTGCTCTTACAAGTTAGGCATAGTGCTTCTTGGATTTGCTGTACACGCTCCCGTCCTCCGGATTCGTGCGCTGCGGTGTTGGTTGCGGCCCGGGATGAGGATGCGAGTTCGGGTCAAGCGCCACGCCTCCCTTCGTCTCACCTGCGTCGGGGATCGCCCCCTGCGCTCGCTCAGGGGAAGTCTTGGCCTCACCCTTGTAACCCTCTGGCGATTTGTAGTGTGCACCCGGCGCGGGTAGTGGAGGAGTTTGTGAAGGATCACTCGTGTGCTCACGATTGCGCAGCGTCGCAGGCGATGTGGCGCTTTTCGCGGGGAAGAGAGCCTGGTACATACGGTTCTCCCCTTCAAGCTCCGTCAGTCATGAGTTCTGCCTTGAAGTGAGAAATCAACCAACAGGTGGGGATGCCTCCTGGTTGCACTGAAGCCCGGGCATCTCTTCTTTCTTGATATCGTTGGAGGGCATACCAGGACAGCGCGAAGAATGACATGAAAAGCGCTGTGCCTCCTACCAGAACCTGGGGAACAGAACGGACAACGTTAACCAGATGCCAGCCTCGAATATTGTGTCAGGTGCTTACCCGCATTCTTGGCGTCGTGGGAGCCAAGACTCGTGTGTCCTTATTGCTGCTCATTGGAAAGTCACTAGACTGGTTCGATAACAAGACTGCAGTCGATGGAAAGGCAGGTGGATGGTGACTGGAAGAACAACCGGCGCACGGCGCAAACTCATGACGTCAGACCAGTATCTCCCATATCTGGGAAAGAGTCGTGGATCAGACCCGTTGAATGACAAGATGCCTTTCGAACGTTTCGAACTTGGTAACAGACAGCAAAATTTCTGTGTGCAAACCTCGTCCCCCCATGTCCTGATTCATACGCTCGTTCATTGACAATTCAGATAGAGGGAAGTCGAGGTTCTCCATTTTCCTGGAGACCCTTTCATACCGTGTTCCCTCACCTGCAGCGAACCAGTGCCCACGGGACCATCCCATATCTGTATACGAGGTATTTCGTAGTTTGCGACTAATGCATCGGCTGATGTTGGGTCTGCCCAGCGTGTCATCATAGAATATCGTTAGTCTTCCATCCACTGATCCACCCGTGGTGAGATTCATTGATGGAGAGCTTGCAGGAATTGTAGGCGACGGTCCTCACGCTCTATGCATGCTCATCCTTCAAGTCACCTATGTCTTATTTCGATGTCCGGTCGTAACCAGATACTTGCACAACTAACACGGTTTAGTTAACGATATCCACGACATAAAACAAACTTCACCGATGAGTGGTTGTCAAGGGTGTCGGACTTCACCGGCATGGGTCTGGGCTGTCTTACCCTCTAGCCTCATTTCTTCTAGCCTTCGCTGAATGAATAAATTGCAGTGCGGACCTGTGTCCTGGAAGCTCTGGACTTCGTATTCCAATCAGCTGAGAGGTTTCTGAATTGAATCATCCTTGCCTAGTAGTAACTCCTTTCTCCACCACTCGGACTTCCGGTCTAACGCTTATCAAAGTAGAATGCTAAAGCCATTCCAAGGCCCGGGAGTTATGTAATAACGAGACATTTAGCTGGCTGTAGCATTTTAGCTCATCCTGAGAAAAACTAATGGAGGCAAGCAATGACTGCAATTGCACGAGTCGCCCTCGAATGAAGCGGGCAGACAACTCGACAGATGTACGCTACCGCACCCAATCATTCCTGGCCTCAACACCCACACACCAACTACGAACAACCTGATGCCGCCCAACTCAACCAGCATCCTCCAAAAAACGCAACGACACCAAAAATCTACAGTACACAACGCGAGGGGGGGGATCGGGGTAGCTGGACACTGGAGGGGGGGGAGATGTCACTTAACCACAAGTGCAAGCAACGTAACCTATGATATATATAGTCAAACACAAAACCACAAGCGAATAGAAAAAAATGTGACGGGATTGCGACAAGCACGGCATTGATAATGTCGATCACAAAGTGGCCGGCAATCGCCAGAATATACTGAGAAAATGAGACCCCCTCGGTCGATGTCTGTGAAAGATGGCGTTGAATGTGTTTTTTCTTCGGATGCGGATATCATTAAGCTGGCCACCACCACTTCCCACTCCAGATACGACGGATATCAGCTTTCATCGTGCGACAGGTGTCGCACGGTAGCCTGGTTGGGCCGGGTACGGAACTCTCTGTTGCGGTTGAGCTGCCTGCGGAAGCACTTGCATGCCATTTGGCCGTCCATTGCCCTGATGATTCTGTACTTGTTGCCCAGGCGCCTGTTGTCGCTGCTGCGGTTGTCGTTGCACGGGCTGTTTCTGCGGTACAGGCTCCTCGAGGACCACCTGGGGCTACGTACAAGCTCTTGTCGATGTGTTGGGGAATGGGCTGTATCTCCGTTCCGAGCTCCTGCTCGATGCGATACAAATTGAATCGATCTTCATACGTGACGAGGTTGATGGCGAGACCAAAATGTCCGAATCGACCTGACCGACCGATGCGGTGAAGGTACGTCTCGGAATTTTTTGGGAAGTCAAAGTTGATGACGACGTTAACGGCTTGGATATCGATACCTCGCGTAAGTAGGTCAGAGCAAACGAGATTCCTGCACACGCCGTTGCGGAAGTCGTGGAATACGCGATTACGGTGTGACTGCAAGCATCTTTGCATGTGAATAGAAACATGAGTAGCCAAGTTCGGTAATTTTCTTGGCTAATAGCTCGACGCGATTGGTAGAGTTGCAAAAGATGATCGACTGGTTAATTTGTAACTACAACGATTTGACACGTTAGCTCAGTCCACCGACGCGGACATAAGTGAATAACTTACCTTGGAAAATAATGTATTTAGGCAGTGCACTTTCTGTCGCTCTTCTACATAGGCGTAATATTGAGTGACACCGCGTAGGGTAAGTTCTTCCATGAGGTTGATTTCGTAAGGACTGTTCATGTGTTTATCCTATTGAAAGAGGTGTTATCAGTAAACGAAGTAAGTGAAACATGCGGAAACGGACCTTAAAGTCCTTCACAATGAGGGGGAATGTTGCGCTGAACAACATGACCTGGCGGTCAGTGGGGAGGAAAGAGAGTAACTGTTCCATGACTGGAGTGAATTCGGGGGAAAGGAGTTTGTCTGCCTCGTCCATGACGAAGACGGGACATTCGCTAAGATCAGCCACGCTCTTTCCAGCCAAGTCGAGAATACGGCCGGGAGTGCCCACGAGGACATGAACCGTTTCGGATAGTCGCATGATATCGTCTTTGAGGGTTGTGCCACCAGTGGTCGCCATGACCTGAATACCCATATGTTTTCCGAGGATTTTGCATACTTGGGATGTCTGTAAGGCGAGTTCACGGGTAGGGTACGAGGAGAAGGGCTTGAATCTTTGGTTTGTTGATATCAATCTGTTGGAGAGCGGGGATGACAAAGGCTGCTGTTTTGCCAGTGCCATTCTTGGCGCGGGCGAGGACATCGCGCTTCGTGAGCGCAATTGGAATAGCTTCTTCTTGTATGGGAGAGGGCCTCTCGAATCCTGCTTCGAAGATACCCATGAGGAGTTCGCGGCGGAGGTACATGTCTTCGAATTCGAGACCCTTGGTGGCCGTCACATCTTCTGTTTGGGGCCTGAGGTCTTTTGGCGGTGGGCGAAGTCCGGCTTTCCAAGACAAGTCGTTGCTGATAGCTGTTGAGAGACTGATATTTTTTTTAATATAAAAAAAAGGCGACGTTATCGTTAGGAGACAGTTCAGGACATGAAAGGAAGTTACGACTTACGAATTGGACGAGGATGGTCTGGTTGCTTGGGACATGACTTGAAAAGGTGGGATGGGCTGATTTCGGGATGGGCGGTAGGCTGCAACAACTGCGAGACAAGGTTTGATCAAAGGCGACACGCTAAGTGTCGTGGGGTATTATGGGAGTGGCTCTTTTGTTCGTTGTCGTGTTCGTGGATTCTGCGACAACGAGATGGAGTGGCGTTGACGACAGCCAAGAAGCAGTTGTTGTGTTGCAGTTGAGTTGGGATTCAGAGCAGAAGCAGATTGCAGTCGACTGCAAAAGAAAGTCCTCAGAGGGCGTCTCACTTTTTGTCCGCGACAAATTCTTTTGCCCAGTATTCCCACGCTACTCCTTACCGTGTTCTCAACACAAATCACTAGTACTGAAGAATACTGAAGTACTGACAAGTCGATCATGGCGATCGTACCCACAGCACGTCATCACCTTAAATTTACCTGATACATCTTTCTGTCCGCAAAAACAAACCTAGGCGACTCAGTGAGCACGTCGCCGGATCTGCACAAACATTTATCAGTCCCAGGGGCACCCTCTTGCACGAAGGATCTGGACTTGAAGAACCTAGAAATATGTAGAAATCGATGAACCCCACGGGCAGATTGGCCGATATCACCGTCGACAGGAGTTGTGAGAGGGAAGGACAGCACATACCATGTTTTCCTTCCCAGGTCATGTGTATTTCGCCTCGACATCTCACCGTGCTAATTAGAGAAGGGGTGCTGCACAAGTATTCATGCGAGAACAGCGGCAAATTCCTATATACATACTTCCCGGGAACAGGGTTATATATCGCATAGATAGGCAAGACACGGATCAGGCCGTGCATTTTGAGTGGCAAAGGCAGGAACAAGTCATGTGTACTTACCGTGTTCACAAGTCACTCGGCGCCGCCTCTTCTTGCGTAGAGCCAGGGAAACAACATGCTCCTTTCGGCTGACACTGTCCATGTCAGACCTGCATGATAGGTGTAACAGCCCTTAGGAATGGTTGTCTGGTTTCTTGGCATGTGAGTGCCAGTTGGCCTCGAGATCACGTCCACCAGTTACCATCCCGAAAGCCTCACCGACGAATTTTTTCGATCTGAGCTTCCTTGCAGTGATACGTGCGTACGGGTACTGTGTCCGGAGGTGTTTGAGAGGCCGTGAGGGGTATTCATAAGAACCAATCAGTAGTCTAGACTGGGTCCAGTGATCCCTATTAATCGGCTATCGTCATTTTCCTGTCACTCACGGCCCTCTGATCGTGCCTCTCGCTTTACCACGCCGATGAATTTAGCTAGCCTGCTTTTTGAACGAAAAAAAGCATCCACGGTGAGCGCTATTCAAACCATCCAAAGCTCTACTGGTCCTTGAGTCAGGCTCATACTCGCTCAGGTCGACAGGTCATCCATTTCATTTCTGTCTTTCATACCACTGGAGCGCAGTCTCTCGGACTTGACGCCCTTCGACGCTCATTTCGAACAACATTCGTTTGTATCCTATACCCACTTTCAGCGTTTATGTTTACCCCTCCCCCGTCACCCAATCCCCCCGAAACCCGACCACCACCGTCATGTGCACACCTTGTTTCGGATAAGCTTCTGGTGCCAACAACCGTACCCCCGCTTGCACCAGTTGTCACCTCTTCACCCTCAAAATACAAGGTTGCACGCCGACTTCGATGGTCGGTCCTCGTCGTTCCGTTCACCCTCATTATAATTGCAGCCACGACCCGCTTTCTCACTCATCCTGCGGCGTTCGACCTTCTGATACCCGGCGCGGAAAATAAATGGGACCAGTGGACAGAAAAGATTTTCGATTGGAGCCCCCATAGCGGTCATTCCCACTCATCACCGCACAACCACCCGGGTACTACCTCGCCCCCAACCTTGTTCCGTCGTGCTGCGACGCCCACGACTGCTCCTCCCGTACCTCAAAATCCCACGCTTCCAACACCATTCCCCCAACCCTTTGACACGACACTTTCCACTAACTTTTCTACGACAGAATGTTACAACTTCTTCCTTAACATGACGCAGACGATACCCTTTCGGTCATGTCGGCCATTTTCCCTTCTCATCACGCACTCGCAGGCGTTCCAAGAGGTAATACTCTTCCTCCTGTCCAAACTAGAAACTGATTGGTTCACACTCGCTCCGAGCAGGCCCAGAATAATATCACTGAAATGAACACCGACATCTGGGGGACATGCAATACCGACCTTAGCTGGGATCAATGTAGCATCAACATGGCGTGGTTCGTGTCGGCGCTGCAGTCCTCTTGTGTGATCGACCTCGGTGATCAAAACGCAATGGCCGTTGACACGCTCATTGGTAAGTAAGGGGCAAGTGAACTGGCAACTGTATTTAACGTTTTGGAATGTTGTAGCTCTTCAGGCATATGATCTCATGAGGAATGTCTCCTGCCAAGTCGACACGGCAACAAATGCGTATTGTTACGTCGAATCCGTAGGCAACTCTGATCCGTCAAGTTATTGGTTCTACCTGCTGCCTCTTGGTCAACCACTAGTTGGCATCACGACTGGCGCATGTAACGAGTGTACAGAGCAGCTGATGGCGATGTATGCCAATGCGTTGGCAAGCAGCAATGGCACACTACTGGGTGCCCTGCAGCAGACGTACGAGAACGCTGCAAAGACCCTGGACAACGCCTGTGGGTTGAATTACGCCCAGACAGTGAATGTTTCCAATGCGGCTCTCTCACGGGCGGGTATGCCATACGTGGGCATCCTGCTGTTGGGTGTGTTTTTTGCGCTCTTGCTTTTTGCGACATGATTCGTGGCGTTGCCCGACTTAAAGTCTTCCTGTTTTGAAGGGAGTTTTCTAAGTATTTATTGGGTATGGATGACATGGTGCCGGTTTTACTGGGTTTTATACCATACTTTCTTCGCTGATACTTCTCCCCGCGATTCGTACCTACCCTCCGAGCAAACTACGTATACCAGTACCTAATTGACGCACCACCGCGGAACAGCGGATGACTTCATCTACATACCTTTCCAGCGTGGACGCATGTACAGGTATCAAGTTTGTTTCATTTATTTGACCTCACGCTTAATGCTCGATGAGCAGCTTCTATCGCCGCGCTAGCGGCGCTATGACGTTGCGACCTGTATTAATGGCGTATGATGGACCTGTGGTGTACGGTAACTCCAAGCCATGGTGGTAGTGGCGCAGAAGATAGGAGGAGTGCGGTGATCTAAAGAACGCCGACTTCGGTTACTTCAACTCCCCCGTGACATCGTGGTTAACAATAATATGCCTGGGCTACGTGTACGCGCCGGGACTTGTGTCGAAGGTCTTCAAGATATCACCGAACTCGTAAATACGGGCAGGGCCCTCCCTCTTCGCTGTGACAGGTTCGAGGGCGAAGTCGCCGTGTACATCAAGGGGTTTAGAAACTCGCGCGGACAGCCGTCGTACAGCGAGTATTTCCAGCGGCCGGACCGTAAAGGAATAACATGGAGCGTGCAGGTGAAGGGTGAGTACACACGACACTGGGACCCTGACCATTCACCGACACGGCAACCACACCCAAAGGGAGGTTTCTGCAGCCGCACTCGGCAAACGACGTTCTGCTCGGGAATACCTTTGATAGGTCCTTAAGGTTGCCTTGGGGGTCTGGTCTTGCGCTTCAGTTTGCTAAGTGAGTGAGCGGCCTGGTATATCTGGCAGCCAAATGGAGACTTATAGTGCAAGGAAGATTTGTAGATCCTGCGCTGGAGCACAACCTCACATCAGATACGAAGCCATGGGCACTCTCACCGCTGGTTGCGACTGTGCCTCATTTCATGCATGTTCGCGCGGATCATGTACCAGGAGAGCAGGAAGAATTTCCACCTCGCACGTCCATCTCAGACGACACATCCCAGCTTAGCATGGCTTCCGTATCTCCGGCAAGAGGTAACCGCAGTGAGGCCCGGACATGCAAAGATGACCATGCAGCGTATCGTTTTCGAACACCAGGCGAGCGGAGGAAGTATTTTAATAAAGAGACGAACCGAAAAGATCTGGTTTTTGGTCCTGACGTGCGTTCACTTCGAATCTCACTGCCCACCTCTTTTACCCCTATTTACGATTTGATGCAGGATATCATCACGATAGATTTCTGTTATGGATTCCTAGAGTTCTACCCGGACATCATCCTTCGGCTTCCAGCGGGAATAACTTTTGATTTGATGAAATACTGGGATAAGCAGCCAATTCGCTTCGTGTGTGGCACGAGGAGAAGGCCATCTGAAGGACGGGAGGAGGAAGATGACGAGCCAACAGCAGAGATGTTCTGGTGTGTGGAGGTGGTGTCCGCTGATGACGATGAGACGGTTGGCGAAAAGAGTAGGGATAGTGAGGACGTGGACTAGACACGCTGATCGTCGAGTACGCGGTGATGTATTTTATAATGCGGACATGCAGACCCCTGCGCGGGTTTGGTAGAGGCGTGCAACAGGGGTTTAATTTCCTTTTGTGGGTTATTACGATGTCGAGTCGCTGGCAGTCGCCGTGACGCACGCTAACATACCTGCTCCTTACTTTCTGATTTTCTTTATTACTCTGACGTCTTATTATGATTCAGATATGTCGTGCTGAGGACGGAGAATCATTCCAGGTGTGTGTGTTACAGACCGACCTTAAGTTATAGTTGCGACTGGGCCTCCATGCTAACGCCTCACCAGGTCAACGCCACGCTTCGGGATATCGAAAGGTGAGCAAGTGTGTGCTTCGACTGCATACAACGTTTTCAAGTTATTGTCATTCCGTTTACCCGGTGAAGGAGGGGAAGTTTAGAGTTATTTCTGCAACAGGAGACAGGAGTGGATCAGGATGCTATCCTTGCATACCTCTCGGACGGCACGCGCCTACGGACCGACAACGTTCGTGAATTGGTCGGTGCTCATGATCAGGTGCGTTGCTACCTCCTCACATAATGTTGCGAAGTCCACGTTCATCTCTGAGGACTAGACCATATACGTATTCAACAAGTATTATCTCGATATCGACCTACAAGACGTCCTAAAGGAACTTCGGGTCGAGTCACCATTGCTGATCCCAATCGAAGGTGAGTCTGTTACATCACTCTGCTCATAACACCAGTAACAAGGGCCCGATTGTATTTCTAGAAATTCTCTCAGCAACGCCACCCTATAAACCCTCTCAGCTCGCCGCTTCATACCTTCGCAGTGCACAAGTCTTCCTTGAGCACGTCAATCGCATGCTTGCAACGCTCCACAAGCAGCATCAAGCCACAAAAATTGCTTTTAGCAGTCTTGAATTGAATGTACTTAGCATCACGGACGCTTTCGACGGGATTGTGGCGGCCACAGGTCATGACCTAGAAAGGCAGGCAGCCTCACTCGCAAGCGTTGATGCGGACCTCGAGCTCATTGGACGGGTGGAGGTACATATTGAGTTCATGTCCTCTGGGTTCAGGAAGGCAATCGAAAACGGAGAGAAGCGGCGCACGTTAGGTGATTACGTATCGAATGCTAAGATGAAGCAGGTTGCCGAGACGTGCGCTCGAACGCATGGTAGGTCTCGTTCTTCTGTAGTGCCGTTTCGATGAGCTCTGGTGGACGTTTACGCATATGGGCTTCCACCAGATGACCTGCGTTTGCAGTTCTCAGAAGCAGAGAAACTAGTGACGAGGTTAAAAACTGGAACGGATTCTGTACGTGCGATTGTGATGAACGTGAAGTGGGTGATTTCTGGTTGGTCCTGCATGGTTTCCTAAATTATATCAGGATCATCGAGGAAGCAGAGCTATCTGCTCGACGGTTCCATGACGCATACGAGAAGGTTGTTGAAGTTGCAGGTGCACTTGAGAGCCCCGCAAGTGACAGCGACACTCTATTACAAGGTATGCTATTTCTGATTCACAATAATACTTGTCACACTGAGCCCACACCAGAAATCAAACAGCTCGATAACGTTCTCAGACGACAAGTGGAAATCGTTACACAGTTCAAGGTGTGTACATTCGTACTTCTGATTGGAACAGTCGGTTTAACTATTTCAGAATGAGTATACCGAGCAATGTATAACTGCCCTTCAATGCATAAGCACGCTCAACGTCGACCTCGTTCAATTACCTACGACACTCTCGCAGTTGCAAGCTAAATTCCGAGCAAAGAACAGCTTTCCGCACATACATCGGCTTCACAACATGCTATATGCGTATGGCGCGACGGTCATTGAGATCGTTCGGCGAAAGGAGTTCTGTGGGTACTTGAGGGTTTGTACGCACGAGCGTACTAAGCAACTTAACTAGCACGATTCTTCTACCAACGCGCACAGTCGATATTGGAGGTTATGGCAAAGCTTTCGTGGGTCTTGTTGTTATCTTCATGTCTTCGACCCAGACCAAATCGTCCTTGAGCTTTTAGAACGAGCGAGAAGAAACGAAGGCAAATCTATCGGGGAGAGGTGTATGGTCAGTTGCCATTCGACACAAAGGGGATGGAAGACCCTGTTCCTACCATTGATTTTTCTCCGACTGGAGGAAAGGACCACCCATATTCATTGGAAAGGGAGGACGTAGACGGTGGGCTATAGTTCCTCAATTATGAAATGGTCTTAGGAACCTCTTACCATGCGGTCTTTCAGCGTTCTTTAAGGTGTTAGAGGACCTGGAAGCTTATGCTCGATCAAGTCCCAGTCCCGCCGTCCTCGCTTCTGTTCAGGAAGCTCGCCTAGCACTTGAGAAGCATGTACAAAAGATGGATAACTTGGAGTCGGGCTTCGACCGGATAGCGGAGCGTTCTCGTGAGTTGAGCGCATCTGCGCACTACAATACAATCACTCACGTTTCCCGCAGTGTTGTCAGCGTCGTGGCTGTCAGCATCACGGCGAAGACGTACGTCCTTCCCATGCACAAGACACTCTTGTAACTCATTGTTTATAGTCACTGAAGCTGATGAACTAGCATTTCAAGAACTTGCTCAACGTCTTCGGGAAGCTGAAGACAATAAAGAAGCACAGGAAAGAGTCGTACAGGAGGAACGCTTTTCATTCCAGACTGAGCTATCCAAACTAAGCGATGAACTCCGAGACTCCGAGGCCAATCTGCGCTCTGAACGCGAGCGGACGGACGCCCTAGAGCGCGAGCTGCATCAAGCGCGTGCGCAGATCGAGAGCGAGGCGACGGCACGACAAGTTCTGGAGCGGCGAAATGCGGAGCTAGTGCAGGACGTAGAAAGCCAGCGATACGAGCGTAGCAGGGCACTGGCGGATGCAATCGAGCAGGCGAAGGCGGCGGATATACTTCGGCAGGAGCTTGTACAGGTGCGTGCTCAGGCGGAGGAGGTGAAGGCTCTCGAAAGGAAGAACGCGGCAAAGATTGCACAGCTTTTGGAAGAACAGACAATAACCCTGCAAAATCTGGAGGCCGCACGATCGAGAGGGGAAGATTTGGAAGCCCAGATACGCGTTGCACGGGCAGAGAACGACGAAGTGAGCCGGATGCTGAAGGAATCTGATCTGGAAAAGGAGAGATTATTGCGAACTCAGGCGACAATGCACGATCGGATGTTGCGCGATCATATAGCCGAAGCTGATGGTGACCGTGCTGTTCTGGAGCACCAGTTTTCGGAACTGCGAGCGGAGCTCGAGGATATGACCAGACATTGGAAGGACGCGCAGTCTGTCGCAGACCTGGCAAATGCAGACGCCATAGGTTTGCGAGAGGAACTGCAACGCGTAGAGCACGAGCTTCGAGAGGCCAGACATGTCGAGCGTCTACTTCGCGATGACTTGATGGCGGGTCGTGTGTCGCAATCTGAATTCGAGCAGCGCCTCGAGGACGGCAGTCGGCTTGTGGCGCAGCTCCTCGACATCGCCATTGCCTTCAGGAACACTCATTGCAAGGCGTTATCGATGTTACAAACGATGGTGGTCCATCCTAGTGCAAAACAGAACCATAGCCTAGTCGAGTCTGCGTTCTCGCCACATCCGCGCAACAGCACCATTCTAGAGGAGCCATCTCCCATCGACACCTCCGATACTGCTGGCGCGGTGGAGGCGCTGAGATCGTTCGATCATGACCACTTCCTGGAAAGCGTTGCTAAGACAGGTTCTGTCATCAGGAAATGGCAGAAACAATGCAAGGAGTATAGGGAGCGTGCGAAGGGTAAAATATCCTTCCGAAATTTCACCAAGGGTGATCTTGCGTTGTTTCTCCCGACCCGAAATTCTGTCTCGAAACCGTGGGCAGCCTTTAATGGTGTGTGTCTTTCTTATTTCGACGACTAAAAGCCATTTGCGATTGTCATCATTCATCTAGTATCGTTCCCTCATTATTTTTTGCAAGCAACCGGCCATCTGGCGGAGCAGCTGAAGTCCCGTGAATGGATCGTTGCCAGGATCACACATATCACTGAACGGGTGGTAGATCCCAATGTAAGACGAACCCTAATGTGCTTGTGTCCATCTAATCATGAGCATCATCAGGATCCTAGCAGCAACCCTTACGGACTGGGGGATGGCATAAAATACTACATGCTTGAGGTTGAGGACTGGACGCAGAACGGCCAAACCATCAAACGCAAGGGCGATGCGCGCAAGGTTTCTGCTCTTTCAGATCCTGGGTCGACGTTCCGAAGATCTTCTCATTTAGTAGATCCGCCCTCCATTTTGCCGGGCCCACCTCAGGCAGAAGTTGAAGATTCGTTCAGCGCTACGCAACCGCCCACGTCGCGTCTCTTTCCTTCCCGTCCGCGAGCGAACTCCACCCCTTCCGCCGGCCCTTCATCACTATCTCGTCTCCTTGCACAAGCGCCACCTGAATTGCCCGAAGAATCCGTTCAAATAATAACGCCGTCGGGAGATCCGCCATTGAAAGATACTCCATCCGGTGACGAACTCTCCCACAATGAATACGCCACTGCAATTGCCACCACAACTACACCAGCCGTGCCAACTCCAATTCAGCAAGCGAACTCGGCACCACATGCTCACAGTCCACACGCGCCCACTCCTCTGCGTCCAGGTTCCCGTGCTTCCCGGGGGTCAACATCCTCTAGGTTCTCCGCAGCCAGATTGCCCACACTGGCTGCAGCGTCGACTTCACCTACAATAGTCAAGGCTGTTGCGACAACAGCACTAACTGAACATGCGTTGGAATCCTCAATAACTACATCTCATGAGACGTCATCGGTAGTAGGACCACCGTCGCCCGTGGGGTCTTTAACGGATGGAATGTCGAACTTTCTAAGTCGACGACGAACAACTTCACATCATGTACCGCGGTCTTCACCGTTAGCATCTGGATTTACGGGTGGACCGGCACAGACGGCTACGAGTACCCTGGCAAATTTTGCCAGAAACTGGGGGTTTCGGAGGAAGCGGGACAATCCTGCACCCCAGCCTGTTTCTGAAACGAGCACTGGACAAGGGGTCGGTGAATATCAGTGTAGGGATGACGACGTTTCTGCCAGCGATTTGCTCCGGCGGTTCTAGAGAGGGGTGGTTTGGTCATATGGACAGGGGAACACCTTGGTGGGCCGGACATCGGGTTCTACTCCACCGAAGATAACCCGAACCTGTTTTCATATTCAGTGCAACTGTTTCCCAACATTGCATGTAGTTGCATGATATCTTATATACGCATCTTATCCGAGTCTATTAGTGCCATGGACACTCCATAGACTTCTACTTCAGTTGCATGCACGATTGAGTTTCCTGATTCGTGATAGACTGATGCAAGGGTAAAACCCAGCGACCTTCAGGTGGATTCCATATGAAAAGAGCGCGAAAGCAATTGCCAGTCTAGATCAGCACTCGGCGATAACTCGGTGTTATCTAATCGCCACTGTGGGTTGTGGTGGAGACATTTCGAGTTGTTCCAAGGTGGTATTCGATTCATTATGTGTTAACTGCCACTTGAATCAGGGCGCGGAGACGAGGAAACGAAACATACCATTGCGTTGTCTCCACCTGACATGTGGGGGGGAACAGACATCGAAAACCATGTGCACGGATACTAAGAAATAGTACTAACAACCGGGCTCGGAAACCGAGCTTCCGCAGAGTTCATGGAGCAATGGCTTCAACTTTTCTTGTTTTGTTCGCCAGGCCCGAGAGGACCGCGAAGAGAATCGGGATGAACTATTCGTTGCTCATCGGGCGTGTGATCTCGCATTCGGGCACTCACTGAAGGTATGCTCAGAAGAATTGGCTTAACCAAGCCAATGTGATCTCGGGGCCCAGTGGAGAACCATTCAAAAAGTGATGAACGCGCAACGAAGTCTCCAGTGTCTTCGGCATATCTACGGAGAACGGATTGATAGCGAAGAACGGTCAATTCGCCTATAAATCGGCTAAACAACCGTGTAACTTGGCGTCCCATCCTCCCGGTTGTTTCTTTTCTCATTGACAGAAGTTGTAGCAAGACATGGGCGCAGGTCTTGCAGCTGCCAGTGCCGGTGCCGACCAAGATACTTCCTTTGCACGTTTCCTCAACCCCAACAGGAAGTGGCACAACAACAAGCGGTCGGTGTCGTTATTTCATTACCACCATTTTGGCGTTGTTCATTCGGCATCTTCTATAGCATCATCATCCTCCATGCCTGGATCGCTCTCCTGTGCGTTTCGTCGCCGTCCTTGTTGCAGTTACTTCAAGCTCACGCTTTTCGCAGTTTGATCACCTCTTCAACTAGCGGTTATGATGGTAGTATGATGAATGGTCTCCAGTCTCTGCAACAATGGCAGGATGACTTTAACCACCCGTCAATGGGAAGACTGGGTCTTCTCAATGCCATCCAGGTGAACAAATTCGCTGCCAGTCGTCCACGGTTATTTTTCACCCCCAGCATCAGAATATTGGCGCATTGGCAGGTTATCCTTTCGCCCCTTACCTCTCTGATGGTATAGGCCGCCGCAAGACGGTCTTTTTTGGTGCAGCCATCATGCTTGTTGCCACAGCGTTGCAAACCGCTTCTCAGTCAGTTGGCATGTTTATCGGCGCTCGGTTCGTGATTGGCTTTGGGTTGACCTTTGCTGGTGAGACCCTTGCCACATTATGGAAAATACTGGAAATTTAAGTTGCGTGGCGTAGCTAATTCTGCGCCAATGCTTGTCACCGAACTGGCGTATCCAGAGTATCGGGCTCCTCTGACATCCTTGTTCAATTCCCTTTGGTACTCCGGCGCAATTATGTAGGTGTTTCTGTCCTAGTCCTGCGGAGTTCCCAAGAATTAATCAAAATATCTAGTGCAGCTTGGGCTACATATGGGACATTCAGGATCAACAATACGTGGGCATGGCGTCTGCCATCCTTGTTGCAGGGAGTACCTGCGGCTTTGCAGTTTTCATTGGTCCTCTTCTGCCCAGAGTCTCCTCGTTGGTTAGTTAGTAAGGGTAGAGATGCCGAGGCACTCCGTACCTTGGCTTACTACCATGCCGATGGTGACGAGTACGTATTTTCTGCACCCATATGGAATACGAACCTAAAGTCCGGAGAAGGCAGGATCCTCTCGTTCAGCACGAATTCCAAGAAATCAAGGCTGCCATCGAATTTGATCGTAACGGTATGTTGTACGTGGTCGCCGAGTTCTAATATGCAGACATGGGTTTATTACAGTTGCTGCCAACGTCGGTTGGAGGTCTCTCATTGCCACCCGGGGAAATCTCAAGCGCATGCGAATCATCGTCGCGCTCGCCTTCTTTTCACAGTGGTCTGGAAACGGTATCATTTCGTACTACCTGAACGAGGTTTTCACTCAAATCGGCATCACGGATTCGGGCACTCAGTTGCTCATCAACGGTGTCCTGCAAATTTGGAATCTGTTCTGGGCTGTCCTCGCTGCCTTCATGGTTGATAGACTCGGGCGTCGATTCCTTTTCTTGTCCTCTGCCGCTTTGATGACCTTTTTCTACACCGCGCAAACCATTTGCTTTGCGGAATATACTAAGCATGGAGTTTCCGCCGCTGGTCAAGCCGTCGTCGGCTTTGTATTCTTGTTCTTCGCAGCCTATGACATTGCATTTTGTCCCCTCGTTGTTTCATACACTGTCGAGATTCTTCCATTCTCTCTGCGTGCGAAGGGTTTCAATGTCTTCAATTTCGTCATTTCCGTGGCCCTCGTCTTCAACCAATATGTCAACCCCATCGCCCTTGATGCTCTTGGGTGGAAGTACTACGTAAGTTGTATTGGGTCGTCTTTTTCTTCGTTTTTTCATGTTAATCTCCCCCAAAGCTCGTTTATGTTTGTTGGTTGGCATTTGAGTTCGTGTTCTTGTGGGCCTTCCTAGTGGAAACCAAAAACAGAACATTGGAGGAGACCGCAGCCATTTTCGATGGTGAAAGTGCACTTGAGAAGATAACACACGGAGAGACAGCCCAAGAAACCCCCGATATTTATGAGAAATCAGTGCAGAAGGCGTAAAGTGTATTGCTGCGTACCTCACACCTTCCTTTAATTATTTCCTTGTCTCATGAATTTTCTTGTGTATGTTATTCGGTTTAATCCTATAAGCTTGCACGCGCCCACACGTGACAATACCAGTGCGAGGAAACGGACGTCAAATCAAACCATGTGCATGGATTCTAACAAGCAGTACTGATCAGAAAGTGAGCTTCCGCGGAGTTCACGGAGGAATGTAACCCAATGGTTACGACTTGTCTTCTTTTGTTCACTGGGCCTAGGAGGGTTATGAGGAGGGTTGGGATGGACTATCCGTTACCCATTGTGCGCGTGATCTTCCATTCGCTTAAGGTACGCTCAGAATAATCAGTTTAACCGGACCGATGTGACCCTGGCGTCTACGGGAGAACCATTTTAAAAAGTGATGACCACCCAGCAAAGCTTCCAGCTTCGTATACATATCCACGGAGAACTTGATAGCGAAGAACCCCATTCGTGTTCTGGGGAGGGTTTAAACTGCTAACGGCCATTCCGCCCATACCAAGTCCAATCGTCTGCTTGCTCGCTGCATCGCATCGCGAACCCCCAACTGCTTCTTTTCTCATTGACCGAAGTTACAGCAAGACACTGAGCGCAGGACCTGCTGCCGCCGATGCTGTCCAAGAAACTTCCTTCGCACGTTTCCTCAATCCCGACAGGAAGTGGTACAACAACAAACGGTTGGTGTCATGATTCCAACACCACCCTCTTAACGTTATTTATCTGGCGTCTTTTACAGCATTATCTCCCTCAATGCTTGGATAGTTCTCCTGTACGTTCCGTCGACATCCCTATTACTGTCATTTCTAACTCACGATTCCGCAGTCTGATCACCTCTTCAACTAACGGTTATGATGGTAGCATGATGAATGGTCTCCAGTCTCTGCAGCAATAGCAGGATGACTTTAACCACCCGTCAAATGGGAAGACTGGGCCTTCTCAATGTCATCCAGGTGAGCAAAATCGCTTTCACTTGTCTGTGGTTATTCCTCAACGCTGGCATCAGAATATTGGCGCATTGGCAGGCTATCCTTTCGCCCCTTACCTCTCTGATGGTCTCGGGCGCCGTAAGACGGTTTTCCTTGGCGCAACCATCATGCTTGTTGCCACAGTGTTGCAAACCGCTTCTCAGTCAGTTGGCATGTTTATCGGCGCTCGGTTCTTGATTGGCTTTGGTTTGACCTTTGCTGGTGGGACTCTTGCAATATTATACAAAATACCAGAAGCTTAAGTTACCTGCAATAGCTAATGCTGCGCCTATGCTTGTCACCGAACTGGCGTATCCAGAGTACCGAGCTCCTCTGACATCATTGTATAACTCCCTTTGGTACTCCGGCGCCATTGTGTGTGTATTTTTGTCTTGGTCCTGTAGAGTTCCCCAACATTGACGAAAATATCTAGCGCAGCTTGGGCTACATATGGGACATTCAGGATCAGCAATACGTGGGCATGGCGCTTGCCATCCTTGCTGCAGGGAGTACCTGCGGCTTTGCAGTTTTCATTGGTCCTCTTCTGCCCAGAGTCTCCTCGTTGGTTAGTTAGCAAGGGTAGAGATGCCGAGGCACTCCGTACCTTGGCTTACTACCATGCCGACGGTGACGAGTACGTATTTTCTGCACTCTTATGGGATATGAACCTCAAGTCCGGAGAAGACAAGATCCCCTCATTCAGCACGAATTCCGTGAAATTAAGGCTGCCATCGAATTTGATCGTAGCGGTATGTTGTAAGTGGTCACCGAATTCCAATATGCAGACATGGGTTTACTGCAGTTGCTGCCAACGTCGGTTGGAGGTCTCTCATTGTCACCCGGGGAAATCTTAAGCGCATGCGAATCATTATCGCTCTCGCTTTCTTTTCAACGTGGTCTGGGAACGGTCTCATTTCGTACTACCTGAACGAGGTCTTCACTCAAATTGGCATCACAGGCTCTAGCACTCAGTTGCTCATCAACGGTGTCCTGCAAATTTGGAATCTGTTCTGGGCTGTCCTTGCTGCCTTCATCTCGGGCGTCGATTCCTTTTCTTGTCCTCTGCCGCTTTGATGACCTTGTTCTACACCGCGCAAGCCATTTGCTTCGTGGACTATACCAAGCACAGAGTGGCCGCCGCCGGCCATGCCGTTGTTGGCTTTGTCTTCCTGTTCTTCGCAGCCTATGACATTGCATTTACTCCCCTCATCATCTCATACACAATTGACTATCTAGTGAAACCACAGCCAAGGGAATGGGCTTGGCAGAATCAGTGGGGAAAGAAGACCCTATTGTGCAGAGGAATGGGAGAAACGAAGAGCAATAGACATGAACACTTGCCTTGTGTTAGAATGGTAGTAGATTTAAATATAAGCAACTTGTAGTTGAGGGGCTCAGTTGTTGAATAGACAAGTGAAGAATTGAATGTGGAATTTGGTTGGTTATTGGGGTAGAAATCCCTGAGTTTATATACATGAGTAGGTACACATGGACCAGTAATGTAAAAGGAAACTACTACTCAGTATAGTAAAGAATAGCATGGAAGGTCATGGAATATGACATATAATATGATGTCATAATGACATCATTGTGGAGCTGATTGATAAGAAATGTCATGTGATGAACAACGTGTTGATACACGTGTAAGTCTAGTTCAATCTAGACATTGGAACTATTAAGATATTTCCAACACTCCCCCTCACTCTAAAAGGGTAAAGTAACAAGACCCATTGACAAGCGATTAGTTTCGAATTTCTGCCACATTAAGGATTTTGTAAGACTGTCTGCTTTTTGTTTGTCAGTTTGAACGTATTCAATACTGAACAAACCATCTTGAACACATTCACAAACAAAGTGCCATTGGACATCAATATGTTTAGATCAACTGTCCAATACAGGATTCTCTGCTATGAAGCGAGCTCCCATATTATTGCAGTATAAAATAGTTTTCTCAGTCTTCAATTTGAGTTCATCAAATAGCATAGAGAGCCATTTGATTTGATGTGCAGCATCACATAAAGCCATATATTCGGCTTCAGTGGAGGAAAGTGCGATAGTCTTCTGTTTCCATGATCACCAAGAAATAAGAGAATTGCCAAGATACATGGCATAACTGGTGGTAGAATGACGTGTGTCTTTATTTGCAGCCCAATCAGAATCTGCAAAGCCATAGATTCGAGATTTGAGTCCCAAATAGTATAAAGCCAATTTTGGTGTTGATGCAATATAGCGAACTATATGCAAGGCTTTATTTTTGTGATCTTTGGTAGGATTTGCCATATATTGAGACATGTGAATAACCACAAAGGCAATATCGGGACGAGTACCAAGAGCCATATAGAGTAATGACCCTATGATTGATTGGTACTGTGACTGAAGAGAAGATGTGGCTTGATAATCTGATGGTGCTTTTTCCAGTTGATATCCCGAGGGTAATGGAGTGTGAACATTTTGAGCAGTCTCCATATTAAACCATTTGATAACCTTTTTGACATAAGGTATCTGGTCAAGATAAATTTCTTTCTTCGACCTATCTTGATGAATTTGAATGCCAAGATATTCCTTGACTTCACCAAGATCTCGGGATTCCCATTTCTTCATGAATTGTTCTTTCTTGGCTTTAAGAAGACATTTGTCCGATCCTAGAAAGAGTCCATCATCGACATAGACAAGGAAAATGACAATTCCAGCTTTGGATATATGGATGTAAATCCCAGCATCCACTTTAGATCAAATATAGCCCATTTGAAGTAAAGATTGATGAAGGGCTTTATTCCATGCCAACACAGCTTGCTTTAAGCCATATAAGGCTCTAAGCAACTGATAAACCTTGTGTTCTTGACCTGAAACTTTGAAACCTTCTGGTTGCTCCATATATATTTCGTCATCTAGATTGCCATATAAGAAGGCAGTTTTGACATCCAGGGCTTCTGTGTCCCAATTCTTTTGGGCAGCGAATGCAAGTAGAATTCAAACTGTTTCGAATCGAGCCACTGGAGAGAAGGTGTCTTCAAAGTCGGTACCGAATTCTTGTGTAAAGCCTTTTGCCACAAGACGAGCTTTATAATGACCATCGCTTTTGATAGCAAAAACCCATCGACACTTAACAGGTTTCTGATCTCTAGGAGGATCCACCAAAGTCCAAACTTGTCTTTCTTCAATAGACTTTAATTTGTCTTTCATTGTGTTGAACCACTTCTTTTGCAAATTGGGAGATAATTTAAGCACATCTTTATAATGTTCTGGTGACTCTTTGATTCGGGCAGCCAATGCAAACTCGAAAGGATGCATTTCCAATTGTTGATCTGGCATGCCTTTTGGAGAAGTAGGAGTATCCAGAATAGGAGTAAGTGGAGATCCAGGAGATGTAGGAGTAGTTCCTTGTGGATGTTCAGTCCACTGACGAGGAACTTCAGGAAGAATCATTGCAGGAGGTAACCTTGGAGAAGGAGGTCTGTTCTCTTCTGCATATCTCCAATAATCTTCTCTGGAATTGCAAGCATGTTGCTCAGCATTACGAATCCACTGTTGTGCTTGATCCCGATTTTGTTGGATATCTTGTTCAATTTGAACTGGAGGTCTATCTCCATAGATGTTTCCTGGACGAGATACAGGTATAAAACAACGTTTAGGACGAGGTTCTCTGTCATCGGCAGGTGGTTGAGCTCTGCAAACATTATGCAAGTCGCCTTGAATAAATTCAGGTTGATGAGGATGCCTAAGATGACAAGGGTCAACTGGTGGTGCAGCAGCAGGTGCTCTTCTTTGTTGTTGAGCTCTAGGCTGGTCCACAGCTCTCTGCTGTGGGTTTTGTGGTTGTGGTGGATTTAATGGACAAGGTGGTTGCCGGTGATGAGGCGGCGGTTGGATCTGATCAGGATCCGGAAGGGAATGTAGGCTTTCAGAGTCGGATGTAGATGATTCATGGTCGTCATTGGTATTGGGGTCAAAGGTTTCGGATTTTGTAGAACCAGAGCAAAAAGGAAAAGAATCTTCTATAAATTTTGCAGTGCAAGAAAGAATAATCTTTTGTCCATGTAGGAACTGATATCCTTTAGTATTAGGCTCGTAGCCTAAAAATACCATTTCAACTGCATGAGGTTCCAACTTGTCTTTGCATTGTTCTTTGGGAACCCATACAAAGGCTTTGCAGCCAAAGGTGCGAAAATAGGTAATGTCCGGGACTTTTCCTAAGAAGAGTTCAACTGGAGTCTTGAAAACAATCCTTTTAAGAGGAGTTCTATTGTACACATGAAGTGCACAATCGAAAGCAAAGTTCCAAAAGTGTTTTGGAATACATGCATGGTGTCGAATAGTACCAGCTTTTTCCTGTATGGTCTGGTTGAATCGTTCTGCACAACCATTTTGTTGTGGTTGGTCGGCAATTGACAATTGATGAGTAATTCTGCATGAAGAAAGGAGTGCTTTGAAAGTGGTACCCATGAATTCTCCCCCGCAATCCGAACGGAGTGCAAGAAGATGATGTCCAGTAGTATTTTGCATAGACACCATCCAATTGGCAAAAGCAGTATAGGTGTTGGATTTGTTGTGAAGATAGAGACAAAACCCATAAGATGAATAATCATCCAAGAGGGTAAGAATGTATTTGGACTGAAAGTAAGATTCAACAGGTAATTCAAGAAGGTCAGCATGGACCAACTCGAGAGGTTGAGTTGCACGTTTCCAAGAAGGTTTAAAAGCTTCGGAAGACAACTTGCCTTGTGCGCAACCTTTACAAGGAGTAGTCTCCCCCTGTATTTGTATTTCTTGTTTAAGACCTAATCTGCAAATGTGTCGGAGAACTGCCTGAGCAGGGTGACACATGCGATTATGCCAGACAGATTCTTGTGATTCCTTGACCAAAGGGCAAAGGACCCCATATGCAGTGGTAGGTGGAAGCGGTACGCCCACAAACCAATGAAGAGGTGAAGTCGGAGAAGCTACTTTCACTTCAAGGACAATCCGGCCATTTGGTGCTCTGATAGTCTCGCCAGTGAGTGTCGCTGTGCTCCTATACCCATTATTTAGGAGCGCATTTCGTGAACATAGTCTCTTTGAAAACAAAGGACTGTATACGACATTATGCAGTGGTAGGTTACTGCCATTTTCCAGGTGAATAACCACTGTTCCTTGACCGAGAAGTTGAACCTTTTTTGAGCCAGCAGTAGAGGCCAAAGGTGGATTTTTAAATTCTTGATAAGTCAAGAAATCAGTTTTAAATGGAGTCACATGATGTGATGCTCCAGAATCCAACATCCATAAAGACTCACCCTTTGGTAGGTTCTTTTTTAGATTTGTATATGACAGTGGTACACCCAATGGGTAACAGTCATAAGAATCGAAGGCATGACCATCGAACTGCATAGGTAAATTCCCAGATGCAGATTTGTTGGGATCATACTTGATGTCTGGATTATGCTTTACATGAAAAGGTTTACATACAGGTTTTTCTGGCACAGATTCATGAAATTGAGATAAGGACATTGGGCGATTCTTCTTTTTAGAAGATTTTATAAGTACGGATTTTCGGAGAGATTCTCCATCTCTACTATTCTGTCCTCGAAGTCGAGGGGAAGAGAGATTAAAAGTCCATTTGTTCAGCGGAGCTGAATTGCCATTATCCTCAACATTCCTGTTCTCCACCATGTCCTTGCCAGCCAAAATGGAATTTCCCATTCGTACTGAGGGTTCGAAGGAACCACTCTGACGTGTCCCATCCTGCTCAGCAGGGGGAAGGGAAATCTTCCTCGGATGAGAGTCCGAGTACTTCCATTGCTTCGGTTCCTGAAGGGAAACCTCCAGCAGGTTGCAAGAGTTGGCTGCTCGGCAACAAATAGAACATGTACATGTGGAATCAGAACTAGGAAGTCAAACACAAATCTTGACTGACTCAACTTGATCCAGTTGGAAATTTTGGATTTCCTCCAGATACCAAGGAGCAAGATTTCCTGTAGTGGCATCTACTGGATAATTGGGGGAATCCCCAACTGTTTCCATCGCCATAGTAAGATCTTGGTGGGAAAGATCAGGATCATACATCTCGGTATCAGTTATGATATGTGATCCAAGGTATGTTTCAAGGTTACTAGAATAAACTCTTTCAACCAGAGTTGGATCTGGGAGAGAATATTCTGGAGACAGTTTGCAGGAAGGAACATTTATAGCGGTGATA